CCCCCCCCTCCCCCCATTTACGAGAGACTGACGATCTGCCAATAGTAAGCATATGATGATCGATTTGGGAACGGGTAATAACAATAAGATTAATTGGGCGTTGGAGGATAAGCAGGAGATGATCGATATTATTGAGACGGTGTATAAGGGTGCGCGGAAGGGTCGGGGTTTGGTGATTTCGCCGAAGGGTGAGTGCGCGTTGTATCGAAATGGGTGGAGAATGGCAACTGACGGGTTTTGCAGATTACTCTACGAAGTACAAGTACTAGACCGGACATGGTGGGACTCTTCCTTGGGTGACTGTTGTGTTGCATGTTGGAGGTGGTGAGCTGATGGAGACGAGCTGATGGAGAGGTATTGATCAACGTCGCATCTTTACAGAATGAGTAAAGTCTTGCAACCGATAAATATGTGGTATTCCCATATCTTACCCTACGCTAAACCTCACCGCAGTCTAACGAAACCATCGTTCATCATCCTTCCCGGTTCCATCCCCTTCCTCCCCATTTTCAACCCTCCCCAATCACCTACCATCACCCCAAATTCACAACCCGCGTTTAGAGCATCCTAACATAATTCGCCGGAAAAATCCCCTCCCTCCCAGCCTTCCTCCCCGTCCACCAATCATCCGTCGTCCCAGTCCTCTTGACAATCTCGATAACGTCTCCCTTCGTAAACGACAAATCACCGCTTTGTTCGCCCTCAAACGAAAATAGTGCAACTGCTTGTTCGTAGTCCGATACTGGTTCGAAAGCTTCGGGTGCTGGGGCTGGGGCGTAGGAGGGTACCGGTGATGGGGCGGGTGGGGTTGAGAAGTTGGGTTTGGAGGATGTTGGGCGGCCGGGTGCGGGACCACTTGCCGAGCGGGATGGTGCGTCAGAGTAAGAACTCTTAAACCGTCCCGCGCTCGTCGGGCTACTGGGTCCATACAAATCATCATCATCAGCCCTCCCCCGATAACCGCTCCCCCGCCCACCAAAACTCGCGGCACTCCCCGCCCTCGACCGCGGTGATGGTCGTCCCTCACCATATCCTTCACCTCTCACACCCGCGCCCCAGATCTCGTCATCTTCTTCGTCGTAGATTGGGATGTCGTTGTACATATCCCCATCCGTCCCCGCTGCATATCCACCTGAGAAGGCTCGAGAGTTAAGGACGCGATAAAGAGATGTCGCGGATTCGGGGGGAGGGACGGTGCCGTTTAGGAGGCGTTTGGCGGTTACATGGCCGCCGTAAAACTTTTTGTTTGCGTCTCTTCGTTCGATGAGGACTGAGCCCTCTAATGAGACTCCGGCGAAGAGTCCCTTGGTTTTGGAATATGAGAAAATCGCGGCGACGGCTTTAAAATTCGCGGAGCCGGCGGCTTCTGCGCTGCGTCCCACCGGACCCGCGGCGACACTGATGTTTCCACCTAGAGTGATACTACCCAACTGCGAGAACGAGTCCACAGCTGCGCGGTTATTAAGAATGAACACAAAATCGGTGATTTCGGCGCCGACTTGGCCGCCAAAGCCCATTCCTGCTGTTGCGATGGCGGAGGGGGCGGACCAGGAGCCGTCTGGGAGGCGGGCGACGACGAGGCCGGAGCCGACGCGGCCCGAGAAGAGGAAGCCGGCTATGCTCCTATCGTTAACAACAGTCGTAATGGAAGAAGGAGGGAGAGAGTAGGATACCTTTGATGACGGTGATCACGGCCAGGCCTTTCGCGTTCTGTAGTACGCTTGGCGGGATCACGGCATTGGGACCATAGGTCTGTTTCGGATCGACGAAGGAGGCGAGGATCTTGCCCACCTTCTTGCACTCGCTGGACATGGAGAGCGGGATTGGATTGTTGATGCCCATGCTGGCTTGACTTGGCCTGTTGCGATTTTGTCGAATGGCCGACGATGCCTTCTCGGTACCCGGAGACGCTGTGCGAGCGCGCTGCCGTGCATGGACGTGCATGGACGTATACCCCGCCGATCGTGGGCCGATCGTCGTCGAATGTCGAATCGATACAGGGAGCTGAAGAGAGCAGAGAAGCAGCATACATCCCGGCGAATGGCAGCGGAAGACATGCAACAGGAGCTGCAGGTTGCTGCCAACGAGGAGATCCTGTCAAAGAGATAGGCTGACTGGGACAACAGGCTCTTTTCCCGCTCCTCGATACGGCCCTCATCGCCGCTATCGCAAACGAGTCAGACGACATAGAAAGCGCAAAGGAGATTCTCGAGGTGCTCAACGCAGAAGCTGTAGCGGATGGTTTAGATGCACCGGTGAATGATCTCCATTGGAGCGAGACGAGTGAGGAGCTGGCCGGATCGACGGCGACGAGTAGTGCGTTGAGCCTCGGAGCATTGGAGGATTTGAATTTGGATGATGCAGGGTATGAACTCTAACAGCTGCAAAAGGGAAGTGTGAGAGCGGACAGCTGACAGCGTGTTTGGCAGTGACCTCGACCACGAAGCCCTTTCATTTCTGGTCTTGTCCTTCCCGAAACAGAAACTCGCCAATTTAAAGATCGCTCTCCGAAAATGCAATGGCGACGTCGTCCGCGCCGTCGACGAACTCCTCAACAAAGAACTCCTCGACCAAGAAAAAGAAATCGAGGGTCTTCCTCAATCAGGCACCGTAGACGACCTCTTTGTCGGCGACGGACTCCCACGACGAAAAGGAAAGAAGAAGAAGCACGTGCATGATACTTCTCCTACTGAGGACGAGTCCGTACAGAATGGCTCTTCCTGGGAGCGGTTTGGGATTGAGGTGGAGTGGCTAACAAAGCATTTGCATTTACCACGCGAGAAGGTAACGTCGGCATACCACGCCGCCTCATCATCCCTTCCCGCTGCCCTACGTACCCTCCTCTCCCTTCCCCGTGACGAAGCGTCTGAAATATGCGCAAGAGAGGATTACATACAGAATCTAGTAACACTAGAACGGTCGCACGGTATGGTCACTACGGAAACGTGTACGAACATCCTGGTTGCGGCGCATGGAGACATGGAAACCGCGACCTCCATTGCCAACATTCTCCAACGCTCAGCGACGGCACCAAGGGGGTCGAGTACGACGTCTTCAGCCACCGTCTCCGGAACTTCAACGCCTCGCAAAACCCCTGCCACCACCCAAACCAAATCCTACGCCGCCGCCTCCTTGATCGACGAAGATGACATCCGCAATCCCGCACAAGTTCGAGCTCTTGCACAGGAATATGCCGCAAAAAGAGATGCCGCATACCGCCAAGCCGCCCTCGCCTTCAAACGCGGCAAAAGCGACCATCTCCTCGGCGGCGCAACGTCGTATTACTCAGACCTCGGTCGATCATATGACGCAAAATTTCGGAAATGGCAGCAACTCGCCGCGACATCGCATGTCGCCTCCAACTCGACCGCGAACAGGATTGATTTGCATGGTGTTTCTGTGCAGGAAGCACTCGTGATAACTAAGGAGGCAGTGACGCAATGGTGGTCGCGGACGAAAGTGATGGAGTATAAGACGCATGATGTGGGAGCGGGGGCGTTGTGGATTATCACTGGTGTGGGAAATCATTCCGAGGGGGGCGAGGCGAGGTTGGGTCCGGCTGTGAGGAGGTGGTTGGAGAGGGATGGGTGGGTTGTTAAGGGGGGAGGGAAGGGGAGTTTGGTTGTTACGGGGGTGGTGAAGATGGGGAAGAAGTGAACAGGATTGAGGGAAGGGAAAAGCGTGGCTGGATTGGAGTTTGGGTGGGGCATGGCGTCGATATAAGGTTACAGGATCTTTTTGGCATGTGAAAGGTGACCTTTTTTGGAAGATACGGTTTTGGACGGGATATACTGGAGAAAATTTGCTACGGGGATCTTGAAATAATCAGATAGTTTTGATTTCAACGAGCTAGAGTGCGAGTTGCTCGACCCCTTAGGACGTCCCATCGCATTCCATCAAGGTAAATCCTCGGCAATGAACCCAAACATGCTCTTGACACTTCCACTCCCCCTTCTCTCGCTCAACCCAGGCAATATCGCAGCACTGCTCAAACTCCCACTGAACTTAATCTCCGGACTAGGATCATTAACCGTAATCATCGTATCCCCACTCCCCCTTCGACTTGACCTCTGCCAAAGCTTCACACTAGCCTCATCATAAAACGCCGACAACTTCTCCGAATCCCCCACGAACGCCAGAAACTCATTCCGCAACTGATCCGGATCCGGAGAGCCTGCCAAGGCACGTCTATCCCCACTCGCTTGTCGAGATGCGAAAATACGGTTCGTGAGCCAGTATATTTGGCCGTCGTCGTCGATTTGGGTGAACGCGATACCGGAGCGGTGGATGTATTGGCAGTATTTGTAGGAGGGTTTGCCCCAGGAATATCGGACGTCGACGTTTGCGGGGAAGGAGGAGGCTGAGACGTGGTCGAGGATGAATCCGAAGTGTTTTAGGAGTTGGATTTGGTAGAACATCGGTTCGATCACTGAGACGTCTGAGCCTGGCGTTCCTGGCTGTTGGCCGAGCTCCTGCGGGATTGAGGGGGGATCGAGAGCGAGCTTGATCTTCAACGCCGTCTGCAATGGGTTAAGACTGGTGACCGAGGAAATTTCCGTTAATGGGGCTTCCACGAGACGCAGTCCGTACTTCTCAGCTGTCCTGGCCCACATCTGCAATGTATCTTCGATAAGCTTCGATGTGACGTTTAGCCACTCCAGGCGAACGTGGTAACAGTTCTCAGGGTTCACTATGCGGTCGTAATGCAACGTAACAATCTCAGGTCTAAAAGACTTGCGCTGCGGATCCACATCGTACCGCATAATGGTAGACAAATCGATCCTCGGTTTGATGCGCACGGGCGCTGGAGAACTCGTAACGCCCTTACCGGAAGACTCACCAAACATACCACCGAGGCTTGACTGAGACGGAACCACGTCAGTTGTCTGGAATTTGAAAAGGGGGGGAGGACGCTCTGAAACTGGCGTGCTCACCGTAGAAGGGGCTTTGCGCAGACCGAACCATCCTTTGCTTGGTTTTGATTTGGCGTATTCCGATCGAAGGTGGTAGAAGTAGTGACCGTCAAGAAACTGATGGCGTTTCTCACAGTGCTCGAACAGGCCGGCTGTTTGTAGCTCGTTCCCGTATTCCACCGCCTCTTCTCGGGTGTGAACGTCGATGAAGTTTTGCAACAGCCAATTGACGAAGTCGCTTCCGATGAAGACATTCTCGTATGTTCTGAAATGCCAGCGCCTATCCTGCATTCGGATGCCCTTTTCTCCTTGCATTTCTTGTGCGAGGGTGGATAATGACATGTTCTCCTTCTTTAATCGCTCAGAGCCGATGAGCAGGGCCGGCTTTCTAGATAGGGTCGTCACATCACCGCTAAGTAGAGTTTCCAACTCTTGTCGGACGAAAACCTGCGGATCAAGCGTAGTGAATACAAGATCAAGGACATTAACATCCTTGACCTTCTTTGCTTTCTGAGTACGACGTTCCTCAGGAGCCAGCCACTGTCCTTTCTGGAAGATCTCGCTAAGTTTGTAAATGCCAGCAAGATGCAACTCCTCGTCGTTGAGCTCTTCAGTGTTTTGTGGGCCGATACCAGCATTCTTCGGAGGATCAAAGGGAATAAGGACGAACCGAGCACGCCAATATCGCGCAGCGTCTGTCAGACGATCCTCATAGCCAGCTAACAACTGGTCCACGTAATTCCAGTTGTACATGTCAGCCTTGGGGTATCGGAAATCGACGTCTGCGGATGTGTACGTGGAGTCGAAGACGTGTGCAATGTTGCAATGATAGCTCACATCAGGCACGTCCGCAGCTGCACGTACATATCGCTTCACCTCGATGTTATACCCGGAGGACTCTGCGGTGATGCGATGAATGTGATTGCCCATCGACAAATAAACAACCGACCCAAGTTCACTAAGCGGTCCTTCGGTCATCCCTACCATGAACTCCCTAGTTGGCTGTTGGTTCTGGTTTGCGGCAGCAACAGTCACCACGATCTGAAAGCCCTGACTCAAACGGACCGTAATCATCTCCGTCATCAAATCCCTTTGGTTCATGTCTTCATCCGGATCAATGGTGATGACATAAGTGTACTCTCGGAACTCATTCTTCAGTTCTTCATCAGAAGGAAAGTACTCTGTTGTCAGCGGTAACGAGGCCGGTGTACACATTGACTTCCACTTCACACTCGCTACACTCAGCGGACGTGGGAAAACATGTTGCCACCTTCGCCAGTGCGAGTTGAGTGTCAGTACATTCTTGCTCGGGTTCGAGGGGTTCACGATCTTCTGCCATGGGTCATGAACCAATTTCGCAACATTTTTGTCGGCTGGTTTGAGCGGCGGTGCCGGACTACCTGATCGCTCCCTCCTCATGGCTAAACCACCTATACCACCAGCAGCAGCTCTTCGACTCAGTGATCTTGCTGGTGAAATCAGTCTGTCGGCATTGTTGGCATTGCTCTGAAGATACTTTGCGGCTGACTTTGCCAAGGCCTCCTTTATGATGATCGGCTGGACTGATGAGCCTCGGTTGGTCACTTGCAACGTGCCCTTAGGCGTTGTGCTCGGCGACTTAAACCGTCGAGAGAAGATCGTGTCGCTCGCACTACTAGCAGGAGACGCAGTCACTGTGGCCGTCGCAGCTGTAGCTATCGCCGTCGACAAACTGAGCAAACTAGGAGCAGGCCTGATCTTTGATATTTGTCGGGTCAGCCTGGGCCTTTGCGGGCTTGTTCCCCTGGGCTTCGAGAACACTGTAGGATACGGTTCTCCACCGATTGGTGACGCGTCTTCACTCCCTGGGTCTGTGTCGTCTTCGCTGGAGAGTCCCGGACTTCTCAACGGACTAGGTAATGGCACATGCATCGACGATAGTCGAGGTGCAGCAAACGTTGGGTCACCAGTCAAAGTCAACGGCGTCTTCAGCTGTGCCTTGCTCCGCTTTCGTCTCTGTCTCCGCTCTTCCAGCACGACCTCCCATCTCTTGTCCTTCTTCGCTTGTTTCACGGCCTCCGAATGCCTAAAACTCGTACCGAACGACAACTCATCTTCTGCATCCGCTTTCCTCAATAGATCGTCTTCCCCTTCGTCTTGCGGCATCGCACTTCGCGAACTGATAAGTGACGAGGACAGACTCTTTCCGGCCGCATCAGCATGACGCTTCTGGTCTTTCTCTGTCCTCTTTCGAACTTTCTCCAGAACCTTTTCCGCAGCTTCAACCGGTCTGAACGCAAGGTCATCATACAAGTCCATAAATGCCTTTTTCCTTCTCTTCTTGTGTTCGTCATCCTCACCCTCAAACGTGACCCCCATCTGCGATTCTTTCCACAGCCGATCTTCATGCAAATATGCAATAGCAATACTCGACAACTCGTTCTCCATAATTCCCATCATCTGTAGCTCATGCATCTTACATCTTGGCACAAACTCGGTCCTCCTTCCACGCAGGTGTCGGGGAAGACCTATGTTTGCAAGCGTCGCTGTCGAATTATCCCTTGACCAGAAGGAGATATCGCACCATCTAGGCATAGCAAACAACCTCTTGTTTGTCTGGAAGGGAAGCGAGCGTAGTGTGCTCGTCGTACTCATGTAACTCTGTGCTGTGAAGCTGCCAATCACCACTCCTCCCTTTTGATCCTTGTCATCTTTCGCGTCTCCCTCCTCATCATCTGGTGCCTTGTATTTGAACAACGGTACGCTGTGTAAAGGCATCTTGCTCACACACACCAAATCAATAGCGATTCCATTCTGCGCAAGCGTCTCTGTTGTCAACCGTAGCATATCACCGTCAACCTCAAACTGGCCAGTACCGGGACTGACGATAACCAAACTGATACCAGTACGCAGTAAATCACGGTCAACATAATCCCGCGTAAACTGATACGCAGCAACATTGATCGCCTCCAATATCGGTCCCTGGAGCGCATACGACATCCGCCCCAAGATCATGGACGACCCATCCGGTAGCGTTTGTGTCAAAACTTCGGCCGGGAATGTGTGAAACTGCTTTTTCAGTTCTGCCAGAGCTGCTGCCCAATTATCACTGCTCACGTTATCAACAACGACACGGAAGAAATCCGAATAGCCCTTATGTCGCTGTTCGTGCCATCCGCCTGCAGTACGCCAATCTGGTCGGCCATCTCCCGAATCCATGGGTCTCCGTATCATACACAGAGGCGCATGATCATAGATTACTCGTGTAAACAACACGATAGAGACCAGATGATGCGCACCAATACTCTTCCATCTCTTGAATAACTGCGGCAAGAAACCATCCACAGCCTTTCCATACAAGACTTCACCATCCTCCTCAAACTCCCACATCTCGCGACTCATCTGGATAAAGATGCTGTACCGTGCAGACTCACTACGGAAAATCGGTTTTGTATGTTCTGTGACATATGCGCTGTCCATGATTTCCCCTTTGACGTAGATGCTTTTGATGGATGTTCGGATCGAGGTCTGTGAGGATACGCTCTGGTTCGTGTGGATTGTCGTGTTGAGGAGGGATCGTGAGAGGCGGTACATGTCGGATCTGGAAATATACTGGTCGCGAAAGAAAAGCTCGACATAATCAGCCGAGACAAGTGACTTGGATACCGCGACAATGTTGATAGCCGAACGTGCTTGAAGGTTGAAAAGATTCGCTATCGCAGACGAAACCGAGATCTGTAGGGTCGGAGGTCAACTTCCAAAGCACGCTTACCTCCGTATCGCACCGCACCTGCAAATTCGTCCGACTCCCACTCGTTCTCCCCATGCTCGCAACATGCTGCGCTGCCTTCCCCTCACCCAATCTCGTCTCCTCCCTCGCATCCCGACTATTCTCCTTCGAAATAAACAAATAAAAGCCTTTTGCGCCAGCTTTACTCCGTCCAGATTCTGCGCTTCCCGGTCGAGAACTATTCGCACTCTCGGGTCGAATTTCGTAGAGTTGGCCGGCGCGGAGATTGGGGATTGCTTCGTAGTTGAGGATGATCTCTTGTGAGGAGAAGGAGGGGTCGTGGACCCATAAGGTCGGAGGAGTCATCTTGTCTGGATCATGGGGTTGTCGAGGGAGTGTTTGGGGGGTACGGTAAGTTCACGTTGACGTTCGGCAGCTGGTCTTGCATACGGATCTCGGTTCGCACGTGCAGTCTGTGGGGTGCAGCTGATAGGGACGATGAGGGTAGATAACCTTTAGAGATTGATCATAGCAATATGGATAGAATTATTATATGGTTCTAGGCAGCTAAGCCGCCAGCGGCTCCGCCTTCTTCTCCGTCTCCGTCCTCTTCTCCACCTCCTTGTCCAAAGCCTTCACCCCATCCAACCTGATCCCCTTAAGCCTCCTGAGCAATTCGTCTTCCTCTTCCGCCGTCCTCTCTGCCTTCTTCTCCTCCTCCTTCTGCTTCTGCTTCTCCTCTTTCTCCCCCTCCTCCATCAACCCAGCAAACTCGGCCTCCAACTCATCCTCGTCAACCTCCGCCGTCTCCTTCCCAAGCTCGGCTATAATCCCGCTAACCTCATCGACATCCTCCACACCCCTCCTAACACGGTCGACGACTTCGTCAACGCGCTGTACGCCACCAATGTCTTTCATCAACCCCTCCAGGACCTTCGCACCTGATTCCATGATGGAGATGGTGGAGGCGTCCGTATTTGCTTGATCCACCTTCTGAATGATCTCTTGTAGTTGGTGAAGAGTCCCCGCACGTTGACCGAGCGCAACTTCTGCGAGTTTCTTGCTCTTCAATGATGAGAGCGCAAGGGTCTTCTGTCCCTTCGATACAGCCGCACGCGCTGCTTGGTCGTAGGCAGTCGAGCGTTCCGTGAGAGCATCGATTTGACGTGTAAGGTTCAGGATAGCTGTGTGCAGTTTTGCGACGGAGTGGTCTGCTTCAGTAATTTCGGCTGGTAGTTCAGCGCCTGGCGATGACTTGAACTTAATTGTGTCACCATCAATACGGATCTCGCCTTTGTCTCTTGAGAGGAACGTCAACAATGCTTTCACATCGGTGGCAGAGAGCGTGGTTCCAGGTACTGCCGTTGCTGCGAAGGTCTCTGTGAACGTTTGTGTTGAGTAGATAGGATCGGTGTATGGCGATGAGATCCGGGAGCACGCAAGACGGAGAACATTGTTTGCTGCGGACTCCAGGTTCTGAACCATGACGTATTTCTCAGTTTTCGAAAGGTCAACTGACGGCTGCCGTTCTCCGATAACTTTGCGAAACCCCCATGATAGTATCGCACCCACCGACCACGAAGACGAAGCATAGATGCTCTGCTGTTGTGACGTATATGTTGTTAGTGGTATCAAATCTCCACTTGAGAGTAACGAAGCCTATGCGTAGTCGATTAGCACGCTGCTGGCAAACCTACTATGCTTCTACACACAATCACAGCACCCAACCCAAGCGGACTCCCCCACTCCCTGCTACTTGCATCCCTCAACAACGACGGCCCCGTCTCCAATACCAACCTATCCTCACTGTTTCTAAAGGCCCCAGCCTTCGCTGCAGCCTCAATCGCACTCTTCCACGCCGTTACATTCGCTGCGTATCCATCTGGATTCGATTCCCGTTGCGAGGTGAAATCCGAGAACAGGGACGGAAGGCGGGCTTTGGTGAACTTTGGGTGAGCGAGGAGGAAGTCACAAAGGGTCGATGGAGGTGCTTGCTCCATGATGGAGGATGTCTGCTTCTTCTTGGTAATGGATGATGGAGGATTGTTGGACAAAGTTTGGATGTTTACGCGGTGAGACACTTCCCGTACGGTATCGCGACCGCCTGCGACGCGCTGCATTCGCGCGCACAGGTGAAAGTTACGTCAAAGAACTTCGCACACAGCAGTGCATACTGTATGCTATCGTAACCTCAAGCAATGCATATTCGTACAAGCAAATACCTCCCTATCTCTTCCTCTTCCTCCTCCATCAAGCCCGCTTGCTCATGGTAACCCAAAGCTCGGTCGGTTTCAACTATAAGTCCGGTCAGCAAGCCAAAGCGGAAAAGGCGTTTGTATCGATCGAACTGACCAAAAATCCCTCCCGGAGCACCGTCTCCTCATTTGGATACACCCTCTCAAAATCGAACCGTCTCAGGATACTCGCCATGCTCTTAATCAACTCCATAACCTGTCCAGCACTTATCAGCATTACCCATAACACCAGTACAGATAGTGGACATACCGCCACATTCCTCCCAACGCAAGACCTGGGCCCATACGAAAACGGAATGAAATACTTCTCAACACTAGCCTTCGAGATATCCAACCACCTCTCCGGCCTAAACTCCTCCGGACTCTCCCAAAGATTCGGATCATGGTGGACGGAATACGAGGGAACACTTAACACCGTCCCGCCCTCGAAGAAGACTCCACATCTGTAGGAGACATGTCAGCATGCGTCATTTGATGAATGGCTCGAAGCACGTTACACTTCTGCCCCCTGAGGCGGTACGATACGGGGTAATCCCAACGCACTCGTAGGTCTGTAGCGCAGGACTTCGTCCAACACCGCAGCGGTATATTTGAGGTCTTTGACGTCTTTCCATTCGAGAGCGAGGTCGTCGGTGATTTCGGGGAATGCTTCGTCGAGTTCTGCTTGGATCTCTGTCTTGCATTCGGGATTACGGCAGAGGAGGTCGATGATGTGACTGTATGTTCGATTAGCCATCACCACGGTGAGTCGCAACCCGTACGATCTTACGTAAGAGCTATGAAAGCATGTCAGTAGGATATATATGATTCATGGAGGCTAGGTACATACTGTTCGACGTCGTATCAGACCCAGCAATCAACTGCGTCAACGCCTCAGCATTAACCTCCGATCTCGGCAACGGCTCCCCCTCCTCATCCGTCGCCTTCAACAAGAAACTCAACAAATCCCTTCGATTCTCCAGCTCCTCTTCCGACTTTTGCAGGCGACGGTCGACGGCCGTGACAGCGATCTTTGCGAGTTGCTGTACACTCTCGTACCCACGGACCCAGAAGCGGTCGAAGAGGAAGTAGCGTGCCCAGTCTCTGACCCAAGGGATTGTTCCGACTGTCGCACTCCACTCACCGCGGTCATTAAGGACGCGAATCGCTCCGTTCGAGTCTGAACCACTCTCGATGAAGTGGAAGGGTTCACCGAAGGCAAGATCACCGATGATGTCGAAAGCGAGGTAGTTTGCCCAGGGTAGGAAATCCAGCGTCAAGGAGTTTGTTGCGGGGTCGATCATATCTGAGAGGCGAGAGAGAAGGAGTGACTGTCAGAAACTTTCAGTAAAGGAGTAAAACCAGTTATATAAAAAATTGCTGACCAGACTCTTGTTAATCAACGGCTCAAACCCAAGAATAGCCTATCCATCTTAGTCAGAACGTCACGAAAGAATTGTTGGTAAATATTATGGACACATACCTGTTGTGAAAAAGTATGACTAATAATCTTTCTCTTCCTCGTATGCTCCCCCCTATCCCTCGTATTGAACAACCCACGATGGATACTCACGAACGCATCATAAAATTCGCTCTTTAAGAATCCGGTTTGGTGACCGTAGACGATTTGGATTGCGTCAGGGTCGTTGATGGAGACTTGGTTGGGGGAAATGCGAACGAATTTGCCGCACTTCTATACATGCCGTCAAGATCAGAGGATGAGGGATAGGGTGGGAAACAGGGAGAGCACCTTATGGGCGGCATCGACGGCGAGATATCGTTGTGCCCGGCGGGCGTGGTAGGTGAGCCAGAACGGCGAGATCGCGGCTAGAAATGGCCCAGGGAATCGGCGGAGTCTGTGGGTATGTCGTGAGTGAGTTCCGTCATTCAAAACCTACCCACATACCTCAGAGGATCATAAAGGTATCGAATCGGAGTATAGGCAACAGCCGTAACCACCAACGCAACCAAAAGAACGGTAAGCGTGATCATATTTCCAATTGACGATATCAATTGCAGTTGATTTGAACGAATGAACAGGGCTTCAGCGTCTACTTTAACCCTTGCAAACCGGACCGACCGATGTGCGCTCGCATTCACCCTCGACGTCAAAGCGGTCAAATCTGCCGTGCAATGCGGGGTGGACTGCGACATTTTGCGGGGGAGTTGGGGAGGACCGTCACATGCACAGACCCGCAACGTTCTTTGCCCGGTGATAGACGGGGTTACGAACTTTTTCCATTCGTCTCAACTGTTTGGAGAAATGGTTTCATTATTGCAGCCATCGCCGCCGGCGATGAGCGGATCGACCGGCACCCACATACCCCACTCTCCTCGCACATTCGGGCTGTACCGTAGCTATCACGATGCGAATACTGATAGAAGATCACTCGTCCTCCTCTCCGCCCAAACTAACCGATCACTCCCACTCGTCGGCAACAACCCCATCGTCCAACACTTATACACCCCCAACCCCATCATCAACACCTGCATCACCACAAAACACACCTTCGGCAACCACAATCTTCCATCTTTCTTCAGCTGCTCAGACTCCAATGGTAGAAAAGTGTTGGCAGTGTTGGAGAGAGCGGTTACTGGGTTCTTGAAGAGCATGAATGCCATCATGAGGGAGAAGATTTGGAGGGAGGAGCCGGACATGTACATCATGAAGGCTTGCATTGGGACGTTTTTGGCGGGAGCGAGGGCGATTTCCCATGCTTTCTGTAGAGCGATATGTCAGACATGCACGTACGGATGACGGATGGAACATTGTCCTACCTTGACTTTCAGTGTATCCCGATCCTCTGTTGACTGTTTAGTTGCGACGGCGTTCTTGTTCTGTAGGCTGAAGGTCAGTCGCTGACAGTAAAGTGTCCGAATACAATTCAACTTACCGCCTTTGACGAAGGCGCCGGAGTAGCGACATAACCTGGCGGATTCGCAACATTCGCAGTGCTCGCTTTCGAACTACAAGACTGTTAGCACTTTCCCCAATGCGACAGACACCCATTGAGGAAGTACGAACCTCAAAGAGTTGACCGCAGTCTTTGAGATTTGAGCTGACGACGACATTGATCTCTTGTTGTATGCTGTTTGGTGTTTGTATGGTTCGAATGTGCGGCGCAGTACGTGGCGGAGCAAAAAGTCCAGTGAGCGGCAACTCCACCCTGAGAAAAACGAACGCTCCCATCCCCAGTCGACCCCCACTGTCACGGTCATGGGCCCCAGAGACAAGAAACACCGCACCCCAATGGGCGAAGCCGCCGAGCGCAAACCCGTCACCACCGATCCCCGTTTCTCCGTCGTTCACAGCGATGCGCGATTCGCCTTGCCGAAGAGGAAGGACACGAAGTTCGCGGTGGATAAGCGGTTCAAGGGGATGTTGAATGATAAGGAGTTTGCGGATGGGCCGAGTGTTGATAGGTATGGGAGACGGGTTGGGAAGGATAAGGGGAAGGAGGAGATTAAGAGGTATTATCGGATGGAGGATGAGGAGGAGGGTGAGGAGGGTGAGGACAGTGAAGATGATGAAGACAAGGAGGAAGACGATGAGGATGAAGAGAGTGACGAGGAGGAGGTGAAGAAATATGACCCGGCAAGAGGAGAGGGTATCATTGACTCCTCAGACTCGGAGGAGGAGACGGATGAGGAGGAGCTTGCGGAGCTCGGATCAGATGTCGAAGGCCGAGAACTTGCCGACCCAGAACCGGATCGGGAATCAATTCCTACAGGAGAAGAGACAAACCGATTCGCCGTGGTCAACCTCGACTGGGATCACGTACGAGCCGTGGACCTGTTCGCTACACTCTCCTCCTTCGAGCCACCAGGTGGAAAGGTCAGGTCTGTCGTTGTCTATCCCTCCGAGTTCGGTAAGGAGAGACTAGCAAAGGAAGATATGGAAGGTCCACCAAAGGATATTTTTGGCGGCGCAGAATCCGGCTCCGACGACGACGACGAGGAAATCACGGAGGAAACCATCATCAAAGAAGACAAGGGCGAAGACTTCGACATGGACAAACTCCGGAAATACCAACTCGAGCGTCTCCGCTACTATTACGCAATCGTCACCTGCGACTCCACGATCACCGCAAAATACATCTACGACGCAATCGACGGCGCCGAATACGAAAACTCAGCAAACTTCTTCGACCTTCGTTTCGTTCCCGACGACGTAACCTTCGAGGATGACCCTCGGGATGAAGCAGACCACGTGCCTGAGAGTTATGCGCCGGATGATTTCGTGACGGATGCGCTGCAGCATTCGAAGGTGAAGTTGACGTGGGATGAGGAGGATCAGGCGAGGGTACAGCTGAGGACGAAGGCGTTTAGTCAGAAGGATATTGAGGATATGGATTTTAAGGCGTACCTAGCGTCCGATTCGGAGGAGGAGGAGGAGGAGGATGATGAGGCGCAGAAGGAAAAGTATCGCGCTTTGCTTCTTGGTGTGAAGAAGAAGAGTGGGGCGGATGAGGATGCGGCTGCTGAGGGAGATATGGAGATTACGTTCGGTGCTGCGTTGGATGAGAAGGATGAGAAGGACGAGGAGGAAGAGGAGGTGGTGGAGGGTGAGGAGGAGGAGACTACGCTTGAGAAGTATCGCCGGAAGGAGAGGGAAAGGAAGGAGAGACGGAGGGCCGAGAGGAAGGTCAACATCAAGGAGGATGACGACAAGGAGGAACTCGGATTCGATGATCCCTTCTTCCAGGACGGAGGTGATAAAGCCGCGAAGCAGGACAAGAAGAAGAAGGACAAGAAGGTATCTGCCGAAGAAGCCGAGATGGAAGCCGCACGGAAGGCTGAGCTCGAGTTGTTGATGATGGACGAAAAGGAAGAATCCGCCATCACGGGCGGCAAGAAACCCCAACACTTCGACATGAAACAAGTCCTCAAAGCCGAGAAAGCAAAAAAGAAGAAGGGCAAAACCGCCAAAAAGCAACTCGCCAAAGTCGACCAAGAAGCAACCCAATCAGACTTCCAAATCGACGTCAAGGATCCGCGTTTCGCTGCCCTATACGAATCTCACCACTTCGCTATCGACCCGACGAATCCTCAGTTCAAGAAGACGGAGGCGATGGAGAAGGTTTTGGATGAGAGACGGAAGAGGCATGAGAATGGAAGGGAAGAGCCACCGGCTAAGGCTGGGAAAAAGAGGAAGAATGAGGAGGGGCAGGGCTCCGGGGAGGCTGGGAAGAAGGCTAAGAAGGTTGCGGAGAAGGAGGAGAGTGGAAGCGATCTTGCGTCACTTGTTCGTCGGATCAAGGCGAAGTCTGGACAAGCTTAATCGAGAACATCTAGGGTAGCTTATTAAGTCAATTGAGAATCGAACTTTTTTCTCTCGGTGTCCTATGTGTCATCTCGGCGCGGGTATCTCGGGCTGTCAAGCGCACGGCCGCCGGCCATGTCGTAACGTCATCGGCGCGCAAATCAGATCCTGTACTTGAACCAAGTCCTCGACATATACCAACCAGATAGACAATATGTTACCATTCGCTCGCGGGTCGATGCGATCCTTGCAGTCTCCAGCAGCGCGATTGCGGCTCCCTATTCCTCCTCGGGCGTCATCGGCTCCGGGATCAACCCGATCAATCACCACCCCGACCGGCCCCAGCAACGGCGGTGCCAAACCGTTCGATCCACCACCCATCCCCAAACGGCATCCAATCCGCCAATTCTGTTTCCGGTGGTTCGGTATCCCAATCATCGTAGCCGGAAGCGGAACCGCCGCGTTCTTCGCCTACGACGCCTACACCTACGACCACGCGACCGATAACTCCGTTTCCGTCTCCTCTCTCGCTCTCTCTCCCCGATTGGGTGGTCCCAACAATCTTCCAATCGCGGAGTTTTTGGTGGATGATGAGGACTCACCCGAGATCAAGCGCAGCTCAACAAAGCCGAGGTTGGTTGTACTTGGAACGGGTTGGGGGAGTATTGCGCTGCTGAAGAATTTGGATCCGGATGAGTATCATGTTACGGTTATTTCCCCGAGTAATTACTTTTTGTTTACGCCATTGTTACCGTCTGCTGCCGTCGGTACTGTGGAGCCGAGGTTCGCTCTTGATACCGTTGTCTTTCTGCATTGACTGACAAGGACCCAACAGATCTCTGGTCGAATCGATTCGTCGAATCATTGCACCCATCCGTGGTCATTTTCTCGAAGCAAAGGCTGAGCGTATCGAGTTTTCCGAGAAAATGGTAGAGGTCTCCGAGACAAATCCCAAGACGGGCGAAGTCCGTTCATTTTACGTCCCCTACGACAAGCTCGTCGTCTCTGTCGGCGCAATTTCCAACACCCACGGCGTAAACGGCCTCGAACACTGCCACTTCCTCAAAACCATCGACGATGGTCGCAAGGTCCGTCGCACGATTATGGATAACTTCGAGCGCTCGGTTCTCCCTACCACAACAGAAGAAGAGCGAAAGCGTCTGTTGAGTTTCATCATCTGCGGTGGGGGGCCGACAGGTATCGAATTTGCGGCCGAGTTGAGCGATATGTTGAAGGAGGATATGGTCAAGTATTTCCCGAAGATCTTGAGGAAGGATGTTTCGATTCATGTTGTGCAGAGTCGGGATCACATTTTGAATACATATGATGAGTCGATTTCGACGTTTGCGGAGGCTAAGTTCGATAAGGATGAGATTAAGTTGCACTTGAACGTGAGAAGTCCGGCATTGTTATGAGTGTGTGACCGTTGCTAATATGGAGAGTAGGCGCGTGTCAAGGAGGTTAAAGAAGACGCCGTTGTCTTTACTCAGAAGGGTAAGGATGGGGTCGTGGAGTCTGTGGTGCCCTTCGGTCTTTGCTTGTGGTCGACTGGAGTTGGTCTCGCACCTGTCACCGAGCAGATCTGTGCGACTCTGAAGAATGCTCAGAAGAACAAGCATGCCATTGAGACAGACTCGCACTTGAGAGTGTTGGGAGCGCCCATGGGTGATGTGTATGCCATTGGTACGCCTGGCGAATGGACAATCTGCTCTTCAGATGCTAACATTTACTTCGTACAGGTGACTGCGCAACCGTTCAAAACAACATCAGCGAATACATTGTCGACATCATCCGGTCCGCGCACGAAACGACCGGTATTACCGGCGACATTAAGAACATTCGCCTCTCCTACGGTGAATGGATCCGTGCCGCGAAGAAGGTCCGTCGTCGATTCCCACAGGCTATTCCCTACCTTCGCAAACTCGACAAACTCTTCCACGAGTTCGACAAGGATCATTCCGGATCTTTGTCGTATGATGAGATGTGCGACTTGTTGCACGATATCGATCGCCGGTTGACGAGTTTGCCGGCGACTGCGCAGAGGGCTAACCAGCAGGGTATGTACCTCGCAAAGAAGCTCAACGCACTTGCCCGTGCTAGGGAGAGTTTGGTGCGCAACGAGATCTTTGACGGAGATATCGATGATGTGGTCTACGATCCGTTTGAATACAAGTACTTAGGAAGCTTGGCGTACCTTGGTAACGCCGCCGTCTTTGACTTTGGTGATGCCCGTTCGTGGAAGGGTAATCTCTTGGCTATGGTAAGTGCAGTAGTGCATGTTGCGTATGACATGGGCTAACAAGCATTCACAGTACCTTTGGCGAAGCGTCTACTGGAGTGAGCAGGTCTCCTTCCGTAACCGAGTTCAGCTCTCCTACGACTATTTCAAGCGTACCATTTGGGGTCGTGACATCTCTCGTTTCTAATCAACAAAACATTCAACTCGCGAAGTATGAAATAGAATACAAAAATAATTCATGCTACAAATACATAACATTTCCTTCTCCCGATTTCGCACGGGCCACGGGCCTCTTGGCGGATGAGAAGCCTCAACGGCTGCGCAGCGCTTAAGCTTGCATGGCCGTACTGTATGCGAGGGCCAGTAGAGCACAAACAGCTAGCATACACCCCCCGTCGCGACCGCGTACGATACGGTAAATATCGGTCATCGACGTCGTATCAGGTTCTGACGCCTTTCGTTCTCGACGGCTTTTGGGTTTCTTGGTTAAAGCGCACCCTTTCTTGTCCCGGGCGATATCAATACGACGACGCCCATGATGTTCGCGGCGCGTCCGAAATTTCTAGTCATTGCTGCGGCGGTGTTTACGTCGTTCTGTTTACTGCTATATACTCTATCAGGTAATACTGACTTACTTCATTCCTTGGCCTTTGAGTGTGGAGCTGACCAAGTGTTACAGGCACAACCTCGATCGCAGCCTTCGAAGATAAGGCGATTGACGCTACGCATTACGGTCAGGAAGTCGTGACTGGTGCAATTTCGGATGGTGCAGAGGCTGTTGAGGATGTTGTCGAGGACGTCGTGGTGAAGCCGAAGAATCGCCGTCGCGCGATTGTTTCTTCCGTCCAAACAGACTCTTTCGCACCCCTTGCCATGGCCATGGGCTACTCCCTCAAGAAATCCAACGACCTCGACGCACAAGACGTTGACATGCTCCTTCTCGTCCGCGAGGGTGCCGTCAACGCTACCAACATCGCAAAACTCGAACAAGTCGGTTGGCAGGTCCGAAAAATGCAGGATTTGGTGTTTGAGGGCGTGAACTATGATGATATCCGACCTTGGCACAGATATAACTTGAACAAATTGATTATCTGGCAGTGGGAAGAGTATGAGAGGATTATCTTTGCGGATGCGGATATGTTGATTAAGGGTGACATTGGGGAGTTGTGGGATATGCCTGGAGGTAAGACTATCTCCCTTCTCTCGTAACGGCCATATGCTGATGGATGTGTTGCAGATTTCGCCGCAACCCCCGACTCATGGCCAGAAAACCTCCAAGATACCCGCTTCAACTCTGGCTTCATCCTCATCCGCCCCTCCAAAGTCGAATACGAAACCCTCGCCGAAAAGGTCTCCGACAAAAAGTACCACCGCCCCGACGAAGCCGACCAAGCCTTTCTCAACGTCTACTGGCGTTTCCGCGCCTACATGCTCCCCTACGCCTACAACTTCAACCTTGTCCTCTTCCGTTTCCATAGGGAGGTATGGGATAACTTGTGGCCCGAGGCAAAGGTGATTCATTTTACGACGAGGAAGCCGAGCACGAAGGATAAGTGTGCTACGAACCCGGATTGTCTTGAGAGGCCTGTGTTGGAGTGGTATTCATGGATGTTTCAAAGTATGGTTGAGGAGTATGGGTGGAAGGATATGCCGATACATGAGTAGCATGGTGCATTGAGCGGTGGACATTTCCTTGGGTGCGCTTTGCGACTGGGTCGTAGAGGTTACATTTGTTTCATCATAGATATCACGCAGCTCCTTTGCTGTTAATTTCTTGCATTGCATACCCGTTGTCTCGTAAAATATGTAGTATGTATCTCGAGTCTATCCGCAGTGACGCTTCTAAGGGTATCGATGACCAAACAGTGCAGCGAGAAACACCCTCCAATTGCAACATGGCAGGTTACCGCTCTTCAGCTGATGACCAAGCACCATGAATTTCAAGGATGTAGAAGGGAAACTGTTTGCACAGGGTTTATAGATGAGTCAGCTGCAGGAGTTAATTGACACAATAGTATTAGCACAGCTTGCTGTCAACCGACAGCATCCCATAGCATGCTGTATCCGAAGTGACTTTGGGTTATACTGGTTTAGGCCTCTATAGCTAGATATCGCCATGGCCAACCCAGTCCAATGTAAACCTTCACCCACCTGCAGCGGCATAATAAGCTTCCACACAAGGCAACCCTAGGTATAGCAAAACAATTATGTTCCCTAACCCCCAATAGATGGGAAAAAAACTCGCCCACGCCTATACAATGCATATTGGATCACTAGTACTGTTGCAGGAAGCACAGACATAGGACTCGTGGGGTTGGTAATGCGTGGGAACTCATATGGTGCCACGAGGATCCTGAATCATGCTGAAAACTCAGGGATGTTGTTCGGGCAACGCAGTATTTCAAGGTTCACGGGCACGATATTTTCTTCTTTTCGTCGAGCATCTCACCTGCGCCATATTTCTTATTGATGCAGTGAACGCATCGCTCATCGCTCATTGCTCACCCGCGGCATTAGTTGGATCCATGGACCCAAGCGTATCGTTCTTGTAGTCCGAAGGGGAACAGCTGAGAACCCAAGCCCCATTTTCATTTCGTGAGGCCGAGTTTATCCTTGGAGACTAAATTCTAGCAAGCGGGCCTGCATTTGTTATAGCCGTCATATCTTGGCATAGCTCAACGTCCAACATATCCCATGCCAGAAGCGGTAGCCCAGCCAGCCGACAGCTTCTTCTCCCTTCAGAATGCTCATTTGGGTGCTCTCAAGACCGCGTCATGCAGGAGCTTCGTTGCTGTCGAAAAACCATACGTCAATATACATGTATACCACTCCATCTGAATGGCGACGTCAAACGACGGCCTCGACGACGACGGATGTCCCCCTATAAATCCAAAGCAGTGCTCGGGGACCATATGTGGATAATTGACCGACACGATGCCCGCTACACTTGGGAAGCATGCAACTCAAAAGATTTAAACAAGAAGGTCCCGGCCAAGCCAGCTTTTGAGTGGACGTCAGAACAGCATAATCACAACTTGGGAGGCTCTAGTGCAACCAGAAAGCAATGTTGGCAAGGGCTGTAGACGGAAAGCGAGATGCTGGCAAGGGGTAGATGTATGAGGACGGACACTGTGCTTTAAAATCCCACGTTAGGCTTGTCATATTTATAAGCGGCGGACAGGATCACGTGAACATTGAATGTCTCTGTAGCTCAGCTGGGAGAGCGTCAGACTGAAGTGATTCAGTCATCATATATCTGAAGGTCTCGTGTTCAAGCCACGACAGGGACATCATTTTGCTCATTTAAATGAACCGTGGGAAGTCTTGGCACCCACGCTTTTATCCCAGCAGCATCACCACGGTAAGCGTGCTACACATCGTTTATCAAAATCCATACTACGCCTAGCATGTCTGCTTCGTCAATTGTCATATTTTGAACATAGCCTCCTCCACCTCCTTCATCCACCTCGTGATCTCCACATGAAGTCATCTTCATCTTCGTCATCGCTCTCATCCACCTCGTCTGCCATTTTTGTATCGCTAGATATGTTCTTTCCCTTCTCTGGTGCAGCGGCAGCTTGCTGTTTGATTTGCGCTCTCTTCTCCTTTAACTTCTGTACCCGCTCCTCCAATGACATTTGCTCGTAAATCTCGTCCTCCAGTTTGCGTCTTCGGAGCTCCTCTGGTGATTCTTCTTCGTCCTCCTCTTGTGGTTTGTGCTCCGGCTCTGTATTTTGACCTGCTGTAGTAGGAGCCACAGATATGGTGTTCGCGTGCGCTGCCGTAGTTTGTGCGATTTCTGCCTGAAAAGCAGCCCACTCATCTTCAATATTTGCCTCCACATCCGGGTTGTTTCCGGGATCGAAGAAATCAGCTGGTAGAGCATTGGGATTTGATGGCTCTTCAGGACTTGGTGATACAGGTCGGATCACCTGCGTCACTTTTTGAGCTCTGCCGCGAAGAAGATCGGCTGGCAGGGCACCTCGTTGCTCATCCTCGGATGGACTCGTGGTTCTTGTGCGTTTTGATGATGGCACTGCGGCATCTTCCGGCTGTCGCTTCTGCTTCGTACCATTTGGTGTTTGTTCCGCTCTGTAGGTAAATGTCAGTGTGGTTCGATTGACGCCGCGGTCGTCAACAGTCATGGACCTTCTCTGCTCCCTTGACTGCCTCAATAATCTTCGTACGTCTGCCGCGGTTGCTGACATCGTTGAACAGGTCTTCACGTCCTTGACATACGCTACGCGGTACGACGAGTTTCGCACACCAGGGCCCGGGGTGCGCCGCCATGACAGCCTACAGCGATTGTCAAAAGTTTAGTCAAACGCGGGTTTTTTCACGGCAGGGCGCGCCAGGTCGACTCACCAACTCGAAACACCCAAAACCTCATATCTCAAGCTACAGACCAGATATTGATAAACAGACTTCAGCAATGACTTCGGGCAATGCCAAGCGTCCAGGCCGTGTCTATGTAAACCCCAGCTTAACAACGGGATGCGGAGCTTGAACCAGACATACCCGTGACCGATCTGACACACCTACCTGATGATGCAACAACGGAGATGATTGAAACTACGGCTTTACCCTTGCTGAGCCGTGCCTTCAAGATCAGGCTGGTTGTTTTATGCCCAGGCCGAAGTGCTTATCCGGAACTCCTCACTGAAACGAAACCGCAATGGGATTGGAATGCAGCGGGCCCGCATATCAAGGATAAGGTCCTGATGCGTCTCAATCATGATCAGTCCTTCAGCACTGAGGTCAGTCAAGACGACTGCACCCTCGGAGTTGCCTACTGAGTTGTCAGAGATAACTTCCGCCTAGGGCCTACAAGTTTTATGGGAATTGATGTATGGCGAGCCTTCCTTGAGGAGATGGAGGACAGGCGTACTCGTTGGAAGCTCACTGACTTCATGGTCTGCCTCGACTGTGCTACTACCTATGTCCCTCCACCTGGTAAGGACGAATCTTCGAGTGACGAAGAACCATCCTCAACCCAGCACAGCGGTGAGGCAGTAAGGCAGGGAAAGGGTCCTGTACGAAGCAAATGCGTGATGCTTTATGTGTCATGAACCGAAGAACTACTTCGAGTTTCGCGACAACCCGAGACTCGATTTGTCTCGGGTCCTATCATGGCTCATCTTATCTTCACTCCTCTCGTTCGAGATCTTGTTCTCGGCGCCACCGAGCTAACTAAATGTGGAACGCCACCGAGCTCATCTATCCGATGCCTAGGTTGATGCTATAATCTGCGCTGAACCGTCTAGCACCTTGTCATGCCCACCATGGATTGAACCATCTTTGTTGGTACTCAACAAAAAACCGCAAAAAGAGACCACTCCCTCCAGTCTTTGCCAAGCAATCAACTCCTGCTCCTAGTCAACCGCAACCGTTACCGCCTGCTCCTATCTGCTGCAAAACGCCTGCACCGAGGGAACCACTACTCCCTACACCTACAACGTCCGAAATTTCTCATGGGAATACCACCCTTGCACTCCCAGCCCCTTTGTTGAGTCCTCTGAGTTTCGAGGATTGTTCTGATCTCAGTGGCCTCTTGGAATATGCTGCAAACAACTCCCAAGACTACCAAGATTTTGATGCGGATGAAATCAAGCAGCGAATCAGGCTCTCAGGCCTAAGCTTGATTGACATTCCTAAGATGACACCAAGAGACTTCCCGCTGCTTCGTCCTGGTCACGTAACTTCACTTGATTACCGAATACAAGTACTGGAAAGATGATTTACGGGAGAGACGTCGATCCCATAAACTCCGTAGAAGGGTAAGTGCAAACCCCACCTACTCCGCAGCTGAGCTACAGTCGAGGACGCAGTAAGGGCAACTATTGAGTATGCAAAAAGTCCACAATAAGGCATTCGGAACCAGGAATTTTTTGCTGTTTTCATGAAGCTAATATCCAGCCTGGAGACAGTCTATTTTGCCTAGGCTTTCAATAGCGCCCTTGTCGACTAGTTATTGATATTTGTTCAATGTTTCAACTTGATCCCAGAGTAGGTTCTTGTTGTAGGTCTTTTGTCGAGATGTAGATATCAACTCAACGTCCGCACATACACCCTGCAGGTTCCTGCATACTCTCCCCTGAATGCTTCCCAAAATGGCATCTCCACAGCCATTTTAGTAGTAAACTTCCAAGGACTTAGAGGTTTGAGTGGGAGATTTAACAACTTCTCGTAGCTAAGAATGTAAAACTGACTCGATACTGCTGTAAAAAACTGTCTCCTACACTGCTACTGCTACATCACCCTGCTCCTCACAGCTTGCGAAGAAGGTGCCATATCCGCAGTTCTTAACCCATACCTTAGGTTTTTTCGAAGTAAGTGCTTCGTGGATTCCTTGGAGAATGAAGAGAGGTATGTTCTTGGTAGTATTCTCCTCGGCATGATGCTTCCTAAACGCTGCCTTAAGCGTCGAGAAGCTGTTCTCGATAGGGTTGAAATCCGGTGAGTAGGGTGGTAAGTAGACTAGTCGACATCCAGCTGAATGGATGATTTTGGCAACCCTGGGATCATGATGGGTAGCGTAACCCTATCCATGACAATGATGCTATTTGGTGACTGAATAGGGACTGATCGTGTCATTTTCCTGCACATGCCCAGGCAAGCGAGCAGCTTGATAGCAAGCGGTGGCAGGTGCAAATCAACTGCAATTGAGATGGAAAATATTGCCTCGCAATTGTAATATAACCTTTTCCTCTGCCACTCCGTATCGTACAAACTTAGTCGCCCTACTCTGACAACCAGTCCAAGAAGTCTGGTGTGAAATATGTCAAAATCATGTTTGCTCCGGCTCTCAAGATGCTATCTAAACTCTCCTTGCCAACCCTCTTCAGGTCAAAGACACCAGCTTTAGCAGCGGCGTGAATCATAGCAAACTCCGCTGAAACCTGGTAAGCAGAAATAGGCACATCAGGTGCAATCACCTTTGCGTCACGGATGATATCAAGATAAGCAGTTGCAGGCTTGACCAAGATACAATCCGCACCCTCAGCAAGATCCCGGGTAATAGCGCGACGAGCCAAACCCCGTCCAGCGGGAGGCAGCTGATAATGCTTGCGGTCACCAAAGGCAGGAGCGGAGCCAGCCGCATTCCTGAATGGACCCTAAAGACACGTAGCAAACTTAGCAGAATATGAGATGAGCATGCACTTATGAGCGCACCTGCCTCGATCAACACAGTCTTGATTGCCTTGATGCGACCGTCCATCATGTTACTGGGGGCGACACAGTCAGCACCTTGCTTGGTGAGTTGCATGCAACCTCAGCAATTCTCTTCACACTTGGAGGGTTGTTGATTGTTCCATCTTTGTGCAAAATACCACAGTGACCGTGATAGGTGTATTCACACAGGCAGACATCGCAAGCAATGAAAAGGTTGGGAAAGTGTTTCTTGAGAAGAGGGATGGCCTGCATGATAGGTCCGACCGGGTCATTAGCAGATGTGCCATATGGGTGCTTGGCCTCTGGGGCAAGAGGAATGACAGAAGCAAGTCCATTCTTGTACAATGGCTTAAGGAAAGGCACAAGCTTGTTAAGACCTCATCTATAATCATTAGGTTAACCCTCATTCATCCTTGTAAACAGTCCTTGGATCTCATCCTCTGCATCAGGATCATCGGTGATGAAGATAGGGTACATGAGGGCAGCCTTAGTCAATTACCTCTCAGCCTGCCACAGCCGGGAGGTAGGGTGATGGTAACCTCCATGGAGAATGGATGAAATGTCGGATCCTGGAAGAGGGACGGTGGGAGGAATATTCGACATCGTGCGTTGGCTATGGAGTCTGAGGAGGTCCGATCACGGCCAGCACTGACATTGCGGTTCTCCGGTCATGCAGGTTCATGCGCGCACGTAACGTAGACATCCGCGCACCAAACCTCCTCGCCCACAACCACAACACCATACCCAAGCGAGGTAGAGACCTGAAACCGACCGAGAGGGCTGAAAACTCGGTGCAAATAAGCTTGGTTCGTCTTATTAAGACCAGCTGTTCTTGACCTATCCTTGTGTCCTGAAGTAAACCCACCTTCGATACTGCACAAGACCCGTTGCTGCTGGAGAAGCAGACAATTGTCCGTGCACATTAGCTCAGGAGATATAATATAAACATTCTGTCCCGTGGTTCTGTCTCAATGGCGAAGAAAGGTGTGCTCTTTCCCGACCGCAGACGTGCGGTGAGAGATACAGGTGGACAAGTAGCTAACACAGCCGGTGCAGAACAAACACAAGAAGCAGCACCTCGCCGGTCCGGTCGTGCGACGAAGGGACAGTCTCAACGTGTCATTGACTACGAGGATGTCACGCATACATCATCACCACAACCTGCTTCAGCCAAGACCGGTCGCAAGTCGGCACCTCGAAACCCTTCCGCGACTGCCGATGAAGAGGATGAACAAACTGAAGAAGAGGCCGGGGACGAAGTGATAAGATGTCCTTGTGGTGACGACGATGATTCTGGCTTCATGGTTGCATGCGACACTTGCGGTGTCTGGCAGCACGCCGAGTGTGTCGGCATTCCGAGCGAAAACGATGCCCCTGATAACTACTTTTGCGAGAGATGTCGTCCAGATTTGCATGAAGCCCTGCTGAAAGAACTTGAGGAGGAGAAGAAGCTGCCTAAGCGGAAGGCCGCGTCGAAGAAGGCAAAGGGCAAGGGGAAGAAGGGTGCCAAGGTTGCGAAAGACGAGAAGCCGCAGGTGGAGAAGGACGAACCGGAATACAAGGTTGATTCTGAAGCTGAACAAGAAGAAGACGAGCCTCTATCTTCACCTATCCGTCGCAAGAGTCTCATGCAGCAGCGTAAGCGTAAAACTCCAGAACACGACGACATTGATGATTCCGACTTCGATGCCGAGGATGATACTGTAAGTGTACCATGCCTTTCTGCCCTCTAAACGCCGTACTGACAAATACTGCTTATAGGAACGCAAAACACGAAAGACTCGCCGCGTCAGTCACTCAGCTCAAGACCCTGGAAAGAGCACCACGAAACGCCCAACACCTCTTCGTAAGAACACAGTTACGGAACCAGAGCCCGATACTCTCACAGCCCGTGATGCTATTCGTGTGGCTGTGCTTAAGCAATTCACTCTCGTATTCGAAAAAATTGTTGAAACCATGGCTGCCTCTGGCTCGTACATTCTCCCCGAGAACATCACCGCTACCCAAAAGGTCGAGGAACTTGCCGAAGGTGTCGAAGGTTCCATGTTCAACCACTTCCACACCGACGAGGGAAAGAAGAAGATTGTCACGCCGCAGTACCGTGAGAAGGCTAGGAACCTGCTTTCGCACTTGAAAGATGAAGCGAATCCGTCTTTGCGTCAGCGTATCCTTGATGAAGAGATCACACCCGAAGCGTTGGTCACTATGAAGAACGAGGAGTTGCAGAGACCGGAATTGCGGGCGCTTGCAGAGGCCGTCAAAGCGGAAAGTATGAAGCAGGCTGTGCTGGTGGAGGAGAAAGGGCCAAGAGTCAGGAGGACCCACAAGGGTGAAGAAATTATTGGCGACGTCGATATGGGCTTCACCAACACTGAACCCAGTGCACCTGGCATCACCAGAAGAGGAACGGATGAGGAGATGCAGACAAATTCCGAGAGCCCAAGAATCACGAAGAAGGAAAACCCGGAACAGAGCCCTGATGTTGACATGGGTGAAAGCGGTGTAGCGTATGAGGATGAAGGTCCGGTGAGCCCATCGCAGTTCAGCTCGTCGGAGACGACCCCAGCAAAGCTTGTGAAGACCTCTTCTTTCACCGCTCCATCCGAGTCGCCGATTGAGAAGAAGACCAACTTCGACATCAGCAGCGTCTGGAACAACGTTGCCACTATGTCACCCCCAGTCCACGATGATCGCGATGTACCATCTCGCAAGGGCTCCAACGCGAAAGCATCCGCTGACGTCGACTTCGATCCTGACATCGATGCCTTGCTCGGAGGTGACACAAAGCAAGAGGAGGAGGACGATGATATTCCATACTCGCCTCCCGCCGATTTTGCGGCTCTGGAGGAGATGACGAAGCCAAAGCCCGTATGGAAGGGACCCGTTACTTTACCCCGAGTCGCACAGTTTAGTTGCTCTGCCTACAAAGTTGGTGGACCGGAATTCAAACACATTCCTGGATTGAACTCATGGAATGATTGTTTCGAGGCCACTGTCGTGATTGAGGGACGTATTGGCATCGAACAAAGTACCAAATACCTCTGTGCACAGAAACACTCGGCGAGCAAAGAGGTCGTGGTGTTCAAGTTCATTGCGGATGATGATGAAAATGCAAAGACGGAGTTCAAAAAGCTGTACGAACACTTCCAGTCTCGCGAAAGACACGGCGTCATCCGCTCCTCCTTGCTGCCGGCCGTGAAGGATGCTTACATCGTTACTCTTTCACCTGATGCTACGATTCCGGAGTTTATCGAGTTACTGGGGGATCATAATGTTCCCTTGGTACGTGACGAGAACATGCTTCTTGCGGTGTTGGTTGTCAACAAGGGTGCGAAGAGGAACAGTGTCGCCGCACCAAGTGTTACGCCGGCTTCGAACCCGCCGTATCAATCACCAGCAGATCCTCGCTTGGCGAACCAATCACCATCTGACCCGCGCCTTGCTGGTCAGATGTATATGTCGCCAGTTGAATATACCCCTCAGCAGCAAAGCTTGTATTCACCGCCTACACACCAGCAGTACATCCCACCTCCGAAGCCAGCACCAGTACCGGCACCGGCACCAGCACCAGCACCAGCTGCTGCTCCTGCTGCTTCCGCACTGGGATTTTCACCGAATGATTTGGCACTGTTACAGGCCATCATCGTAGCAAACCCAGAAGTCGCCGCCAACCCCGCAATGTTGCAAGACCCGGTGATCTTGTCGGCGTTGATCCAGAGACATCAGGCTACCTTGGCGGAACAGCAGAGAGCTCAGCAGGAGCAACAGGGTGGGAGTAGATGGGATCGCCCGCCTCCGTTTTAGGGTCATTGTGATGTGGAAGTTTGCATGACTGGGATTCGCACGGGCGTTTGGTACCGGTGTACGGACATATCGTTTTTGGAGTGAACTTGTCAGGAATATCAGTTAATGTAATAATTCGAGCGCAGCCGTAGCCGTAGCCGTCGCCTTTGTCTTTCGTCAACACACTAGCTAGTCCTTGGGTATATCCTTAATCTTGTCTTATCTTACCACTCCACTCCCCTACTCCTTCTTCCTCTTCAACTTCCCAAATATCCTCTTCAGCACCGACACCCTCGGCTTCTTCACCCCCGCCCCTGCCGCCGCCGCCTTGATATCCTTCACCAACACGAACCTCCTCACCAACAAGTTAAAAATACTCCCAAACGCTAACGCAAGTACCGTACTCGTCAATATAATCACATTATACGGCATCGAGAAATCCGGTGTCGGCATCGTCAACAGCAAACTCGTAGTCCGCATCTGATATGGCGTGTCGTTGGTCATGGTGTCGGTGGGAAGGACGGTGATGACCGCGGGGGCGATATCGAACCCCCTGTTCGCGTCAGATGGGTATTCAATGTACCTCAGGATATACTTCTCGAATTCCCAATCAACCTCGACCGTACTCCCCGCCGGAATCGTAACGAGTATCTCCAAATGCGTACCACGCTCCCGATTCTTGGCTGGGAGGAAGTACATCTCTTCTATCACCCCCGGGATTGAGGTGTGGAATGTGTGCATGTAGGGTTTTAGGAACCAGGGGAGGGATTCGAGGTAGCTGATTCGTAGGGGGGATGAGGGGGAGGGGTTGTGGAGGGTGAGATGCATTCCGGCGCGGGAGGGAGTGTGGTGGGTTAGGGAGCGGGAGGCGAGGATGGGTGGGGGGGTTGGGGGGCCTGCGACGGAGGGGGGGTGTTGAGGGGAGAGGAGGGTGAAGGGGGTTGTGTCTGTTGGTGGATGGACGGTTAGCGATTTGTGTACACCATAACGGGAACTCCCACCAACCTTCTAACGAATACCGCGCAATTTGCCTTCCCGAGGACTCTTTCCAGTCCAGAGGCTGCGGCTCGAGATCCACTTTCTTGTTCACGACATAACTCACATCACCCCTCCCCGCATGCTCCCTAGCAAACGGACACCGCCCCGGCACACTCTTCCCAAAAATCTCCTCTAAACTCCACCCCAAATTCTCCCGATTCTCGACCGGAAAACAGGTGTCACCATTGTGATACCCCTTCGCTTCATCACAAGCCATCTCCTCTCCCGGGCGTGGTTTAATGATCCCGTTATCCGAAGCACGTTTCCGGAGTGTCCGCGATACGTCGATCACGACGTCGATTTGCTGCGTCACCGACACCCCACCAGCCTCGGTGGTGGGCAGGACTGTTATGGACATCGATTGGAACTGCGCGTCGAAGATTCTGCGTCCGTCGAGGAGGGCGGAGATTCCGGCTCGGCCTTTGCAGGGGAGGAGTTTGAGGAAGGGTGTCAAGTTTTCGGTACAAACCGTCTCCCTCGGCAACGCGCCGTGAAAAACATGTAGACTTGATTCATTGACACCACGATACGCACCCTCAGGTTGGAAGCTGAAGATGGGGCGGATGGTGCGTTTCATGTCGAGTGTGTTTAAACTCGCACAGAAGAGTCCGCTGAGGGCTTGGTTGAGTTCGAGCCAGCGTTTTTCGCTGAGGCGTTCGGCGGGGGCTTCGAGGACTGCCCAGAGTTCTACGCCGTTGCCGCCGGTACGATGGCCAGAGTCGGGGAGTGCGCCCCATTTTTGATCGTCCCATCTGCCGGCGAGGAAGGAGAGGTGTAGCTCCTTCGTCTGTGTATGCTGCAACACCTGGGCGAGTGGTCGTGGCAAGAGGTCGTAGTGCGAGCAACTGATTGATCCATTCGTCTGGAAGGAGAAGGAAGCGAGGACGGAGTTGGCGGGCAGCGGAGAGAGCTGGAGGTGCTCGGCGTAGAACGCGGTGGCTCCGTGGGCGAGCAGCAGGCCGAGCAGGAGGACGAGTGCCAATGCCATCGCGATCCAGCGCAAACGGCGTGGGGGGTGGGGGGTGGGTGGGGTCGTGCGTACCTGCGGCGTACCTGCGCGCTGTCCCACGCTGGGATTTGCCAATTTTCAGCTACAAAAGAGACGCGGGAGCGCGTGGGCTGCACCACCACAGCGACAATTGAAAAGGTAAGAGAACTCCATGGAATCTCAAGATCCGTCTCATCTCCTCCAAATGATGAACCAGCGCTGGCACCAGTCTGTCGCTCACCATATACTCATGGTGGGCAATGATGATGCCTTTATAGCCGCATGCACCTTTATACGCTCGCATGCCTGAGCATTGCGAGGTAGATGAGATATCTTTGAGATTGATCGCTTCCTTCGTCCTGCAGTCCACTGCCAAGTGACAAGACGCTGACCGATCGTCATAGTTCTTCACCTCTCTCCTTGTTCCCCTTGTCACCAGCACAGCCCACCGACCTCGTCCTTTTCCTTTCCCTTTCCTTTGAATGATTCTAGTATAGTCGCAATAGAATTTACGTTGCCTGTCATTCCCATTTCTATCCTTTGTCCTCCCTGTATTCGTTGTCTTCTCCGCTGTACCAGCCTCCCCAATTAGAGTGTCTCTCGAATGCGCGCACCCAAACTACCGCCGTACCTTTGAATGAACCCCGATCGACCCAACCATACGAGCCCATACTATACCCCCGACGACCTCTTGGACAATCGCTGCTCTTCTTCCGCTTCAGACAGCGTGCAACTTTCTTCCACCAGGCATTCATCCGCCCGAAAACCGAGTCCCTGAACGCAAAGTCCCCCGTCGTCCCGAAACGTACACAATGACCACTCACCGACAATCCAACCCTCCTCCTCGGCCAGCACCTCCCCCGCCAATGTCCAGCGCTATCCGACGAGCTCCCTCAGCACCACAGCCATCCAAGTACGCCTACTCCTCCGCCAATTCCCCCATCTCACCGGTCACCGCCGCGGCAGCCGCGAACCTCCCGGAGAGCGATCTCGTCCCGCAACGACCTGCGCCCCGACCACCGAGTGCACCGAGTCATTCTCCAGCATTGGAGGGTCATGCGCGGTTTCCGACAACGCGTTCGATTGGGATGGGACCGCATACAACCCCGCCCATGCAGCAGATCAAGCAGTTCTCTGCGCCATCTTCACCTGCGACACCGGCGAAGAGCTCGAGAAGTCGGAGTACGAGCGCGAGTGGGTATACACCTAACCGTCACGGATCTGATGATGGCTCGGACCATGTTCGCGAGAAAAAGAAGAGTGCGTTCGCGGGGTTCATGTCTTCTATGATGGGCGGTCTCGGCTCCTCTTCGATTTCGAAGAAGAATAGCGCTGGTGTTGCGATTTCGACGCCGTATGATCCTGTGCACCTTACTCACGTCGGTTTCAACAACGATACTGGTGAGTTTACTGGTTTACCGAAGGAATGGCAGAAGTTGCTCTCGGACTCGGGTATCAGCAAAGTGGAGCAGGCGCAACACCCACAAGCCGTGATGGATATCGTGAAATTCTACACCGAGGTACAGGAGGGGAAGGAGACAGCGGAAGGAGAGGGTGTATGGAAGAAGTTCAACCATGCCGATTCACCCACGACAGCGACATTCCCTAGCCCCAAACTACCACAAGTCGACAAAATGCCTGTAGCACCACCCGGTGCCGATCCGCTGAAACGCGATCCGGGGAGTATCATCCCAGCACGGGCAACACCACCCAAACCCGCCCCACCACCGCAAGCAATCTCCTCCCCACCACTCGGCCTCTCGAAACCCCTCCCAGCCGGTGTCTATATCCCTCAAAAACAACTCGCCGCCGCCGCAGCATCCACCGACCCCTCCCGCCAACAATCAATCGAGAATCTCAAAAACCGCATCGCGGATCGGAAAGCCAATAAACCCGCTGTCCCGCCTGTTCCGGCGATCCCTGCACATGTCGGAGGAGAGGCAGCGGCGCTGATTCCGGGTGCTGGTGCGAGGAGACGGGAACAGAAGAAGCCGGGGATGAGGGATGAGGAGGTTGTGGCGAGATTAAAGGCGATTTGTACGGAAGGGGATCCGACGAAGCTTTACAGGAATCTTGTGAAGATTGGGCAGGGTGCTTCGGGAGGTGTCTATACCGCTTACCAAGTCGGCACGAATTTGTCTGTGGCGATTAAGCAGATGAATCTCGAGCAACAACCCAAGAAGGACCTCATCATCAACGAGATCCTCGTCATGAAATCCGCGAAACACCGGAATATCGTCAACTATATCGATTCGTTCTTGTGGAAGGGTGATTTGTGGGTTGTGATGGAGTATATGGAGGGTGGATCTTTGACGGATGTGGTTACGTGCAATATCATGACCGAGGGACAGATTGCGGCGATTTGTAAGGAGGTGTTGGAGGGGTTGAAGCATCTTCACGGACAGGGTGTTATTCATCGTGATATCAAGTCGGATAACGTGCTTTTGTCGCTGACGGGGGATATCAAGCTGAGTATGTTTTACGTCTTGCCAATCTTGTGAGGGTTGTATGCTAACGTTCTCGTTACAGCCGATTTTGGGTTCTGCGCTCAAATCAATGAAGCAGCAACAAAACGCACGACAATGGTCGGTACGCCGTACTGGATGGCACCCGAAGTCGTGACCCGCAAAGAATACGGTCCCAAAGTCGATATCTGGTCCCTTGGTATCATGGCCATCGAGATGATCGAGGGTGAACCACCATACCTCAACGAGAACCCTCTACGAGCACTCTACCTTATCGCTACGAACGGAACCCCGAAGATCAATGAGCCTGAGGCGTTGAGTCCCGTCTTTAGGGACTTCTTGGCGAAGAGTTTGGAGGTGGATGCGGAGAAGAGGCCGGATGCGACGGAGTTGTTGCAGCATCCGTTTTTGCAGAAGGCGGAGGCGTTGAAGAGTTTGGCTCCGTAAGTCTCAGCATCTGACAGGTCTGGTAACAACTGGCTAATAATTGTGATAGGCTGATCAGGGCTGCCCGTGAGTCGACGAAGAAGTGAGATGCAGAAAGGATATCGGAGATCGATGATTTAAACAACTACAAGGCCTGAAGGCGGGCGTTCTCGGCGTGTGCACTTGCTCTGCTATCCGGCTCCCACCGGGACCCTGAATCGCTCAACAGGGACGGCTTCAGTTTCGTAAAGTATTTCGGCAGAAGGCGTACGGATGTGGCAAGATATATTACGGTTCGGTTTAACAAGGACATTTGCGTTAAGTTAGGAAAACATACTCATACAGAGACAATCGGAATTTTCACGTTGCTACCTCCGTTTTTGCCAACAACATCAAATACGAACCCAGATGGATGCTCCAAACTAAAACACCGTATGCAAGACTTAATGCAAACTCGTTATTCAGATCGTTGATGCAACCGCTCCCACAACTGACGCCTCTGCCGCTACACCATAGGCCTCGACTCATCTTTCCTATGCGCTCAGTAATCTCGATTCAAGATGCATGGACGCAACGTTTCTTACATTTTCGTACGCCTGCCCTGACGGATCCGCAAGTTCAGCGACCTTGAGCAAAACCTTAGCCAAATCATCCGTCATCTTCACAGCCGGCCACTCATGCTGCATTTCTTCGAAAGCAAAGGCAAGTCCATGAGTAGCTTCCTTCCGATTCTCCGCACGAACGACGAGAGCCCAAAGGAGGGTGTACATGAACGAGTCCCGCACCATACCAGCTTGAGCGATACTGCGCCATCGTCTCCAGAATGCGGCCCATTGACCCACCGTCGCTAATGCGATAAGCTGGATGCAGAGGAAGGGAGGGGTGAGCGGGATTCCCTGCTCGGTCATAGATTCTTCAATGTCGAAGACACGGTCGTCCATCCGGGTATATCTAGTACGGATTCGCCGTTGCAGCCCGTGCATCGTGTTGAAAGTAGAAGTAACCTCCTCAATCGCCTCCTCCGGCGTCGGGAGTTCTGGACAACATGCCAAGTACACGCTTTTATAAACCCTTGCCTTATCGACTTCCCAACCCAGCTTGTGCATGTTATCCGCGACCTGCATGATTTCCCTTATTGACGCGCTGACATCATCCTTCAGAGCCTTCCACCACTCGTCTCTTGAATCTGTAACTTCGCTCTCCGGATCTTGTATGGCATTCTCGGATGCCTCGGCCCTGGACCGCATGTTATCTTTGTAGAGGTGCCAAACTCTTGAGTAACGTCGATATCTTACCGAAGTCGCGATACCGTCCATAATAGCGTAAAACGTCTCCGGCAATGGATCGATACCTGACGCCTGCATTGTTGACAACGTATCCCTGAAAGCAAACCGTGCGAATACGAAGGGCTGCATCTGATGTGCAGTAATGTAAAACTTCGTTTTCAAATGGAAGTGTTCCGCGGTGAACCGCGTCGGATATGACTCCCTCCATGAGGTCAGGAAAGGTCTTTTTGAGCTGATCGTATCCGGAAGAAACTGTGACATCTCCTTACTTGGGTCCATACCGTAAAGTACATCCTCAATGTGTTGGCGCTGCGATGGTGTCAAGTCCAAGTCTTTGACACCGTTGTACGCAGTTGAGTATCGCTGGAACCGCCACGCTCGTTGCAGAAGTTGGACATGTGCTTCCATCAACATGGAACTTTTGTCACTGTCGCTCATGTCCAGAAAACGTACCACCTTTGGGAAAAAGCTATAATCAGCCGCCGCAACAACTTGCTGAAACAGATGTCTGATATCTTGCTGAACATGCTCTCTCAGCTCAGGGTAAGCGTTGAGCATGTCGACGAGGGCAGCGTGTGACTCTTTGTAGCTTGACAACCTAAGTGATGAACGAAAACTGTCGAGAGAAGCTCTGGCCGGTGCGGAAATCGTTTCGACTGAAGCTGAAGCTGGAAATTCCGGCTCTGATGATCTCAAGACGGCCTGTGCTGTCGCCATCATTCGGCGGGCGCTCGTATGGAATCCCCTGCTCTGTCGCCCAAGAGCAGCCGTCCTGATCGATGTACGCCACTCATTCTTGATATCCTTCACATCATGGAACGCATCCCCCTTATCCTTCAACTTCTCCTCCCACAACCCCTCCAAATCAATCTGCTCCCGGCCCGCCTTCGTAAACATATGCACGACCAAACAATCCCGTCCCGTATCGACACACACCCAGTTGCTTCTCACATCTTCCGGCGACTCAATCTTTCCGCGTGCCAAGTTCTTTCTCCGTCGCCGGGCGACGACCTTACCCTGTGCTTCACGCGGTAACCCCTCCGCCCACGGACGCAGGTTGTAGGCTTTTCTCAACCATGTCATCAGATCCTCTCCTGCGACACGTAGATGTCTTTCGGCCTTTGCGGTACCCACGATCATGATGGTCTGTTCTCCCCATGCTGCAGGTGGATCGCAATTTCTGAGATCGAGAATTTTTAGGTCGAGGAGGTTGCATTCGCTGGACAGGTAGTTGAGGAGGGGTTCGAGGAAGTCTGGTGGGTTTTCGGGGAGGTCGGGGATCACTTCGATGGGCGTTACTGGCGCAGCCCATTGAGATTGGATGTCATCCTCATTGAGAAGATACCAGGGCTTTTCCTCCACTGACGCTGACCCTGACGCTGATACTGCAGAAGGCGACTGGGTTTCTGGTGACTCGGTTGCTTCGACTGATTCGACTGATCCGCTTGCTTCGGCCACTACCGTTGGCTCAGCCCGTTCATACTCCGCATCCTCCTCTACCAAACGCTCCTCTCCAGTTCTAGCATTCAACCCACTTGCATGCGGCCGAACTCTCGGAGCAGCACACGGTCTCGTCAGAGAGACAAACGACCGCACCACCACTGGCTGAAGATGACGAGCCGAAGCAGCTGTCTGTAGGAGGGATTTCACGGAGATCAAGGACCTCGACATGGTTATTTTGTGGAAAGTTTGTGTGGTGTATCGCTTCCGCCATCAAAAAATTGCCCAAACGGGTGCTGTCAGGGACAGTAGCCTCAGGCCAATACGTCGCCGTCGCGGGGTACCGGTAGCGATACTCCAGCTGGTCCCTCACAACCTTGGAAGACAGCAAATAATCATGGATTTAGAAACGATCAGGAAGTTTACGTTCCAGCGTATTCTCAGTGAAGGTAATCACATAATGACAATCTGCTTCTTTCCTTACTGAAAAAGGCGTTACAGATCCCAAAAACAAGTTCTTAGCCATCCTCGGCGAAATCCAGGATCAGCCCGCAGTCATCATCGCCGAAAAGACTGCCTTCGACAACCCCACTGTTTCTGAACTATTCCAACCCAATTTGACGCCGGACGTCACTTTAACCGAAAGGAATGACGTTTACCACTCGTACACCGCGACGATTGCACAAGATATCGCGAAGCCTGGGATCAAGGCCACTCTGATCTGGCCAGCAACGCAGACTGTACGAAATACTCCAACGTGCACATTTCTTTGTTACTAACAACTGTATCCAGCACATCAGGAAATACTCCAAACAAGCCCGCCGCATGATCCGCGAAACTCCCGAGCTTTACCAGCAGATCACCCTCCCCTACATTACCTCCCAACTCGGCCCCCGCATTCAATGGGTCTACAACATCCTCAACCACACCGCCGAAACCGACAGGATCGTCTACGAAGACACCGATCCCAACACCGGATTCATCTTGCTTCCAGACTTAAAGTGGGATCGTGTGACACTGTCGTCGTTTTACCTCATGGCCCTCGTAAACCGTCGAGACCTCCACTCCCTCCACGATCTGAACACCACCCACCTCCCCCTGTTGAAGAACATCCGCTCCAGCGCCCTCCGCGAAATCCCGCTCCAATGGCCCACCGTCTCCCCCGACCAACTCCGCCTCTACATCCACTACCAGCCATCATACTACCACTTCCACGTCCACGTCACTCATCTCGAATATGAGGGTGGCGATGGCATGGCGGTGGGTAGGGCCTGGCTGTTAGATGATGTGATTGCGCAGTTGGAGGAGATGGCGGAGGGAAGGGGGTTTGAGGGGAGGACCATTACGTATGTTTTGGGGGAGGAGAGTGGGTTGTGGAAGGAGGGGTTTAGTAATGTGAAGGGGTAGGAGGAAGGAGGTTTCTATATTTTTATTAGGGGTTTTTATCTATTTTCTTGTATTGCATGCAATGCATCTTACGGAAAACGAGAAACCTGGAGGAACACACTTGGGTTGCAAAACATCGTCCGATACAGTTCGTGGAACTCGTAGCAGTTAACCCGACAATAGGTCTAAATTAGAGAATATGAGAAATATGAACGCCATACACATAACCTATCCAAACCAGTCATAATCATCTTGATCTTCCTCTTCCTCCTCGTAAGGTGCGTCATCCTCAGATAGATCAGCTTCCTCATCCATACCAGCCATTGACACGGACGGTTTAGAGCGCAAGTTTCTGCTCTCTCCGACCGCTTTCTCGGTGGTAGATGCCTCTGGGAGAAATCCACCGGCAGCTTCAGTTTCAGGTAGGAAATCGCTTCCTTCCTCTGGCAGTAACCAATCACCCCCGCCGACTTCCGACAGAAGGCCACCTCCACCTGTCCCTTCCTCAGGTAAGAATCCTCCACCTTCTTCTATAGGCTGCGCATAGGCTCCAGCGGTATCGTAAGACTCCGACGCAAAACCACCTTCCACTATGTCTGCAGTCGCGGGCTCAACATCCTCAGCCAAAAAACCACCGTCAAAATCCCCAGCCTCAAACTCGATCTCTTCCTCTTCAACCTCCTTCTCCTCTTCTTCTTCCTCCTCCAGCCCATGCAACAACTCACTTGCCCTTTCGGGCAATACCTCCACCCCTTCGCCCCCACCATCCATCTGCAACCTCTCCCTAATCCTCAACCCGGCCACAAACCTCCTCCACCTCTTCAACGCCCTCCTTTCCTTTACTTTCACCTTCTTCTCCTCCTGTTCCTGTACAAGACAACTCCACCCCACAAGTACGGCCTCAACATACTCCTCCGCCACAACTATACCCTTAACCACCGGCGTCGCGATACGATTCCGGAACTCGAAACCGATGACAGCGTCGGCGTAGTCGATGCCGATGAGTTTGGCGATTCGGTCGATGCCTTTTCGGGGGAGGTGGCGGGCGCCGGCGGGAATCATGGAGGGTACGTAGACGTCGATGTTCCCATAGTTGTTTTTCGGTACCTTTCCATTCGTCACAGGCGAGGGGACATACAGATCCGTTTGTTGTTCCGAATACAAACCGACCATCTCACCTGCAGTCTCGCCTTCCTCATCTTCTTCCTCACCCTTAACGTTGAGTCTTCGGTGAGCTTTGACTCGCTTCATTGCCTGCTCCCCAACTCTAATGACCCTCCCCACCCTCCACCACCGTTCAGCGCTCTTGACGCCCACAACATCTTTCCTTCTATACACATACTCACTAACCTGCGCCCCAGCTCGCCCAATCGTGATGGACCCACAAGCCTTCGCTCCCGGCAAAAGTACTTCCTCCCGTTTGAGATGTCGTTCAAGTACGAAGATAGGGTGGTTCTTCAGATCTTGCACGTTTTTCGGAATAGATTCAGCCGCGACGCGACGTTCCAGCTGGGCTTCCTCAATCTGATCTCGAGCTTTCTCTTGCGTGCGGGCATAGATCTCCAGGACTTGCTCCCACCACTTCCCACCCTCCTTCGTGCTCTCCAACCGAATCTTCCTCGTCTTCGCATTAAAAGCTTTCGTATACCTCTTCGTAACATCCCTAACACACCCATCCCTCTCAACCGCCAACACATATGCCATCGTATTGAATGGATCAGAAAGCGGTGGTTCGAGTTTCTGAGGTCTGTTGACTTGGTGGGTTACGAGAGGATCGGCGGCGATCCATTTTTGTGCGTTGGTGTCGAAGGCTTCGCACCAGTAAACAGGGTAGGCGGATTCGATGGCCGGGGGCGGACGTGAGTGAGGTGAGGCAGCTGGCGTGGAAGGTTTAGAGGGTGGTCGGCTTCCCGGCCCGCTTGTTGTAGGAGGGCGAGCGTCGAAGGCTGGTCTCCGGATGCTTCCTCGGGATGACGGTGGTGCATTTGGCGGTGTTTGAGGAGTACTGTCGGCAGAACTTCGAACTGCCTTCTGCTTCCCCTTATCCTTTGCCTTCTCCACGCCTGCCCGCTTCTTCGGATACGGCGGAGCAACACCCTCACCACCCCCAATCGGCAAAACCTGCAAACTCCCCACCAACCTTGCCTCAACCCCGACGCTCCTCAACAACGCAACAAACAACTGCGCTCCCAAATCTCTGGATCCCTCGCTCCCCTGCGCAGCTTTTACGAAGGTCTCCGACGTGACCTCTTCCCCACCCAAATCGAACGTGTGAGCGTTTTCTAGAGATTTCGCATCCCAATGCACCGGCTTCCTCAACCCCGTCCGCGTTACCGTAAACCGACCTCTCCATACCTCCCCCGCAGTCTTCAACCCCTCAACAAACGCCTGACTCCTCAAATACTGCGTCAAACCCTCCCCACTCCCTCTCAACGCCGTCTTTACATCCTCCGGCAACAGTGGTCGGAAGAAGCGATGAACGGAGGATGAGTTACACCAGGCGTTGCGGAGGGAGAGGTGAGAGAGGAGGCACATGAGGTCGAGCTTATGCGTTTCGAGCCGGATTTTTCGGTCGATGGCTGTTAGACCTAATCTCTTAGTGGCTTTGGGGCGTGGTGGGGGGTTGAGGGTGATTTCTATACCTCCTTGTTTTGGGGCGGGGGGAGGAGGGAGGGTCGTTGATGGCGGTTGTGGCGTAGGTCTCAGAGATCCAGGCTGCTGTAGACTTAAGTCGATACTTTCCCATTCAACGTCGCTTTCCTCGTCATCCTCGTCCTCGTCCACGTTCCCATCCGTAACTTCCGCATCAGAGTTGATTCTCGACGACGCCCGCGAACTCTCCCTCGACGCATCCGATACGCCCCCATCCTCCTTCGCCTTCACCAACGCGTCGACCTCTTTAGTCACCGAGACCGTACTGCTGGCTCCATCCTCAGACTTCCTCGCGCTTTTCCGCTTCTTAATCGGTCTGTCGCCACTGGAGCCCGCTTGCGCCGATGCCGTCGCTTCCTGTAGAAGTTCTACATGCTTGTCGGAGAGTGGCAGCTGATCCGACTTTCGTTTCTTGCCGTTGAAAATACCGCCTGGCATCGCGTGTAAGATTTTGCCTTTTGTGGGGTGTCTACGTTACACCTGCAAGGCAACGCAAGGCCGTGCGGGCGACGTCACCGCATGCGCATGTACAATTTGTTCACCGGTCAAACGGAAAGTTGCTCGACTTAACGATAGGAGCTCAAAAATTGCCTCGAAGGTTGGCTGCCAACTCATAGGCTTCTCACTCATTCAAATCCTAGCGTTTGCTGTCCTTTCGCTCGTTCCCACGGCATGCCATCCATCGGCAAACTGCATACCGGGGGAAAACGCAACGGAGCTCAAGCTTGTATAAATCCTTACAAATTCCTACTGACGGAAACACCCACACACTCACCATTGATCGAACTTGTACTTGTAGCATGATAGAAAAATAGCATACAATTCATAACGACTTCCTCAGCTATGACTTTCATCGACACACCCCATAACACAATACTCTTACTAAAAAACAGAAAAGAAGAAAAGGAATAGAAATATTCTTCAATCCTATCGTACACTCGTTTCATCACACTCCATGCGCTTTCACCGAGCTGACACTTCAGTCATCTTCAGTCATCTTGAAATCAACCTTACTTAGGTCCAGCAGCCTTAATCTCCGCAGAAGCAGCATCAGCATACTTCTCAAAGTTCTTCTGGAACAACTCCGCCAACTTCCCAACCTCCTCCGAGAAAGCCCCAGGTCCCTCCCACGACGTGCCAGGATTCAAGATATCATCAGGAACACCCGGACAAGTCTTCGGCACCGGCAACCCAAAGACCTCAAACTCTTCATACTCGACCTTTGCCAATTCGCCATTATGGATGGCGTTGAGGATTGCACGGGTGTATTTGAGGGGACAGCGCTGGCCGCCGTGGATTTGGCCTTTACCGACCCATCCGGTGTTGATGAGCCATGCGTTCGCTTTGTGCTGTTCCATCTTCTTTGCCAGCATCTCTGCGTAGCGGGTTGGGTGTAACGTCAAGAACGGCTGTCCGAAACACGCCGAGAACGTCGCCTCAGGCTCCGTGACACCTTCCTCCGTCCCGGCCATCTTGGAAGTGTATCCGGAGATAAAGTGGTACATAACCTGCGCCGTCGTGAGTTTCGACACGGGGGGGAGGACACCGCGGGCGTCACAGGTGAGGAGGATGATGTTTTGCGGGTGGGAATCGGCGAAACAGGGGATTTTGGCGTTGGGGATGTATTCGATGGGATAGGCTGCACGGGTGTTTTCGGTGAGAGTCGTGTCGTCGAAATCCACAGCACGGGTTTCGGTGTCGAAGACGACGTTTTCCAGGACTGTTCCGAAACGGACGGCGTTGAAGATATCGGGTTCTTTCTCGGCGGAGAGGCCGATACACTTGGCATAACATCCTCCTTCGATGTTGAAGACACCCTTGTCGGTCCAGCAGTGTTCGTCGTCACCGATGAGGGAACGTTTGGGATCCGCGGAAAGCGTAGTCTTTCCAGTTCCGGAGAGACCGAAGAAGAGGGTGACATCACCGTCCTCACCAATATTCGCGGAAGAGTGAAGGGTGAGGATGTTGTGCTTGATAGGACCGAGGTAGAACATAACGGAGAAGATACCCTTCTTCATCTCACCAGCATACTCCGTTCCCAAAATAACCATCTCGTGTTCCTTAAAGTTGATCGCAACAGAGGTAGACGAGGTCATTCCCGTAGTGTACCTATTCGCCGGGAAAGCACCCGCATTGTAAATCGTGAAATCAGGCTTTCCGTAGTTCTTCAACTCATCCGCCGTGGGACGAATGAGCATGTTCCTCATGAACAAACAGTGGTACGCACGAGCGCATACAACACGGACTTTAATCCTGTATTTGGGGTCCCAGCCGGCGAAACCGTCGAAGACGTAGATACGCTTACGGGTGTTGAGGTAATCGATCGCACGCTCACGGTTGATGAGCCACACATCCTCACTCATCTTCAAATTCACGGGACCCCACCAGATATCGTTCGTGGATCCGGGTTCGTCGACGATACGCTTGTCTTTGGGGGAACGGCCGGTCTTGGCACCCGAAGAGGTGGAGAGGGCACCCGAGGAGACGATAGCTGACCCGGATTCGTGGACGAGGGCGTCTTCGTAGAGGGAGGCGACGGGAGGGTTGTACTCGATATGCACATTATCGTAGTTAATGTGTGCAGTCTCGTACATCTCGATCTCGATGTCGGTGTGCTCGAGGGGGACCAATCCCTTGGGGTTGAGATTGGTTCTGTTGATTGGTGTGGAAGTCATGGTTGGTTGTTACTGAGCTGTGTGATTGGAATGGGAGAGGAATGGACTTTATACTTTACAGGCCAGCTCGGGTCTCCGGGCGATCAGCGTTGAGCGTCTCCAGTGCTCCGTCCCACACCAGCCGATCAACCCCGCATCGACATCATAGGAAAGCAGCCTCCGGTACCCTCCGAACACCGCTCCGGGTAATTATCGTCCCTCCATTCTCCGAGGTGTGAGGCATGTGAAGGCGTCGGTTGGCCCATTCGACCTCTCCCCCACGTCCTCCGTCACCCTCTACCCTCCCTCGACTGCCCTTCAACAGCAGGCTCCCTCGCAATGGACGGATGAGCGGATTACGTATTTCCTCTTTGCCGCGGCACCTGAACGCACATGCACCGCACTTGAGCACGCTTGAACTCATCGCTCTCACTTCCCGAAACGTGGGATGCCCCACCGGAACTTCTCGGACAAATAACAAAGAATAAATTAAACTGTTCCTATTCCACCCGGCCACGTCATGTCGGCAGATCGTCCCTGTACACTCCCGTCCGTCAGCAGCCGCGTGCTGGAAGCAGACAGCCGCACACGTTACGTCGACCACCCCCAATAAAATAATTAACGCAAATCATCACCCCCATACTTCGTCGTGGCAGACTGCGGCGCATACGGGTTCGGCTCACTCCCATACGCGTACGTCGCTCCCTGCGTTTGTCCCATATTCATGTTCTGAACACCCTGCTGCACCCCCTCCACACCCGTACCATACCCAGTCCCCTGCTGCCCCGCGTTCATACCCTCATAACTCCCCCTCGTCACCGGACTCGTCGGCTCACTCTCACTCCCAAACGTACTCGCCGGCGTCATCCCTCCCACTCCCTTCCCTCCACTCGCTTGTGCAAGTGCCGTCCACCACTTCTCCCCCTCCCCCGGATTCGCCGCCTTAAACTTATACTCATGCCCCCGACTCAACATCTTCTTCTCCTTCCCCCCTACCACGAATTTGCCTTCCGAGTCTCTGTACCCGCCCACCGTGCATTCGGGGACGTAGAGTGACATGACAGGGTCCGGGTCAGTGTGGGGATTGTCGGATTTGAATTCGTGAAGGAAGAGAGAGGGAGAGAGGATGTAGTATGCTGGGTCATTGTAGGATTTGATTAGTTTGCCTTTGCGTTGGAGGTAGCCCGCTGCGAGGGGTTTCGTCGTCTCGTGTCCCATATTCGGGAAGGTCAGGGCTTTCCAGTCGCGAGCTGGGGCGCGGGGATCGACCAAACTCCTCTCCCGTGCCGCAAATGCGTTCCATTCTGCGTCGGCAGGGACGACGTTTGCTTTTTGACTCACGTCCGTCAAGATTTTGGTGGTGGTTTGTTGTGCGTGGATGGCGTACGTGGCATAACTCCCCACAACCTCCTGCACAACTTGCGTAATCCTCCTCTCCAACTGCGCACACTCATTCTGTAATTGTATCATCGCCGACATCTGCGCGTTTTCCTCCTCGGTCTGTTTGGCCAACAAGTGTTGAACACCCCTGTGCACAAGGTAGGGATCGGATTTCACGTCACCCTTTGAGGAGGTCCCGAAGGTCGCGGTATGTTTTCCGAGAAGCTCGATATGTTTTTCTGTCTCGTTCCGCGCCTTGGTAACGCTCTTAAACCCCTTACTCCCATCCCCCTTCAAATCCTTAATCTTCGCTTTGACATCATGCTCCAACCTCTCCAACGTATGCAAAATACTCGCCGAAATACTCTTACTCAAATCCGCGTGCGCAGCACTCTGCGACACAGCCGCATGCTGCAAATTCGCAAAAATCCCACCCAAGCCCTGTCCAGTCGATCCCTCGATGAATTGGCCGCCTTGGGAGGAGGGAACTTCGATGTGTTTTGCGAGTTTTTCGTATTCTTTGCTTTGGTGTTTTTGGAGGGATTCGGCGTGGGAGAAGTAGGAGGAGAGGGATTTGATGAGTTTTGTGTAGGAGGTGAAGCGCGCGATGAGAACTTCGGATGGGTCGGAGGTGGAGGGGATGGCAGAGTGGGTGTCGACACCGTGGACCAAGGATGGGTCAGCGGCGGGGTCGATAGTTTGCGGGTGCTGATTCATGATTGCTTATGTTTGGTTGCGGAGGTTGGAAGGTGGAGGAGGGGAAGGGTTTTGAGTTTGGGTCGCGCGGCCGCTGCGTGCGTGGGCTTTGGCGCGAGTCAGGGTGCAGCTACGTCATCACATGAACTGACGGAAGACGGAAGTCGGCCAAGTGCACCGGCGCCGGAATTAACAGACCGCCGTGTTGACAGATCGTAAGCGAATATCTCCTGTATAGAGCAAGTACATCTCATAACCTTCTCCTGACGTTCCGTCTGCCTGTCCTAGTCTGAGGTCTGGTCAAGTACTCCCCATCCATATGCATCGTCATTCCCTCGCCTTGCCATCCTAACATAGTCACTCGTCGCATCTGCAATCGAAGTGGGGTGTCGGGCCTGGTTTCTGTGTGTTTCACGAACCTTCGTCGGTGGATGACCGTGATGTAAGCAACACTGCCAAGAATCAGACAGCTCAAGACAGCAAATGTCCAAATAGCGCCGGAAGGGATTGTAGGTAGTGCACTCCATCCACCTGAAGCTACCATGACCCCGGCTAAGATCGTCACAGGCAACGCTGTAAAGCCATGTCAGTCAACCGCATTGCACACACCGACGGAAAACCCACCCGAAGACACACTAAGAAGCTTCATCCCAAACAGCCCCAGAAAGACCAATAAACCCCACCAACCCGGTTGCCAGGAACTCCAACCAAAGCCCCAGTTCTCAGCCCTTTCCTCGATCTTTTCCACGACGTCCTCCAATCGTTCAAGGACTTCGCCAGCTACATGCAGCTTCGTGCTTGTTTCATCGACGGCGTTGTCTAAGCGTGCAGATGCTGAGGCAAGGATTGTCGAGAGCTGGTCTTGATGGGCGTCGAGCGAGGAGAGGATGCTCGTTGGTAGCGAGTCGAGTACATTCAGCCCGGCGAGGACAGAAATTGCATGCCTGGAGGAGACCGTCATAGTATTCGAGACTTCATCGAATGTGGAGCGGGCGTTGAGTAGACTCTTCACTAACATCTCCAGTTCATTCGACAAGTCGGAGACTGGATGGGTGAGGATATCGAGCAGGACTTTGCGCAGGTTCTCCGAAAGTGCAAGAGTGTCCGACATATGTCGCGTTTGTCTTTGCTGGACTTCGAGTGCTGCATCATCCACATCCTTCCACATTTCCAACGAGGACTCATGATAAGCCTCAGCAGCTCCTCTCACGCCAGCAAAAGCTCGTTCGACCTCCAGCCCACCATTCTCCACACCCTCTTTCATGACCTCCAGTTTCCCGAGTACGTCCTCTGCCGAAGTGTGTAAATTCTCCATTTCTTCCCTCGCGACCATTCCGACCTCACGTAATTCCTCTTTCACGTCCTCCGCCTCCCTCCCAAATCCCTCCAAAAACACTCTCCACCTGTTCAACACCTCTTCCTGCGCGGCAGCATGGGAATTCGCAACCTGAGCCTCCCTTCTCAATACTTCGAGAACCTGAGACTGAATGACGGTAAGGTTGGCGTGGAGGTCAAGGATCCGGTCTTTCTCGATGGAACGACGTGCCAGGGAGCATATTGTTCGTGTTTCTCTGCGCCAAGGTCCTGGTTAGCTTGCTTGTACATGTAAGCCAGCTATTTGGATTCTTCCACCTGTAGTTTCCCGAATATGATGTCCACCACTGTGGGCGTCTCTCCAACGTCTTCACACACGCCCCTACCCCCTTTTCCCCATACCTCCGAGTGTAGGAGCATTCAACCGGTCCCTCGACACCAGCAGCCTCAAACTCACACATCGTCAACCCAGCTGCAAACCGAACTCTGTCCGCATCATCTACTTCCTCCATCTCGCTTCTTTGACAAAACTCGACTACCTCTAACACGGCGGTACGGAAACATGATGGTTGACGGGCGCGGGAGAGTGCGGTCAGGGAGGATAGGGCTTCGGAAAGAGGATTGCGGTTGCTGTGCGAAGACGGATTTGGGGAGGGTAGTGTTAGGGAGAGCAGGAGGGCATCGTCTGCTGGGCGAAGGGGGTTAGTAGCGGTGCAAGAGGGAATGTATGCTGCGAGTACCTGAGAGGGATGGAAAGGGAGGTGATGAAGAGGTGAGTATTGGAAGTAGAGAGAAGAGAAGAAGGAAGAACGAGAAGAAAGTAGATGTACGCATGGTTGCAATTGGTATGTTAGGTGATCAGTGTAGCTATAGGGGGCTGCTACGTAAACGCGACGATCAGAGCTGTCCTGGCACGCAGCAGGCCAGCGAGCGTGAGAACCGAAGAAGGGGACACCTTCACGTCTTTCAGAAAGTGCAAAAACGACAAGACCGGAAACTGAAAATGAAATCATATTTCGGTATGCTAAACCCAAAAACAGAACGCCAAGATGAACAATGCGACGACGTCGAGAACAAGTCCAATCTATCTCCCTTCTCACGCCAACAACTGCTGCGCCAAAGCTTCGTAATCCTGCAACGTGTCCAAATCACCAACTTCAATGACCTTCTTCTTACTCTTCTTCGCGCTCCTCTCCTCCTCGTCTTCACTCTCATCCTCAAACCACTTCTTCTTCCTCTTCTCTCCGCCCTTGGGTTGAGGCTGGTGTGTCTCCTCCTCTTCCTCCTCAAGTGGCTGGTCGTTGTCCGAGTATGGCGCCAACTCGACTCCGACTTCGTTGTCGGAGTCGTCGTCCGCTTCACGTTCACGATCGAGTTGTCGTCTGCGCTTCTCGCGCTTCTTCTCCTTCGCCTGAGCCTTATCCTCGACATCCGCCTCCTCAACCCTCTTTCTCTCCTCCTCCACGAACTTCTTCTGTTGCTCGGTGACGTCGCCCTTCTGCTTAAAAGACTCCTCATCCTCCAACTCGTACAGCTTGTGCGCGTTACCTTCATCATCAAAAATCAACTTCTCACCGTTACCACGGTACTTGAGCATAGCCTTCTTCGACAACGCCTCAGCAGCCTTCTTCTTACTGTCAGGCTTGAGGAGCGGGTCCGCAGCCTTCTTCGGCACGAGCTCCTCCACGACCGGTGTCTCCTCATCCAACGCGTGATCCGTACGCTTCAGCGTGACGAAATCATCGTCCGAATCGGCATCCATGGTGTGCTCCACCAACTTGCTTCTGTGATCCGCCAACACGTCCTGGTTCCGCCTCTCGAACATTCTGTCGTACTTCGTCTTGACCTTCTTCTCGTCCTTCTTCTTGTCCTCCGCATCACTTTCCTCATCCGTCTCAACGAGTTTGGCAGGTGCGTTCTTCAACGCCTTCGCGCGAGCTGCGTTACCGAACTTGATCTTGGGTGCTCCAGGCAATCCCAAACTTGATGCGTAATCCTCAACCGGCAACTCCTCGATCTTGAAAGTCTCCTTGTCCCTCTGCAAATACACGGATCTCATGTACGACACGAAAGCCTTCTGCGCAAGATACTTGATCTCCACATCCTTGAAACAAAGCGCTTGCAACTGATCCTTGATCGTCTGCTTCTTGCTTGCCTTAATCGTAATTTTCTCAATCGGGACCTTCTTCGCCTCCAAAGTCGCAACCATACCCTTCTCCTCACTCGGGCAAAGCATCAACAGCGCTCTTCCTTCCCGGTTGTATCTCGCTGTGCGTCCAACGCGGTGAATGTACGTGTCCGCATCTTCAGGAGCATCGACCTGCACAACCCAATCCACAGCCGGGAAATCCAAACCACGCGCCACAACATCAGTAGCGATCAGGTAAGCACACTTTGCTGCCGCGAATCTTGCCGTAACCTCTGCTCGTGCTGTTTGCTTCTGTTTTCCGTGGAGGTGCATGATGGGTACACCGGGGTGGAGCTTACAGAATGTCTCGAATGCGTGTCGCACCTGCTTACAAGAACTCAGGAAGACGAGAGCCTTAGTCTTGAGATGTGTCTTCATGAATCCGTAGAGGGTGTCAAGTTTGTCTGGTAGTGGCGTAACGATGTAGTGCTGTACAAGACTCTTTGGGGTTGCTGAATCCGATTTGTCGTGAACGGCAACGTACTCAGGATTCTGAAGCGACAATCGTGCAAGATCCGAAATCTTCTTCGTCTGAGTAGCCGAGAACAAGAGCGTCTGTCGTTGAGGCGGCAAGTTATCGACAATTGCATCAACGGTGCTCTGGAAACCCATATCCAAAATACGATCCGCCTCATCCAACACCAGAACCTGCAAGCTTCCCACCTCAAACCCAGCCGTCTGGTCCATGTGCTGCAACATACGTCCCGGAGTACAGACCAAGATGTTCATCCTGTCCAACCTATCCCGCTCACTTTGCAAGTCCTTTCCACCGATGACGAGACCTGCAGAGAAGGAGTGCGCACGACCAACCTGACGCAAGACCTCGAAAATCTGAATAGCGAGTTCACGAGTCGGGGAGATAATCAGCGCACCCAATCCATCGTATTGTGTCCACTTCTTTCTGTACAGAATCTCGAGTACGGGAATAATGAATGCCAACGTCTTTCCAGATCCTGTTCTTGCCGCACCCAAAATGTCCTTGCCCACCAACGCATGTGGAACCGCACGTTTCTGGATATCTGTCAACGTTGTGAAATGTGATGCCTTTAATCCTTTTTGTGTCTGCTGAGAGAGCGGCAGGTCGGTAAAGTGCTCCACATTGCTCTTGATATCGAACGCAGCGACTGCGGCTTCGAGCGCCTCCAGCTCCTTCACTTCCGCTTCACGTTTCGAGACACGGGCCTCTCTTGATCTGTTCTTGGATACGGTCTGCTTGGGCATGCTGGCAGGTATAGCGGATCAAGCTGCTCAGAAGCTTCCTTCTTCCAACTTTGCGACTTTCGCCTTGGAGCTTATCGATTCCAGAAATTCCGCTTCGCCACGACTGACGTGTGGCGAAGCAGGAGCCATACGTCGCCGGTTCATACGCGGAAGCGACCGTCAAGTAAACGTCAAACAACATCTCAGTCAATCGCAAGTGAACGACTTTCTTCGATATATCTCCTGAACAGTTTGTGTTACTAGTCCCTCCAGTTATGGCTGATGAAATTGACAAGCTTCTCGCTAAGGAATCCTCTGATTTCGCCAAGGTTCGTTCGTCCTTCGCAGCATTCATCCACGGAAACTAACGTTTACTTTTAGGATGCCGAGATTGAACGTGTTATCAACGCGTTCCGGCTTGACGCATACGCAGTACTTGACTTAGTCCCCGGATGTACACCACAAGACATTAAAGCTCAATATCGCAAGAAATCGCTGCTAATCCATCCTGACCGTATCCTTGACCCTTCACGGAAGGACAGAGCAAATGAGGCATTCGATCGTCTAAAGAAGGCTGAAACTCAACTTGCGGAGGAGAAGACGAGGGAGAGACTGGATGACCTCATCGCGGATGCCAGGAAGCTCATCATCAGAGAGAAGGGGTGGACCGTTGATTCTCCAGAGTTGAAGGAAGCGTCGTTCATGCCAATTTGGAGGGAGAAGATTAAGGAAGTACTCATTGACGATGAGCTGAGAAGACGGAAAGCGAGACAAATAGCCATGGCCGAGGAAGGACGGCAGAAGGCGAAGGAAGAGGCGGAGATCAACGAGCGGAAACGTAAGCACGACGAGAAGAAGGCATGGGAGGACAATAGGGAAGAGAGGATTGGTGGGTGGAGGGAGTTTCAGAAGAATGCCGGCAAGAAGAAGACGAAGAAGCCGAAGGTCCTCGGATAGACATGTTTGCACTTGGGCAAAGCGTGAATGATATATGATGGAATTCAAAGTGCAAAACTGAACAGAAAAAAGGATCAATTACTCCGAAAACGTACACCGCCTGCCATATTTGCATCGTCGTTTATTTGGTGTGAACGTACTTCAGCTTGCCGTAAGCTAAACAAAGAGTCAGTAAATCGTCCCATTATACTCCGAACGTCCCACTTACAGTATGTGAACTGGTTCGCATACGCCTTCGGCCTGAACACCGCCTGCCTGGGCTCCTGAACATAGTAATCCCATCCCTGCTTCTCCGCGAAGTGCATAGCATCCTCCTTAGTCTTGAACTTCAAGTGCGTACCCTGCATGTAATCTGCAGACGCAGCCCAGCCCATCAATGGCGTGTGTTCGTATCTGTTACCCTTGTCGAGGATCTCCCAGTCCAACTTCCATCCTCCGGCGCGGCCCTTACCGGACTGCATGACATTCCGAGAGGGCTGGTAGATCCGGACTGTACGGGCGTGGAGCTCTTCGGGAGCACCGGAGAAGACATCGGCCGTCAATGCTTCGGTGGTTAGGGTCGGATCGGTGGGTGTTTGAGGAGCGTCGGTGGTTTGTTGGACCTGGTTGAGAGTGGTGTCGCCGGTAACCTTACCGCCGGAGGAGTTGAAGCGGACGGATCTGATGGAGGCGGGTGCCCTGAGGCATTGTCGGCGGAGAAGGGATGCCATTCTGCTGTATATGATTGTGATTTTTGGAGGTGTACTTCACTTGAGCTGCAGCTCTGCCGTAGTTGCGCCCGCAGTGATTGGCCGGGGTAAGAAGCAATGGAGATGATCCTTCAGGGCACGCTTTTCAATATTTTTCTAAAAGCTATTTATGATTCCTGAAAATGCCTCTGAACTCTCTCGTGGGTCAGCATCCTCCTGCCCGGTACCTCATACTTCGCTGCAGCACACCGCACAAACCATCATCTACAAGAAATAGGTGAGTTCTCCTCAGCGGCTTCAATCGAGCCTGCGAACTGTATTATCGGACAGACGCTGACTCGAAGTAGCCAAACATGTCTACCATCGCCCGTCGCGCTTTCTCCGCCCGTACCTTCGTGCCCCCAAAGATCGCCTCTCCTCAGGTTCGTCATAACCGATCCCTTGCCATTAGCACCGTCACGCCGGTTCTCTGCCTTTGGCAAGGTTTTCTGTGGTCAAAGAAATTTGTTAACCTCTGAACAGGCTATCGGTGCCCCCAAGGATGCCCTTCGCATGAGCAGAATCGTCGACTTCTACTCCAAGCTCCCTGCTGGCCCTGCCCCCAAGCAGCAGGTTCCTAACAACGTTTTCGCCGCCTACAAGCACAAGTACTTCGACGGTGACAACGCGTCCGGTGTGCCTTTGTTGCACCTCATCGGTTTCGTCATGGCCGTAAGTTACACCTTTTGCACGCGACGTCTCGGTTCTCTCGTCCGAAGCAACTTTGGAATTGAGGGACTGAATAAGCGGGACAACACGGCAAGATCAATTACTGACCATGAATTCACAGTTCGGATACACTTGCGACTACTTCTGGCACTTGCAGTACCACAAGTCTGGTGTCCACGCTTAAGCGATGAGCATTGGATCGGTTGTGTGAATAGGAGTATGGACTATGAGGGATTGTGGAGCAAAGGAAGGCATCTGGCTTTCGAGTATAATACAAAAGATCTTATTCCCAGTACTACTCTGTCATTCGGCATTCGTCATTCATGGTTAGTTCCGTTGACCCGATTCTGCACCTGCTTCATCCACCAGGCCCCTCCATTACATTCTAATGCTTCGAATGACTTTATTGCCTTGTTCTTGCAACGAATGATTCATCTGGACTCAACTCTCGAGAACCGTAATTCACCTGCATCGATACCCTGCCGGCCCTGAACACCTGACTAACCACCAGGGAACCTTGGAATTCCTCCGCACAAAGACTCCGGCCGAGAGCTCATCGGCGTCCGATACCCGGAAAACCGACCCAGGAGGTTTCATTCGATCCTCTTGAGGCATTTTATTCATCACAGAGTCACCAGGAAGGAAGACTTGACCCAGAGGAAGGGTGCCAAGATCGAGTAACGGTGTGAAATTTCGAGGAGACTAATTTTGATAAAGGGAACGAAAGGGCATTCGCAACAGATAATCATGGCAGATGTGGCCTCGACGGCGTCAATAGATCCGGTACAGGGTCTGCAGCCGGTGTCGACAGTAGGGAATGGAGGTGACGGCCTTGCCGACGGTGCAGTGACGATGGCACCGAATGCGGGGACGGTCGGTGATCAAAGTGAAAGTCGACCAACAAGTTCGAGTGGTGCAGATGGACAATATCATGAATCGCATTCCTCGGCCCCTACATCCGTACTGGCAAATGAGCCTTTGGCATCGGAAGTAGCGAAAGCGTCAACCGCGATGAGCCAGCCTACGGATACGCCAGACCGCTCCCAGGGATCGTCTCCCGTATCCGCAGCATCGTCGTCACAAGCCTCCGGAACAGTATCAGAGGCAACGACAGCGAAGGCTGAGTCGGCAGGCACGACTACGGCGAAGCCCGCCCTTGTTTTCAAGAAGCCGGCCAAGTTCACGAGCTCGAGTATTAATAAGGCATTCTTGGAGAAGGCATCGGGCGGTGTTAGCACGGGAGAAAGATCGGCAGTCAAGCCTCTGAGCCATCATCTGGCCGAGAAGCGTATGTTGTGATACAGTTTTCAAAGTGTCGTCGCTAACATCTGACAGAACGACCCAACATCTCCTACAACCCCATCAATCCGCATTTGCATGCCATTCCTGCCAAACCACGACTGTCGACGAAAATCAGTGCACCGGCACCGTACAATTTACCTTCTATGCGCCGGGAAGCGTCTTCGTCGCCGAAACCGCTTGGACAACAAGCACAGACCTCAACTACAAGCGCTCCATCTGGAATCACCCAACCCGTCAAGAAAGTGCCAGAAGCTATCCCTGTATGGAACAAGAATCAGCCGCAGCCTGTGAAGGAAGTGACGGATGAAGATTTGAAGGGCAAGGGTATTCACCTCGCTATGGCGCCGAGTGCGAAGGAAGGGCAATGGGATGAGGATGATGATGAGCTGGACTGGGGAGATACCATCGAGTTTGGGGATGGTACCAAGGTCGTTTTGAAGGATGAGGAGTCGGCACCAGCTCCAGCACCTGTTGAACCCGAGCCGGAGAAGAAAGTCGAGCAGAAATCGGCGAAGAGCGCTGCATCACCGGCGAACCCATGGGCGCCGATACCTAAGCCGACTCCAGCACCGGTCATTCCGGGCGCGAGGGGTGACGGCAGGAGAGAAGACAGGTTCGGCGGGGATGATTATGACCGTTCGTGGCGCGCCCCCATGGATCACCCACACGCACGACGCGAAATCTTCAACGATCGGACGGGTCAGTTTGACCGCGTTGATGACATGCACCCGCCGAGGCGAGGAAGAGCTGAATATATTCCTCATGCCCCACGGCCTGATTTCGGGCGAAGACCACCGGAAGTCCTGCAGAGACCAGGACACGGACCTGTCTTTACAGATGGTGAGCCTGGATACACGGGCGGTGACGCTAGGAGACGGCCAAGTGCTGCGAACGAGCGGATGCCCTCCTTCAGACGGATGAGCGACGATAGGTGGGGTGGTGGAATGCCTCTTCCTTCCCACCTCCCAGTGCGAAGAGAGTCGCTCAAAGCTGACGAGGCTTTGTCCGCACCGGAGCCACCAAAGGTGACTTCGCCTCCTGCCCCGGCGCCGGGCCCGGTTGAAACTGAGGAGAGCATTTCCAAGAGGCAGCTGGAGGCTATGAAAGAAGCCAAGGAACGTGCAATTAGACGAAGGCAGGAGGAGGAAGCCGAGAGACAAGCACAAGCAGAAAGAGCTAGGAAGAAGGCAGCGGAATTGGCTTTGGCAAAGGAACGAGAGGAAGCTGAGAAGAAGGCCAAGGAGGAAGAAGCGAGAAGAGTAAAGGAAGAGGAACAGAGGAAGATCAAGGAGCAGGCTGATTGTAAGGCTAAGGAAGAGGCCGAGAAGAAAGCCGCCGAGGCACAGAAGAAAAGGGAGGCTGAACAAAAGGCCAGAGAGGACGCAGAATCGAAAGCCAAGCCGAGCGCGAAGTCAGATCCCGTACTGCCGCCGAATACGAGACATAAGTCAGATGGCGAATTTAACGGGGCAGGATGGCAGGCTCCTCGGAGGGCAGCAGCGCAGAATACTTGGGGTGCGATTGGTAGCAGGGCAACCAAGAATGGTGCTCCACCTGTTCGCCGGTCTTCGGCGGATGCTGGTGCGGGAGGAGGACAAAACTTCAATCCGTGGGCCGACCAACAACGAAGCAGATTACCCAATATTCTGCCGAACCTGGCACAAGCAGCACCGGACTACTCTTATCAGGAACATCAAGGACCTCCAGTTAGAGCGTCCAGGTTCGACGTTCCAAATCAGGCGGTCGAGTCTGCCCAGCAACCATCGTTTACGGGAGTGTCGTCATGGAATGCAGCATTCCCGTCATCTCGCCCTGCTCCGCCTACGGTTTCGGAGAACTCCATGGATACCTGGGGTCGAACAAAGATGGACGAGGAGAATGCTCTGCCAGATTTCTTGGCCGAGAAGCTTGTTGCTGATGTTGTCGGTGGGTTCGGCGAGAGCGAAGACCGCTTCGGCCGTGCCGACCTTGCACCACCTGTCAGCGTCGGTATGCCGGAGGAAACTGACCCGAACAGCAGTCCGAAGAGGAAAGAGTCGAGGTTTTTCCCGGCTTACCTGCAAGACTACATCCCGCCGAATGTGAACTTCGTTTCCTCCGTACCAGTGTCCAAGAATCTTGATCAGAGGTCGCTTGAGGAGCAATGGAACCTGGCCGCGATGGCGGAGAACCCCCAAACGACATCGCCACCTCAATTGCCTTCGCCGCCCCAGATCAACCTCACACCAGCAGCTAAGGCCTTTGTCCCGGTGAAGAAGGCCGAGTCAGATGAGGAAGTTAAGGTGGTGCTTCCGCCATGTGGGCCAGCATCAAGGCCTGATTCGTCGACTCTTTTGGAAGGAGCCACGATGGCTGTCGTTAGATTGCCGGTCATACCCGTAAGGAAGCCGCAGAATGCGCGTGGACGAGGTCAGAATCAGTTTGATGACGTTATCTCGAGGATTCGAGGAGCGATGCGCATCCCGGCTACTCCTGCTGCCAAGGCGAGAATGAATGGGTACAGAGACTGGGCAGGACAGAACTTCGCCACCACGAAGATTCCCTTCGAACATGAGAAACCTGCAGCCTGGACTCCCAAAGCCAGACTGGCACTGCCAGCTGCAGAGACATTGACCTCTCAGACCTTGCCGAACGCTTTGGATGGTCTTTTCCCTGCAACGTTTGCTATCGTTAGCTTACCTATCGGGTACCGTTCGAGAACCCGCTATCCACCACGCAAAATTGCCCAGGAACCGGCCTACCATACTAAACGTCACAGAACCTTCGCTACGACCAGACCAACATTGTCTACTTTTGAAGGTCCTCTGGCGGCGTACAAGATCTTGATTCCTGGAAAACAGGACGAAGCGATTACTGTTGAAAACCCCAAGGCACCCGCTGGACGAAGGTCGGCTATCAAGGATATCAATCTTCTGACGCCCGAACGTGCGGTGAGACCCAGTACGCCGAGGACGAACAGTCAGAAGGATTTGGCGGATATGATTACCCGTACTCCCCGAGGTCCTAGTCGAGGTGGTTTCGCTGCCCGTGGTCGTGGACGAGGTGGATTTGGTGCTCCTTTGACGCGAGAGTCCGTTGTTACCGCAGAAGTTAAACTTGGCGATGGCAGTGGCAATGGAAACGCCGACAACATCAGAGTGGAGGATATGCTTCCTGCCGGCGAAGGAAAAGACTGAGAACAGTCAATACCTGGGAATCATCAGAAATATTAATTGAAGACATCTGTTAGGGATGTCTGAGACACTACTAGCGCGTCGAACTCTACGAGTAGGAATATCAATGAAGTGAATTCCTTGCGTAATGAACTGTTCATCGTAACTTCAACATTATCACTCGTACCGTCCTGTATGCCAGCATGCAAGCCACGTGTGGCGAGTGCTGAACCGCAAGAACATACCAACTCAAACAGAACACCAAAGGATCTGTGAAGCGTCTGTTTGTATCTCCTTTGCGAGTCGGAATATCTAGGAGTCATCATGGCGAAAGCATCGGGCACCCCCGCCCGCAGGAATTCCACCGCTGCAGTTCAGCCTACACCCGTCCGTGCCAACAGCGAGACTGCCTCTGCACAGACTCCTGCACAGACGCCTGCAAACACGCTTCCGCCGGCTCCAATGGGTATGGCGACACTGCAGACGCTCAGGCTGGGCTGCAAACTGTTCGTCAAGAAGGATGGAGAGTGGAGGAAGGCGGAGATTCTGCAATTCCAGCAGAGGCATAGTGGGATGCATTACTATGTTCATTATTCCGAATTCAACAAGGTATGTTATAGTGTGGAGGTCTCTTTTTGCGGTGAACTGACGCGTTGGACAGCGATTGGATGAATGGGTCCCCGCGGATCGCCTTGACTTGAGCCGCGAAGTGGAATGGCCACGACTCGAGACTACAAAGAAGAGGACTGGTGTCGGCAAAGTTAGCTCTACAGATTCTCCAGCACCCGGCAAAGCGCGACCTGGGAAGGCTCAACCCGGTAAAGCACAAAAACGGCCTGCTGCACGGAATAGGCGACAATCTGAGTTGCCTGGTACCCCTAATGCAGAGACGCCCATGACTGAGAGGCAAGATAGTATGGGAGACGGCCTGGAGCCACCAGAGACCCCGGCAGCTTTTGATGATGACATGATGGATATTGACCAGGATGATGCTGGGCATCGCGACATCCCCGAAGTATTTTCCAAGGAACAGGAAATCGAAAAATTGAGAACGTCCGGTTCTATGACACAATCCGCTCACGAAGTCGCACGCGTCAAGAACCTAAACCGCATGCAAATCGGGAAATTCGAGGTCGAGCCATGGTATTTCTCACCTTATCCGGTTGAGTTAACGATGTATGACATGATCTTCGTTTGCGAGTTCTGTTTGTCATATTACGGCTCCCGGAAGCAGTATGAGCGACATCGTCATAAGTGCACACTACAGCATCCCCCTGGCAATGAGATTTACCGCGATGGGAAGGTGTCATTCTTTGAGATCGACGGTAGGAAGCAGCGGACGTGGTGCCGTAATCTGTGTTTGTTGTCGAAGTGTTTCTTGGATCACAAGACGCTTTACTACGATGTCGATCCATTCTTGTTCTACGTAATGACTGAACGGGATGAATACGGATGTCACGTCATCGGGTACTTCTCCAAGGAGAAGGAATCAGCAGATGGTTACAACGTCGCATGTATTCTGACACTCCCACAATACCAACGTCACGGATGGGGCCGACTATTAATTGCATTCTCGTATCTCCTGTCGAAGAACGAAGGCAAACAAGGATCTCCAGAAAAGCCCTTGTCTGATTTGGGTCTCCTCTCCTACCGTGCATACTGGTCCGACCTCCTCATCGATCTCTTACTCTCCGGCACCGCGCCAACGGAAACGACCATCGACGAAATCGCCTCCAAGACATCCATGACGACGAACGATGTTGTACATACGCTACAGACGCTAAATATGCTCAAATACTACAAGGGTCAGCATATTATCTGTTTGACGGATGCGGTTGTGCAGCAGCATGAGAAGCAGAGTAAAAAAAGGAAGAGAGAGGTTCAGGACGATTGCTTGCAGTGGAAGCCGCCTGTGTTTACGGCTGCACAGTTAAGGTTCGGGTATTGAGGTGCATGGATGAATCGGTTGTAGGGTTGGATATGGGTTGGCGCAATGATTTCTTATTTAGCATGATACCCGTCTAACATAGGCATGAACGTGAAAGCGAATAAATTTTGACATTGATTGAGAACTCCGTATTCGTGTACGCGTGTGTTTTGCCTCATGGGTTGAAACGACAGTATACTACCTATGCTTTGCTATGTAATGTAATAAAACGCCCATGGCCATGGCCATATCCATAAAATTAAGTCAAGAACTCCCTAAATGCGTTGCTGCTGTTGAAGCTTGTGCGCCGGTCATGATTAAAAGTCAAAGTACGTCCTCACCCCAACAAATCATGCACCTTCATGCCAGTCCTCCGCGCATCACTCTCTTCGCCTTCTTGTTCCACGTCCGCTTCGTCTATGTGTCCAGATATGTTCGAGCTTTCTGATTCTTCAGTCACGACCAACGGTCCTTCCGATCCTTCTGCAATTTGTTCCGATCCCGGGCCTAACTCCCGTTGGTGTTCGACCGCACTCGTATCCATCAACATTGCGTGACCCATTGAGAGGGGCTGTGGCTGATCTGGTCGATGTTCAGGGAGTGCGCGAGGTGATATGGCGGGGAGTGCCGGAGAAGATGCCGGCGGTGGCTGTACACTGTAAGGAGGAATCCATACCCCGCTTGTGCTTTCCATGGGTGTAGCGTGAGTGGGCCTAGTCCATCCCTCCACAGCCGGTCTCGCCTGTGCTGGCATCAGAGGTTCCACGCCAAAGCCAGGATCTGTCGGCTGCAGAGCAGGCGAGATGCCAGACATCGCTCTACCATGACCATATGCGGGGGCCGGTGGTTGAACGAAGGTAGGCTGTGGGACTGATGGAGGAGGTACCGGTACACTTTGCTGAACGTAAGGCTGATCCCATTGCTGATGCTTGCCGTAGAAAGGATGTTCACGTGGCAGCTGCCTTGGAACTTGAGTCGTCGTAAACTGTGGGGGACGAGCCGTCGACGGACCTGGCGACGACATAGGCCGAGGCGGCATAAGAGCGATCGAAACAAAAGGCTCCCCACCATGTCCTGCATTGCCTGGACCAAATGAAACAGTAACGTCTGTGACCAGTTGAACGAAGTGCCCATTCAAGTCCATATACCTGAATTCATCTGTAAAATGTTGCTGGGTTGGTTGCCGTAGTAGTCTTTGCACGATGGCATGGAACCGCTCCCGATCTTGCACGTAAACCATCTCAAGAACGTTCCTGTCAACAATAGAACCTGGCTCATGACCTAGAATCATCCGCACACTCTCGTGCACCCGGAAGCATCTTAAATCCCAAGTCGCGACGATTGTCGGCGGAAGTTGTTGATAAGGATCGAGGGTAACCGATGGCTGTGGTGCGAGCGTTCTCGGAGGCATATAGGTAACATTCTGTTGATCCGGATGCGCGAAAGTTGGTTGCGGAACACCTGCTGGTACTGTTGGCACTGGCACCGGAAGCGGAGCCTGTTGCACAGATCCCAACTCACCGTATTGAGGCGGCACATTGAATCCAGGCGGAAATGGTGCCACTGCGCCGATAGCCACAGCATTTGGTCCTCCCTGAGAACCCAAACGTGTACCAGTGTACGGACGAGGTACTTCTTGTTCGCTCACCGTTCCTTTTAGCCGTGGTCGTCCGCGCTTTTTGTGTGTTGAATCGACGCATGTATCCGCTTTTCCCAGACTCACGCAGCGCTTGCATGGGCGATTGACTATGTAAAAAGTGAAATTAGCATTGTTTCTGAGAAAACAAAACATTCCCAATTGCGTGATGAAGGACTTGTGGGGCATCGAAGCTCAGCTGGTCTATCACGGACGCGCGGATATTCCCACATGCAGCGGGCCTCGTCCCACGCCCCCTCCACACTACGTAAAAAAAGATAAGAACTTACCATCACATGCCAAATGCGCCTTCTTGCAATTCACACAAGCACTAACTACGTGACTCTTGGCTGCAACCATGACTTGCTGTTGTCCGGGAACAGGCAGACTCGCACCCGGTAAGCCACCTCTCTGGCCTGTCATTTGTCTTTGTTGCTGTTGCTGGGATGATTGGGGTATCTGTGGTGGCTGCTGCTGTTGCCGAACGAGTCCTTGTTGATGCTGATGCTGGAAAGACAAAGCGGGCTGGGGATGTTGTGATGGACGAGGAGGAGCAATATGCGTTAACGGTGCCGTAGGTCGAGGTTCGTTCAAAGAATGCGCACAAGTATGGAACGGTTGATGCGGATCAGGACCGGAGCCGGCAAATGGCGTACGGGCGGAAGGTACTGGCGCGGACCAGGAGGTTGTTGGAGCAGGTGGAGGAGCTGTGCCAAACAGCACGGAAGGACTCGTAGACGGCGATAGCGGCTGGGGTATTGGTGGATGGTGTAGCTGTCTCTGTGGTAGGGTCCATTGTCCAGCACGGGTGGTTTGCTGCTCCTGCACCTGGTACTGATGCTGCTCCATCGATCCGAACGGTACTGGCATACCAGTACTTGGCTGTGGAGCACTCCGGAATCCTTCTTGCCCATATGCACCATGTTGAACCTGCCCTTGACCAACTGGATCAGTCGCAACCCGTTCCCACACCGGCCGTGAGTCCTTGAACTTCTTTGACGTGGGGCGTTGACGTTCCTCTTCTGAACTGGTGAAAGGCGGATTATCTTCGCTCATGATTGATGATTAGGACTGGGAAAGCCTCGATTTGTAGCTAGATCTAGTTGGTGTAGAGTGCAGTCGCTGGTAGCAGTTGGTGAGCTGAAACTGAAGCTGAATGCTGAACCGTAACCGCAACTCGTGAATGGGCCGGGTGAATGCTGTGTAAATAAGTGTAGAGAATGTGAATATGAGTTGCAAGTGCCGAATCTGCTTGTCAACATAGTCGTTCGCACCGCGGTTCGAGGTTCAGCAACACGATCTCAATCGCGTCTAAGTGGAAGTCACAGATACGTTCGCCTTTCGTTCCGGCTGTCGATGAACTTGGGAGTGTATGCCGGTAAAGTATGATATCGGTGCTGCCCAGGTCCTTATGGCGACAAGTCGTATCGCGAGGCCCAGGACCGAAAACAGAGTATATCTTCACACACCCAATCCCAAGCTCGGAAACCTCGTGCACCTGTCAAACCTTAATCCACGCGGTGCTTGGTAAATAACTCCGCAAAGGTTTCAGAGATATAGCAGGTGATATCCTCCGTGATGCTCAAACACTCAACCCCACCGGCGTGGTTGAAACTTAATGACCGTGATGATGTAATCAGGGTGAAGACCGATGCCGAGGTTGGTTTGACTTCAGGACTCCTGCTGTCGTGCGTATATTGCGACCGAGCGTATGGTGCGGGAAGCTTATTGTGCTTCGAGTTCGAAGTCGAAGGTCGAATGGAACAGTGCTGCAGTCACCCGAAACAGGCTGTGATCCCTTATACCGCCGAACCGAGACCTCGGGCGAAAGTGTTGCAGATCAAGAAACGCACTTCCAGATTGAAACTCCAGGAATCCTTGTGACTATTCGCAGGCGAATCGACGAGGGCGTGCCGTAACCTTAATACAATATCGATAGTGACCGCGGCGGTACAGCAACTGTAGAGGTCAAGCTTGCTGAAACAGGGCAGCTACCAACGTTAAAAGGCAACACACAAAACTGCGCACCACACCAAGATGATTTGTAATGTCCGCGTTCACGCGTTGCGTCGCTCAAGTGGGAATACCTATGCTTGCAAGACACGCAAGCTGCACTTCCGTTCGATCAAAGCTTATAATCGCGAAGGGGTAGAAAACCTTACGTAAGTCGAGATCGGGCTTTCTCCAAGAAACTAAAGTTACCGAGGTTGGGGCTGACTTCGAGGGTGCGGGGGCTAAGTAAACCTTCTCAAGCCTCACCGAGGCTGTTGCGGATCGGACGGGTTCCAGCTGATGGCGGCCTTGATGCGGAGGGTTCGCCGGCTCACAGGTCAAGGGAGGGGGATATAATTTGTACCCATGATATTCCAGAGGTAAGCTTAAGGACGCACATAAACCCCGGGGTTGTTATTTGAACGCTAACTAGCGCGGAGCAACTATTACGCTGACAGGTCCGCCCAATTCATAGCACTTTTTGGGTGGGAGATTGAGCAAGCCACGTGCTTTAATTGCTAGCGGTCGCATATGGCAGCAGTTAAAGGCATTTTAGCCAAGCATAAGCATCTGTCGGACTTTGCAATTGCGGTCCTGGTGCTCCCCCTCTCCCTCTCTTCTGTCTCGTTTCACTCTCAATCGCGACAGCGGGGGGGATTATGCGCGTAGCTATGGTTCGGAGAGATTTGAGGGCGGGTAAACTTGAAAAGCCAATGCTCAGGTTCCGTCCATGATGGCCGCAAGAAAATCTCCGATTTCGATGCGGTGAAGGACCGATTTGGCAGAGGTATCCGCTCCGTCCACCCCAATGCCCCCCTTCGAACCTTTTGGTGGGGCGCGCACATCAAGCATGGACATGTGCGCAACTCTGGCCCTCCCACGCAGTCACACATGTTTCACCTCGCTGCAACCACCCTGCACGCCAGACACCAAAACGAAATCCCCAACGATTAAGCCGCACAGTAAATGAAGTTTCATTTGAGATAATCTGAAGCGAACGTGTGAGATCAATTGAGACAGCGGGAGTTGCGGGGGCAGTTCTCACGGCAAATTGGAGTGCAATCGCTGCCTTTCGACGACGAGATCAGGAGGAAGACAGCCGGGAAGGCCAGGGCAAGGCTCCCCTTTAGCCCGTCGGGCTCTTCCTAGTGCGGCAGAAGTTGAGTCCGGAAGCGCGCTGGTGAAACCGGATAACTGTAGCGCGAACCCCACGACGCAGCACCGTAAAATTTGATAAGCCCTATCACAACAAGGACTTGGCCAGAGACCACCACCAACGGCGGGATGGAAGGAAGAGGGCAAAAACATCGATGATCGAATGCTCAAGCCCCAACGTACGTAACATTCATAATTCATGCATGAGAGTCAAACACCGCGGCCGGATCCAAACGCCGACCGCATATCGTGTGATGACAAATCAAGAAAGATCGGGGATGACAAAATTGGCCCAGCGGTCGCGATGGAGGATCTGATAAAGGTTCGTCCGAGGATATCAGGATGTGCACGCAAATCGCACAACGGAGAAACACAAACGCATAGTTTTATTGACGTGGCGCAGGCATGCTTGACAGAAATCTTCTTTCCTAGCTAACGTAAGGTCAAATGTGAGTAGCGTAGTCCGGGGATGCGAGAAACGTCTCGCCTTTCGCTCACCCTTTCTCGCGCTCGCGATCACTCGATCACGTTGCTCATCGCTCCCCTGTCGGCTGCTTACAAGCCTTCGCATCCCACCCACAATACAAAATAGCAAATTCGGAAAAAAGCTTACAAACGCAAGGAAATCGACCTCCTCGCAGCACGGCGCAATCGAGGCTCAGTGCCGCATAACCGAACGCTTAGACTTGCTCAATAATGTCCTCATCCTATTTTTTCCCTTGTGCAAGCCATCATAACCTCGCAACGTGGATACCCGAGAAATCGGGCCACATCTAAACACAAAGAAAATTAGCTCCCATTCATTTCGATTGTCCGCGGGACAGGTGTCATGGCCATGGTCCTGGTCAAGGCTTTCCCTTCTGTTGCATTTCACGTTCACGTATGTAAGATACGTACGTAAGCGCAAGCCTCAAACATCGTGAAATTACACGTCGATCGCCATGATCGTGCGTAATTGCGTGACCAGATGCATATGCTTAACCTGGATAGCCTTGCACACGAGCCAGAAGTGGTCTGACTTGCCCTGACCTTGACCAAGAAGCCGACCACGACCAGGACCATGGCTCTGAGTGATCTGGATCGGGTGTTGTGGACTTACCTCTCTGAGAACATCCCACATCGTCTTTACGTACACAAACCTAACGTCATTCCTCACGTCCTCAGGGACCCCATCCTCACCCTCCACATCCTTCCGATTCCAAGCCGGCAAGAGAACCTTCGTAATACCAGCACGATGCGCACCTATAACCTTCTCCTTGACACCGCCAATGGGAAGGACAGAACCGCGTAGTGTCATCTCGCCTGTCATCGCTGTGTGAGGGTCGACACGCCTGTGAGAAAGAAGCGAGATGATAGCCAACGTCATCGCAATTCCAGCACTGGGACCATCCTTCGGAATGGCACCAGCAGGGCAATGAATATGGATGTCCCGCTCTTTGACAGGATTCTCGCCTTCCGCACACAACCCCAACACAGATGCATTCGACTTGACCCAACTCAACGCAACCTGCGCAGACTCCTTGATCACCTCCTTCAAGTTCCCAGTTAATTGTAACCTTCCAGACCCAGCCATATCCGTTGCCTCAATCAGCAAGATCCCTCCATTCCCACTGCCTGAATATGCTAACCCAGTGATGACACCAGGCCGGTGCACTCGCTCAGCAATTTCATCCACGAACTTCTGCACACCCAGGATCTTCTCCAGGTCTTCGGCTTTCACGACAGGATCATATCCATATCCCCTTCCGCCATCCTTGTCGTGAACCTCAGCGTATTGCACAGCTTTAGCACGAACCACACTCCCCAGCTCACGCTCCAATCCACGAACACCAGCCTCCCTCGTCCACCCTGTCGCAACCTTTGTCACAACATCTTCACCAAGCACGACTTGCTCCGGTCTCAAGCCATTTGCCGCGCACTGCTTCGGTACTAGATACTTCTGTGCGATCTTCAACTTCTCGGGGTAGGTGTACCCAGGGACTTCAATCGTCTCCATCCTGTCCAACAAGGCAGCCGGAATCGTCTCCAGGGAATTCGCCGTCGCAATGAACAAGACTTTCGATAGATCAACAGGCAGCGCGACATAATGATCCGTAAAGGACCAGTTCTGTTCCGGATCCAGGACTTCCAACATAGCAGCAGACGGATCCCCATTATGCGACCTCTGCCCCAACTTATCGATTTCATCCAGCAAAATCACAGGGTTATTGACCTGCACCTTCCGGAGTGCTTGGACGAGAACACCAGGCAAAGCACCTACGTACGTACGGCGGTGACCACGGATTTCGGCTTCATCTCGCACACCGCCGAGAGAGATACCTATGCTCTTCTGTCAGCAACGCTTTCGTCAAGTCGAAAAAGAAGAACATACGATGGAACTTCCTCCCAAGCGCACTAGCAACACTCCTCGCCAAACTTGTCTTTCCCACGCCCGGCGGGCCGACAAGCAGCAAGATAGGTGCACGATCCGCCGTCGTGTGTTTCCTCTCCTCCACCCCCCTCTGCCCAGCCTTCACGTCAGTCACAGATTTCTCCCCTTTCTTCGGAACAGAGATAGCGTCACCTTCCATCTTCTCATTCGCGAGCGCACCAGCGATGGCGCTAGTATTTAACGCCTTCAACCTTACCACAGCCAAGAACTCAACTAACCTCTTCTTCACCCTACCCAATCCATAATGATCTTCATCCATGATCTTTCGAGCTCGCGCAACCATCTCCTTATCGACCTTATCCTCCGTTCCCTGCGTCCATGGTATGGACAGGAGGGTGGACAAGTAGGTGTGGATGAGGTTGTGCTCGGCTTGTTGGGGTGGAATTTGTTGGAGGCGCTTCAGTTCTCTCGTGCAGACTTTCTTCACCTCGGGCGGTAAGGTCCCAGTCTCGATCTTCTTCTTCAAGGCGGCGAGGTCGTCTTCGTCTTCTTCATCGTCTTTCCCACCTTTTGTTCCAGTCTTCTTAGTAGCAGCCAGTTCATTCCGAATAGCCTCCAACTGCTGCCGCAGATAAAACTCCCTGCTCCTCTTCTGCAAAGAATCCTGAACACTTCCCTTTATGTCCTCCTCAACCTTGAGCTTCTCAACCCTGCTCTCGAGGATGTCGATCACAGTCTGCAAACGCTCGGTAATCGGCCACGCGTCCAATACCTTCAACTTATCCTTAAACTCAATATCCGCCAACATTCCTACAATCAAATCGGCAACAGCCCCCGCATTCGTGGCATTTGTCTTCCCAATAATCTCCTTCAAACGGCGGGTAATCGTGGTTGTGGGTAGCTTCATCGCGGTCAGGAGCTTATCCGCCGATGTCCTCAGCCGTTCAAGGAGGGCGTGAGCAGCGATATCCGTCGGCTGAATATGTTGCTCGAATATATGCTGTACCTTCGCCGTCAAAAATATCTCGTTGGGGGTTGGTTGTGTCGATTGAATGCGGAAGCGGGAGATGCCTGTATGCCGCAAATCGTCAGTCTCCGTACATTTAAAAAGACTGAAGACCTACCTTCCAATACAGCTGTATAATGCTCGTCATCCGTCCTTTCGAGACGAATAATACGTGCAACACACCCTACTTCACACATCTCCACACCACCTTCTTCTCCGGCAGTTATCTTCGTTCCATCGTTTTTCACGGGCACGACACCTACAAGGACCTTGTCCACTTCATCCTCGTCCTGCATCTTCTCAAACACATAGTCCAACAGTCCAACAGCACGCTCCGGCTCGATACTCTGTGCCGTCGAGAACCGGTGAATGAGACCTGGTAGGACGATAGACCGAGGTGAAAGAGCCATGAGAGGCAGGGAATTCGGCAGGTAAAGTTTGCGAGACATCATAGCTTTCGGTTCAATGCGTATATGCTGGATGAATGCTGCTTATTGTCGTCGTTGTCGAGATGGTGCAGGTATCCTTGGTTGTGGATGGAGGGAAGTACGTAATCTGGGGTAACTGCGGGGCCGGCCGTTATCGATGCGGCGGCCCGACCGGTCACATGAAGAAGTGATGGAAATGACTAGAAGGCTGTCGTTTCCCACGGAGCTCTTTCAATTGAACAGCAATTGATCCTAATTGAATCTCCAGTATCGCCTATAGCTATGGAGTGACTTCGGGTAATCTCCTACGTTATCTGCCGCAGATCGTCACAGCCAACTTCCCCATGCGCGATCCGTCCACGTAGCACAGGCTACCGCTACAGCAGCCTCGAACATTTCCTCGACCTTCTGGACTTTCTCCAATCACCTCCTCGGTCAATCCCCCATCTCCACAATGGCAGACCTCGACAAGTACCTCCTCCTCACAAAGTTCTACGCCCAGGATGCCTTTTCCAGCATCGACTGGTCCCAACCCTCCCTCTACATCTCCGTCGCGTCCATCCTCTTCAACCCGATTTGGTGGAATGTCGTCGCTAGGATGGAGTACCACAACAAGACGTTGACTAAGCTCGCTGGTGGTAATGCGAAGTACGGATGTTACGGTCTTGCTGTTGCTATCTTCTCTCTTGGGATCATCCGTGATTTCCTGTACGTCTTTCTCCCTTCACCCTACTTACACCGCACACAGTATTGACATGATTGCGTATGAAGTTATGAGCGTGCCTTGAACGCTCAACCCCTCTACGCCCCCCTCGCCGCCTACCCCTATACCAAACCCCTCGCCGTCGCCCTCTTCCTCACCGGCAACATCCTCGTCCTCACCTCCATGTACGCCCTCGGCGTAACAGGAACCTACCTCGGCGACTACTTCGGTATCCTCATGGACGCCCGCGTGACTGGTTTCCCATTCAACGTGACTGACAACCCCATGTACTGGGGATCCGCCATGTCCTTCTTGGGAACTGCGTTGTGGTATGGAAGGCCGGCGGGTGTTGTGTTGAGTGTGGTTGTTGTTGTTATGTACAAGATTGCGCTGGCGTTCGAGGAGCCTTTCACCGGTGCTATCTACGCCAGGCGTGATGCGGAGCGTAAGAAGGCTGGTGCGAAGGCCCAGTAAGCTTCCTGCCCCTCGGATCCATTGTGGGTGCGTTGCTCTTGCAGAGCACATGGAGGACGGACGTGGCAGCAAGTAGCGGAGTAGCGGGAGAAAGACGGTCAGCTAGCGGTGTACATACGTTACACGCTGGGACAACATGACAAGGACAGAAACTCAACTTTCTGTCTCTTGTGGATCATCATTTTTGGGTCATTCACGGGGAGTTCCGGCGTTATTCACCTATTCAACAAAGGGTCCTCTTGCTTTTTTGACACTATACCTAACATTAGAAAAGAAATATATGATACATGCATAGGTAGTTTCCGCTCATTGCAAAGGTTCGGGGATGTCACAGGCAGGTAGACAGCAGGGGTTCAGGGCTATCAGGCGTACTTACTGCTATGTTCATCCCTTTTCTGGTCAAACATCAATACATTAGCAATGATCTGCTCAATCTATGGCCTAAGTACTTGGTAGCGAAGGAACCTGGAGTTACCGTCGAGGATCCACCCATCCATGATCTCCTTTTTGCTGGGTTGCCTGAACCATTCATTACTGTGCATACTTCTTGTCTCAGAGGTGCTAAAGGAGGGTAGTCTGGTAAGCTATGCCTGCATGCCACCAACGATTGGTAGCAGCTCCTCTTCGATGAATTCAACGAACCAGTCAGCATTGAAGGATCCCTGAAAGATGCGCAGCGCCTTCCACCTTCAGTAGTCAATGCCGTGATCGTGACTAAAAGCAACACATTTTATCACGAGTCAGACAACACATTCCATGATGAACGAGAACGATAGGATTTCGGGAACAGCACAAGTAACGAAGCTTCATGTGAAAGTACAGTCAATGGCAGGCTCCGTGAGAACGCCATGGCCAAGCAACTCTAAGGAACGAGCCGGCCGCGGCTTATGGATGAAGTTGTGGAGACACCATTTCCGAAAACTCGGTGAATTAAAGAAAAAGAAAAACCAGAGAAAGAGAGACATGTCCGCAAACCCTTCATTCAACCTGGTATCCATGAAACACACGCCCTATCTTGCTCTCAACACACCTCATCCCCATGCACCGTGCCCATCCACTCAAAACAAGGACAGCCCATGACCAACTGACATTTAAGCAAGGTATCCAGCAGCAGCCAACACAGCACCGACGGCAACACCAGCAACCTGGTTCACCATAGCTCCACTCGAGCTAGTCGCAGCCGCGCTCGAGCTCGAATGCGAAGTGGCACTAGCAGCGTGCGAAGAAGCGGAAGCCGCGACAGACGAAGCACTGCTGGCAACGGAAGAGGCAGAAGAACCGACGCTGGAGACAGAGGATGCACTGGAAGTAGAGGCGGCGGACGACGCAGAGGAAGCAGCGGAAGAAGCCGAGGAGGCGGCAGAAGAGGCCGAGGAGAGTGCGGAGGAGACAGAGGAGGTGACAGACTGTGAGAATCATTAGGATCTTGGTTCAAGAGAGAATGACGGGGAAAAATAAAAACGTACGGACTGAGCCTGAACACCGGCGAAGAGGGCAGCGGCAGCAACGAAGATGGTGGTGAACTTCATTATGATTGATCTGATCTGGTGTCGAGACGAGAAACCTTTTAAGAGACTGGTATTGGTGTCTGGTGTTGTAAAAAGAGCAGTTATACCACTTGATCGATATGGTACCCAGGGTGGACGACCGATGGGTTTTATACTTGACGAGCGGGCTACCACTGCCATGCACAGCGGGGGTGGGGAAGGGAAGGGAAGCAGCGTGGCTACCGTGGCTCCACAAGCCCAGGATGGCTAAGTAAGGCTTGGCAGGAGTTACAGGGGCTACTAAGACTGGCGGGCCGTTTGTGTAGCGCGATGAGCTCACGTAATTGCAAAACAAGGTTTAAGGGAAGGTGCGGTCCCGTGCTGCATGTCGTGGTGGCCCACCTTGGCGAATCATGTAACCCAAAGCTTTAGCTATCGAGTAGAGCGATATAAATACCGCAACTCAATAACCTGCTTCCGCCTACCGAACCCATCGAAGGCCCGGTCGTACGGGGCGACGATGTGCATGGTTACCCTCTGAGCACGTTTGGGTCGACCTGACGTTGGGGGGAGGCGCTCCAGTCCACCTAGCGTGCGGGGAAGGACAACCTTAAATCAGGGATCGCATCATGCGGTAGAACTATGTTACCATTCCAATTATTCGCCACCTCTTTAATTGAATAGCTATACGATGCTAGAATTTTCGCCACTCCTTTCCTTGCGATCGTGTGCATACCTTATCTGTAGAATATGATGGGTATGGCAATGACCGTTTGGGTAAACCATAGTGGATTCCGCTGTCATGGCATCGCCTTCCGAAACAGGCATTGTCGCCGTCATTGCCAAGCCAAGCGCGCTGCTTCTCGTTTTTTCGTCGTTAACCAATATGCAAGTTTTCCTCAACCTTCTCATGCAATGGCAATTCTCGGCTCTAATTGATACTCTTCGTCCGGGTAAATCTCCCAGAGTCTTTCCTCAGCCTCATTCACCCGCCGGTAGATCATTCTTCCTATTCCTATCAGAGGCACTCGGCGCGCTCCCGGCCCGGGCTGTCATTGACCTTCTCCCGGCCCTAGAATCCTTTCCCAGTCTTCCCGCCGAATTCAAAGTACCTTCAGCTACAAGGTCCGCACCACGTGAAACAGGTGTCGCCAAGATATCTCGACCTTGTATATCTTGGGTCCGACGTGCTCGGGCCAAGCGCTCCTGTAACGGTGTATCCAACCTCTCCATCCCACTACCCCTCCTCCTTTCTCCCTGTCCACTCCCCTGCCTCCGGCTTCCACTCCCAAAACTCCCGACGGTAACAGGTGTAGCAAAAACATCCCCTGCACCACCCCTCGGATCTCCCATAGCCACACCCTCACGTTCCCTCCGTGACGCTGCACCGCCATTATCGTCGCGCAGGAAGAGTGAGATACGTTCGTCCGTGATGTTGAGCATGGATTCTTGTTCACTTGTTTGGAGGGCTGAGAGGCGGAGGATGTATTCAAGGAGTGAGAGGGTTGCGAGGGAGGAATTGGAATCCGAGTTAGGACGGGGAGGAGGGAGGTTGGCGGGAGGAAGGGAGCGCGGTGGTGGGGTGCCGATGTTGAGTTGGTTGACGGCTGTTGAGAGCGTGTCTTCAGCGTTCAGACCCGGAGAATGTCCGCTGTCCTCTTTCGGTGACGGAGTCTCGTCCTCTCCAATGTCACTCTGTAGATCGTCGAAGTCGGACTCATAGTCATCATCCCCGTTCTCATTGAACAACTCCAGAGCCAGCCATTCGATATTTTCATCAGCCCTCTCTTGCTCTTCCTCTTCACCTTCTTCCTCGATGTCAGACTCCAATTCGTCATCTGGCATCGTCCCAGACCTCATCTGTTCCATCAACTTTCTCGGCGGCGGAAGTGAGTGATTCAGTTTCAACACCAACACCGGAGTTCGTGCTTCCTCGATGTTCAGTAACCTTCCGCTCGCAGAGAAGAACAACCGTGCAAGCAGATGTACCGGAATAGCCCGTGCCCTTCCTGGAATGAAGCCATCCGACTCTTTAACCGGTTTATCCGCCCCTTCGACCTCCAACTCCTCATGATACCTCCCATCGTTCAGATCCTCCACGATGTTGAGTTCATAGTTATACTCATCCGCCCAAATCTCATCCAACGCCTCCGCCTCAATCGGTGCCGGTGTCCGCATAACGGTAACACGACACTTCGCATGTTCCTCCTTCCACGTAATATCACTCGCTGACACACTATTCGTATTGGCAAACCGATCACTTCCGGAAAAAATCGTATACAACTTCAACGTGAACCCAGGTCCGATTTGTGTAGGTTCATCTTCGGCGAGATATCGTGCATCCGCCTTTGTCAAGAAATTGCTGGCCTGGAGAAGGCGGGAGGGACTCACTGTCTCCGGAAGCGTACTCGAGATATTCGCGCCTGATGTCGTCAAGGCAAGTGAAATGAATGGTACCGCTTCCTCGACCCTCATCAACAATTCCTTCATCCCCTCCAGAATCTCCTTCACCTCCTTCTCCCTTCCCTTCCCCTTCGAACCCCCTCCTTCTCGGGCATCAACGACCTCTCCCACCCTAACTCCAAACCTCTGAATATCCCTCCTCAACCCCGCCGTCAACCGCACCGTACTATCCAATATCGTATTCCCCCTCGCCGCGATGATATCAATCAACTCCAACGCAGGCGTAATGATCCTAATCCGCTGTTCGAGTCTCTTCCGCGTGTTTTCGAGTTCGGCACCAGTTTGTTTGGGGATATCGGCGATGTAGCGTTGAACTTGTTTGACGGCGAAGGAGGCTGTGAGGGTTATGCCGCTGCGGATGGCAAAGGTCGCTGCTTGGGCGCCGACCTGTGAGATGGTTAGCTCGATGCTTTAAGGACAGCTTGATGAAAAATGACCAACTCACCCTTGCCAACAGGTCATCCATGCTGGGATATCTGCACAGATTTGCAGACTTCTACCGTGCATTAGGTGCAGAATTCTACGACGCACCCGCAATTGCAAACATCCTCGACCACCAAGCGCACAATGTCGACCGCCGAAGTCCGCTCCCTCTACCGCAAATTCTGGCGCCAAGCCCACCGCTCAGTAATGTGGGTCTCCCCCCAACGCTTCGTAATCGCCTCCAAACTCTCTTCTGCATTCCGCTCCCCAACCCCACAAGACCTCGATCCAGTCCGTCAGGCAAACACACTCGCGTTCTTGAAGAGTGCGGCGGAAACGCTGGGGGTCGAACATCGCGTCGTCAAGACTTTGTGTTTTGTGCATTGGAGTCGCTATTATGATCTGAAGACCGCGATGAAGTGAGTATGAGACAGAATGCGGAAATGGAATGATTTGCTGATGTGGGTTGTTTAATAGGCCGTATCCGAAGCAGGCGAAGAACTTCAAAGAGTGGTTGTTTGAGTATGAGGCGTACGACAACTACGAAAAGTGTTTACAGATGATGAACGACAGTTTGAAGTTATGTTTGCGGTGATCTGGTGATACGAAGCACGGATGAGAGAGTAAAACATAGGTGGCCTCCAGAACATTCAAATCAGCCTGGGTATGATCCTTCGCGCCCTCAGAAAACTTCTGACAGGCGACGAGGGCATGTGATGCGATGGGGCTGGGAACAGTGATTCGTCGAATGTGAACTTGGCGAAGAAGTCGAGGAAGACGTGGGAGAATATGGTGAAGGCATACGGCGTGTTTCGGATCCAGAATGATGATCGACCCGTTGTGGAAAAGGAGAACCGGGAAGAACAGAGAGAGGTGAGAAGAACAGGATAGGGAGACGAAATACGTGGGAAAGCGTTCCTTCACAAATTACGGTGGTGACGGCGTGGGTCAGTGTTTGGGAGATGCCGTTTTGGGGAGACATCGATATGGGGATCACGTGAGAACAAGAGAATACGACAAAAGGGTTGGTACGGGTGAAGCAAGCCTGGAAAAGGCTCCTTAAACTGCATCTTTACCCGGGTCTGTTGCTGTCTATCATAGTACTCAGCCTATCTGTCCTTCCCTTCCAGTTTCCCCAGACGCCTTTTCCCCCAGATCAAGATGCTAAATGCCAACACGTACGAATATGGCTCCTGCCCACTTCATCAAACGATAACCGTGGTCTCTCCATTCTGAACTCTCCGCACGACACCTTCTGCTATAGGCCTGAAAACGTCACAAAGCGCACTCTCCTGATACTTCGTCAACAACGACTTCTCACCAACACCCAACCCATTCTCCTGTGCCCCATGCGGATGATCATCACCCGGCCGCACGACCTTATTCTGCTCCTCAATCATCAACACAAACTTCGGATCAATCGGTACCCGTCCCAAGAAATCCACCCCAAACTCCTGCGCCATCTTCTCGCCTCCACCACTCGAGAAGATATTCGTGCAATCCGAGCAATGTGGACACACGAACCCAGACATATTCTCCACAACACCCAAGATCCGCAGACCGACTTTTCGGCAGAAATTGAGCTCTTTGCGGACATCTGCAGTAGCGACATCTTGTGGCGTGGTAACCAACACAGCAGAACACGCCGGGAAATAATCCCGTAGCGACTCAATTGTCGTGATGTGCTCATCCGAAGTTCCCGGTGGGGTGTCAATCAACAAATAATCGACTTCACCCCACACCACATCCGTAAAGAATTGCTTAATCATCGCCGTCTTCTTCGGGCCTCGCCACACGACACTGTTTCCTCGATCTTTGAGCAGGAAGCCGAGACTCATGACACCCAAGCCCTTTTCTTCGCCGTCTGCGTATACTGGAATCCAGCCTGCGCTACTTGCGTGTATCTGCCTTCCCTCGAGGCCGAACATTCGTGGGATTGAAGGACCGGTAAGGTCGACGTCGCACACAGCAACTTTGTGACCTTGTAGCCGCAGTGATAGCGCAAGCTGTGTCGTTACCGAGGACTTTCCAACGCCTCCCTTGCCGGAGAGAACGAGGACGATGTTCTTGACTCTGGAGAGAGCCGTTGCTGAGGTATCCGCTGACATATCTGCTCTGATCTCCTTGCGCAAGCTGATGATCTCACTGTTGTGAACTTACAAGACGGATTGAGCGGTCAACAATCCTGATCAATACCGATGATTTTATTTTGCTTATAAAGCCTGACGCAATCTCGTAAGCACCGGCAGTTGCGGCGGCAGCACTTTGCCACACGCACGCCTCGGTTCTACGAAGCTTGTGCCTGTATCGAAGACCTCGACGTACAAACACCGCAAACAGCTGTCAGCATACAATCAGCATACAATGCAAGGAAGAATAGCCAAAGCAGTCTTCTCCTCCAGCCAGCAAGACCATCTATCATTCGCATTCGAGGACTACCTCCGGACTAATCTCAGATTCGGCGCTCACAGTCCACCACAGCATGAAAGAGCAGGAGCCATTGTATGCAAACATTGGCTGAGAGGCCTTTGCAAGAAGGGCGATCATTGTGAATTCTTGCACGAATACAACCTGAAGCGTATGCCTGAATGCTGGTTCTTCAACAAGCACGGGTACTGTTCGAATGGGGAAGAATGTCTGTACTTGCATATCGATCCAGACGCGAGGGTAGGCGTATGTCCCTGGTATGAGATGGGATTTTGTCCATTAGGTCCCGAGTGCCGACAAAAGCACGTGCGGAAAACGATGTGTGAACTCTGGCTGGCAGGTTTTTGTCCGGAGGGTTTGGAATGCGAGAATGCCCACCCCAAACACATCAAGCCTCCACAGCCACCCCTACGAAGACAAAAACGAGAACCTATACGAGAGGAAGCGACAACTGAGGAGTTTGCGTCGAAACCCAGGCATCGGGTATGTCTCAATAATTACAATTACTTTTCATGATCTGGCTAACTTTTTGTGTCTCAAGGACATCTCTGATGTTACTTGCTACAAGTGCAATGAGAAGGGCCATTATGCAAATCACTGCCCGCAAGGACGCCGAAACGACTAAACAAATGCAGGGATATTTGTTGGGATCATCGGCGCGACGGGAAGTCCCATTAGCGCTGGCGCAGGGACTTCAAAGATTGTCATGGTCGCAAACGTTGCGTAAAAGAGGAAACAAGGGTACAGAATTGGTCAACAGCTATATCTCACTCAGGTGCAGTATGGCGACAAACATGGCATTTGCCCATGCAAGCTCGTGCTTGTAACCGAAGAATAGGGGCCCTGGAAACTCGATAAAGGAGGTTGAAAGATTCATATTGGGCTTGTGTATGTCCGCCCCTCTATAGCTATACAAAATAAAAAACGTATCCAATCCCTGTATCCGGTGCCCATACCCCAGTCACATACAATGCTATAATGCAAATGAAGTCGACGTCTAACATTACACCTTTCTCATCTTCTCTCAATTTCCGCAGAGAACAGTTCTCTTCTGAGTCACCCCTTATACCGGTCTTCTCTGACATCTAGACAACGCAGCCGCCAACTTTCCAGACAAAATAGGCTTCGCGACATAATCGTGCATACCAGCCGCCAAACATCTCTCACGGTCTCCACTCATTGCGTTCGCCGTCATCGCCACAATACGGGGAAGCTGCTCCGGCGGGTAAAGCTCCACCAACGTCTTGGTCGCCTCGATACCATCCTTTCTGGGCATCTGCACGTCCATGAGGATCACATCGTAAACCTTCTCCTTGACCATCTCGATGGCCACGATACCATCGACTGCATGATCTGCGGTGTATCCCATCCTCTTCAAATGCTGGAGTGCAACCTTGGAGTTGATCGGGTTGTCCTCAGCCAACAAAATCCTGAGCGGATGACGCTCTCCGAGGCCATTGGGATCCACATGGCCTTCCAAGAGCTTGCTTTGCGGAGGTTTGGTGACGGCCCGAATGGCCTCGCTTTGAGGTGAGAATATCTGTGTGATGACCTTCTGTAACCTCGCCTTCTTGACAGGCTTGATGAGGTACAAGCTACCACTTGCAGACTCCTGGCTGAGCGCTTCAGGGGGCAATACACTTCCGATACGGCTAAGACGGATGACCTTAAGCTCAAGCTCCAAAGCAGAGATATCCTTAATGAAAGCGTCAATTTCACGATCAGCCTTGAAAACATCGACAAGAGCAAGTTTGAAGGTGCCGGGCTCGTTCTTCTTGATCAGCGCAATCATATCCTCACAGTTGCTGACAGTGAAGGGCACCAACCCTAATTCTTCTGTCTGCTCCTTGAGCAAAGCGAGCGTAACCTCATTGTTGTCTAGGATCAGACAACGCTTACCCTCGACTGCAGGGTCACGGATAGCCGGCATAGGTGAGTCCTCGTCACCAACCTTGGTCTTGATGGTGAAATGGAAAGTCGTACCCTTGCCAACAATGGACTCCAACCAGATTCTTCCCTCCATAAGCTCAACGAGCTTCTCAGAGATAGCCAGTCCAAGACCAGTTCCACCGTATGAACGGTTGCTCGACGACTCAATTTGGGAGAACAAGCGGAAAAGCTTTGTGAACTTCTCCTGCGGGATACCGATACCAGTATCACTGCAGCTGATCTGGAAGGTGTAAGTCATACCCTTCGAGTCATTCGGCTCGATGATGCGCTCAACAACCTGCGACATGACGATGACATGACCGTGCTCAGTGAACTTGACAGCGTTACCCAACAGGTTGATAAGGATCTGCCTGAAACGAGTAAGATCACCAATGATGATGTCGGGGTAGTCATTGTGCTTGTTGACGTAGGCCAGCTCGAGTTCCTTCGACGAGGCACGCTCTGCAACAATCTGCAAAGCACCTTCAATACACTCACGAAGAGAAAAGGGCGCATTCTTTAGCTCGATCTTTCCGTGCTCGATCTTGGAGAAGTCGAGGATCTGGTCGATAACCGTCAGCAACTCCTTACTGCTGTTCCTGATCGTTTCAACGTATTCAGTCTGAAGAGGAGTCAGAGGAGTATCCAATAAGAAGCCAGAAAGACCGATGACAGCGTTGAAAGGAGTTCGAATTTCGTGACTCATATTAGCCAAGAACTCGGACTTCATCTTTGCGGCTGCCTCAGCCGCATCCTTCGCTACTTCGAGATCGCGGTAAAGCCTGGACTTCTCAATGGTAACAGCAGCCTGGGTACACAGGAAGTTAAGAAGCTCCAAGCGGTCTGGAGTGAAAGCATGGGCAGTATTCGCGTTCTCGAGGTAGAGCACACCGATCAGATTCACATTGTTCTGAATAGGCATGCAAAGCACACTGCGGAGCTTCTTCTGGACAAAGTAGCGGTCACGACCGAACTTGGCCGCAAACTGACGCTCGTTAGTCTTCACGACAGGCTCTCTCAAGCGAGCAACGTAGTTGACCAGAGAAATAGGTACAACGTCAGTGCGCTGAGTAATCGGCTGATGACTGACAATTTCAACCTTTCCAACCGTGCCGAGAGCTTCGAGGAAGAACATACCATCTTCAGCAAGGAGAAGAGCGCCATTATCAGCACCAGCGGTTTGGAGCACAATCTCAATAAGCTTGATTAAAACCTCCTGAATCTCATATTCTTCAGAGATGATGACGGAAGCCTTAAGAACAGACTGGAGATCTAGTCGAGAGCTCAAAGATGCCTCCGAGTTGTGATTGCGTCCGCCACTGCTTCCAGACTTGTCCCCAGAACTTGCTGAAGTGCGGGTCCCAGTTGTTTGTGAGAAAGGATGCTGGTCATAGGTGCTCGCTTTGGAAGCACCCTCGATGGAACCGGATCCGATCGCAGACATTCCACCCGATTTGACGCTGCCAGTAGCCCGAGACTCCTCATCGACGTCAGACATCGCAGAACTAAAGATACCCTGGCTCTCAACGAAGTCATGTGCCTCGCGCCTTCGGCGGTTGGTCAACGAATCGAAGACGCTACTGCCGCTCTTGCTGTCACCAGAGGAAGACGACGCCATCCACGGGACGAGAGCACCTGGAGAAACCGTGCGCGTCAGAGTTCCATCACCGTTGATCGCGATGTTGGCAGAGCGGAATGGCTGTACATCAATATCCTTACCATGACCATCACTTTGAAGCAATTGAGGGAATCGTCGCTCAAGGTCCTTCACCTTGGTCTTCGCGCCCCATAGCCTATAAAGATGATACGACTTCTCGATATACTTGTGCGACATACGTGGCTTGTACTTCAAGAAGTGGATGGCGCAACGCTCAGCGTACATAGCGGCTTCCTGAAGACAACCCTGCTTGCAAGCCTCTTCGATAGCATCATCGTAGGCCTCAAGAGCGTCAAGCTCTTCGTTCTTATGCCTATACAATTCAGCCTCGATGAACTTGACCTCATGGTTGAAGGTCGATGGAGAACACTGAGCCCAGTGCTGAAGATCCTGGTAGTGCTTCTCAAAGTAACCGAGGTACGGGGGCTGCAAGCTGGGGTAGTCCTGCACCAAGTTGACGGCAGAGAAGAAGGCGTACTTGGCGAGGTAGAAATGCGACAAGACACCGTGAGCGGTGCTCCTACACTCCATGGCCATTTCAGTAGCAACATGACTCTGGTTGAACATGACGGCAAACATCAACGGGTACAGATAACATACGAACAACTGCGGCAAGGATCCATTATCCATGACCGCCTGGAGCTCGTTCTTCATACTGAAGTGTTCACCCTCGATATTCAACACATTGGCAATATCACCGTTCTCCAGGTTGCACATAGCCTGAAGCGGGATGGCAAGATAGTGCATGGATGATTGGACCTTGAACCTCTTCACAACCGGAGCAAAGCTCGAGAGCTTCGAGATCGTGTGCGAAACAGGCTCACCGGCCCACATTGCGTACATACATCCCTCGACAATGGCGTATGTGGTGTACTCAGGGTTGTAAAGCTGCAATCCCTTCGAGATAGTAGCGTTGAAATACACGAGTGTATTCCTCACCGGCTCGTTCCAGATACAAACGTGGGATGCGAACACCTTGTACGTGGACACATCCGCAGGTTCGACAGTCTGTCTCGAGTCGACGATTCGAATGGCGACCTTACCGAAGTGATACGCCTGTAGCTGAGACTTGTGTGTGCGCTGATCGGAGATGATACAACCCCACATGACAAACGGATACACACCAGCACTACAGAGCCCGTACTTCATCGAGAACAAGATGGAATTGGCACAGAGGGGCCCGAGGATACCCGGCTTGTACAGATACATCGGCAAGATCAGTGTGGCACTGAGGCTTTGCATCAAGATGTGCTCCTCGCTCGTCGTCACCGGCAAGCTCGAAAGCGAGTCAATATCATCAAGTGACATGTCAAGCTTCTTGCCCAGGATCGCAAGCAACGCCTCAGCCTCCTCGACCTTCCTGGGCAACTTGTGTCCCAAAAGCTCCAGTGCATCAAGACCAGCCTCGATAGCCAAATCGAACTTGTCGAGACCCATATAACACTGCATCTTCGGCAACAAGCACTTGGCCTTATCGAAATTCGTCTCTGTGTTTGCCAGGACATCGTTGAGGACATCGATGGCGTCAGAGTACTGGTTGTTGGCGTAGAGGGCATCAACGTGCGTCAACATGACCTTCATCGCCAACTGCGCATCAATCTTCCAAGAATCAGGTCCCAACAAACCCCTCGCAGTCTCCAAGTACTGCAACGAAAGGTCAAAAGCAGTACTCTGCAACGCCTTCTGTCCAGCCCTAAAATTGAGCCTGATGACTCTCATCCGCTCCGCATCAGTGAACGTACCAATACCATGATTCAACTGATTTACAATCTCGAAAATAAATCGATCCGAATTATCACCATCGGTGTTCTCGAGCAAGAGCCATCCAATCTTCACATGCGTCGCTGCACGGGCCTCCTCAGGGATGAGCGAATATGCCGCCTGCTGAACCCGATCATGCAAAAATCGATACGTGATAACTGAACTCTCATCTTCAGCATCTTCACCAATGCTCGCACCAACGGTATGTATCGACCTTGCATCAGGCGTCATATCTCCTCTGTCATCATCAACCTTCGTCATCATATCATCATTCACATCCTCATCATTATCGCTTTCTTCGTCATCGTCCTCAGCCAGCGGAGTCTTATAGGCCGCAGTCGTAGGAATAATGAGACCAGCCAACAACGCATCCCACAACTCCTGCGCAGTCTTCTTCAAACTCTTCTGATACACGATACTCAACGTCCCAAGCGTAAACCGATTCGATCCCACACACGCCGCAAGCCTCAACACGTTCTGCGTTGCCTGTGGTAGGTTTTTTATCCGACTCACCAACAACTCTACCACATTCGGGGGTAAATCCTCCGTCAATATTTCCGCCAAATCAAACGTCCACATCTTCTTCTCGAAATCGAAACGGAGTTGTTGACGTTGATACAGCACCCTCAAGACCTGCGTCACGAAAAAGGCGTTTCCCTGTGTCTTGGCATACACCAACTCGCAAAACGTTTTTAACTCCGGATCATCCTGATTCCCACGATGTAACGTCGCACACACGATATCCGTAACACTCTTCATATCCAACGGCTTCAAATGTAAGTCCACAATCGGCGTCTCAGCATCCTTGATCATCTTCATCATCACGTTCACATAGTGATCCTTATCCACCTCATTATCGCGAAACGCAATAATCAACAATAACGAATTCGCTTTCTTGTCATTATGCGCCGCGACAGCGATGGATCCGATGAGGCCCAACTCAACCACACTACTCCACTGCAAATCGTCCAAGAACAACACGAGCGGCTTCCCAGGTCTTCCAAACAACATAATAAATCTCTGAAACACCTCCTTCAACCGCTGTTCCCGCTCACTCGGCCCAATATCCGGTAACGACGGAACAACATACTCCGGCCCCAACACCCTCCGCACCTCAGGCAACACACTCAACACAACCGCCGCATCCTGTCCCAAAGCATCAATAATCCTCTTCCTCCACACCTCCAAACTCAACTCCGTCTCCGAAATAATCTGCTTAACCAAATCCCCCAACGCCTGAATCAACGAAAAGAACGGGATCCCGCGTTTATATTGGTCGAATTTCCCGGACGAGAAGAATGCGCGTGATTCGATGACAGGACGTTGCATTTCTGCCACGAGGGAGGATTTACCGATTCCGGAGTGGCCTTGTACGACAAGGACTTCGCAGCCTCCGTCCTTTTTTACGCGGTGGAAGGCGGAGAACATGAGTCGGAGATCCTCTTCGCGTCCATACAATACCTGAGGCAATGAGAATTGGGACGCATCATCCGTCATGCCCGCCTCGAACGACGAAGTTTTCTCCGAATCCTTCCCATTCTCCAAATTCGTTTCCAAGAACCGCAGATCGGCCAAGAGTCCCGAACAAGTCTGGTACCGATCTTCCGCCGTTTTCGCCATGAGTTTCAGAATGACCTGACCCAACGAGACCGGCAGCGAAGGATTGATTTCCCAAGGATTCCGCGGCGTCCGTGCGATGTGGGCATGAATTAAATCCAACGGATCACTCGACAAAAACGGTACCGTCCCCGTAACCAACTCATAAAACGTCACTCCCAACGAATAGAAATCACTCCGATAATCCACGCTGCGGTTAATCCGTCCAGAACACTCGGGTGACATATACGGCAGGAAACAGTTCCCGAGCACGTTCGACTTGTACCCCGCTTCCTCCCTCGTCAGTCGTGAGGAGTACGAAAAGTCCGCCAGTGTCGCATTTGTCCGCGTAGCCCCGTCAATATTCAGCGCCTGCGGGTTGATATTGTTATGCCAAATCTCCCGATCATGGACATGCTTCAGCACCCCCACAACACTAATCGCAAACTTCAGGAACCGTGCCACATCCAACCCCCCATCTCCCTCACTCACTGCAATCGCCCTCATTCCCTCGAAATCCATGCTAACGGGGAACTCATCCCGGGATAGACATTCCCCGCGATCAGGGTAGACGAGACAAAGTCCCTGTCCTGCATCGCCCTCGTACGCGCTTTCGCCGCATACCTCGATTGCGATGGGCCGCATAACCCCGCTGATCCCACTGAGTGCCTGAACCATCTTCCACTCGTGCTTGATCCGATTCATACCTTCGCTTCCATACCCATTATGACCACCAACACTATCCGGACAGACTTTCAAGAATACCGGGCCATACGTCGGATGCGTCGCCCGCACAATCAACAACCGATTCTCGATATAACGTAATGAATGATTCGTGTACGTCCGTAATATCCGTTGTAGCGAAGTCGGTGATGAGTATTGTTCATACAGCGCCGTATCCTCCGCCGAAGAAAAGGAAGAGATGTGTCCGGGGCCGTGGTGGTCGTGGTCGTGGGGTGATGAAGGTTCGTCACCGTGTGAGTGATCACTGCGTCGTGATTCGTCAAAACGGACGGTATGGGTATTTGTGTTATTGGAGTTCGCGATCATGTTGTTCGGGCTCATCTTGACCGATCCCGTTCCTTCCGGAGAATGTAGGTCGACGTCGCGCGCGCTCCTCGAGCACTCGATGGAGCTGACTGATGCGCGACCTGGTCAAACGGCTGCTTGGAGTTTGGAGCTGAGGACTGATCTTCTGATGGTCTGCTCGTCGCCGGCGTGAGTGAGCGTCCCCGTACCTGACTTGCCTGCCTGCCATTGCGTCACCAAATCTACTGCAATGGGACAGGCCATCTACTGCACTTCCTGGTGCAACTTGATAAAATTCATAAAGTTCGATAGGCCATACCATGTCCAGACATGCCTAAAAGTTCAAACCAAAACATTCACCGATCAAGAGCCCCTATCCGAATGTTAGAAAGCTGAGCTTCTCCTAACCTACAATCTCATATCCTCAGCGCCTTTACTTTCTCGTCACCGTCTTCGTACAAGTCGACGTCGTAATATACGTTGTCTTCTTCGTCACTGTAGCCGTAGCGATCGAATGAATGGTGGTGGGTGTGTACACCGTGAACGTCTTCGTGCGCGTCTTAGTCGCCGTCACGATTGAGGGCGTGGCGGCTGCAGTGCACTTGCTAATGGCAGAGGTCTTCACGACGGTAACAGTGCTGGTGACGGTAGTGGGCTTACCAGGCTTAATGACCTTGGTAATCGTGGTGGGCTTGACAGTGGTTGTAACCTTGGTGATGGTAGTGGGCTTGGTGGTCGTAGTGGTGACAATCTTCGTAACCGTCGTCGGGACTGTCTTGCTCACTGTCGAGGTCTTGGTGACTGTGGAGAGGGACGTCTTGCTGATGGTAGCAGTAGACGTCTTTATGACTGTCGTGGGCGTAGAGATAACCTTGGTCCAGGTCTTAGCCGCCACCACGCTCGTCTTCGTTACAGTGCTTGTCTTCGTCTTCGTCTGAGTAGAGATGACTGTCGAAGCGGGCTCAGTAATGCTGGTGACAACCACGGAAGTCTTGGTCTGTGTCTCGGTGATAGTGGTAGGGCCAACAGTCATCGTGGACGCCGGAACGGTAATACTCGAAGTAACAGTGCATGTTTCTTTCACCGTAATGACCTCACCCGCTCCCGGGATTGTCAAAGTTGCGGTCAAGGTAGAAGTACAGGTGGAGATGACGCTCGAGGTGACCGTAGAACCGGGGCCGGGGACAGTGACAGTTGTAACATCACCCGGAGCAGACAACGTTGAAACCGCCGAAATCGTAGCAGTAACCGTCGAAGGCGTGACATCACCTGGAACCGTGATCGTCAGACTCTTGGTGACCGTGCAGGTCGAGGTCGAGGTGGAAGTGACCGTAGCACCGGGGCCGGGGATAGTTACGGTAATAACATCACCGGGAAGAGACATGGTTGAAACAGCCGAGACAGTAGCAGTAACCGTCGAAGCGGTGACAGACGATGTCACGGTCCTAACAGACGTTACAACGGTGGTGACAGTTGAAGGATCAACTGTCGCCGTCAAAGTCTCCGTGTTCCAGCACGTAGACGTGGTCGTACTCGTAACTGCAGACGCCGGCTCAGTAGCGGTGACAGTACTGATACTACCTCCACCCGGCAAAGTCATGGTTGCGGTGGAGGTTCAGGTTGAAGTAGACCACTTCGTATGATGCGACGTAATCGTCTGCGTGCAGGTCGACACACTGGAAGAGGTCACAGTCGAAAGAGTAAGCGTAGACGTACAGGTAACAGTGGTAACCGGAGCCGCGCTAGTCATAGATACCGTGGACGTGACAGTGCAGGGAGTGATCGTCGCGGTCTCAGTCTGGGTGCACGTCGAAACACTGGTAAGGGTAATAGTCGGAGGAGTAGGCGTACTGATCGAGACCGTCGACGTAGTCACCGAGCCCGGCAAGGTCTTCGTATTCCAGCACGTACTGACACTTGTTTTAGTAGCCGTGACCGTAGATACCGGGACCGTCGATGTACAAATGGAAGTGGAGGTAGACCACATGGTGTGATGCTCGGTGCTTGTGCTCGTGCAGGTCGAGACACTGAGAATGGTTCTGACAGAGGTAGCAGTCATCCATTTGGTCAACACATTGTCGACGCCATTTTTATCGACACCATTATCGTTCTTACCGTTACCGGAACCCAAAACAAAGGCATCCGGCGCCGGGTTGGGGTTGGGGTTGGGTGCGGCGAGTGCGAAGGAGAAAGTTGAGGCGAGAAGGAGGAGGAGGTGGAGAATCGGAAGCATTGTGTAGAAGTTGGAGATTTAGCGAAAGTATTGATGGATGAATGATGAGAGCGCAAGGAATCTGGCTTTATAGAAGAGAGATCACTCTTAAAGACAACCACGTCTCCATTTTCAACAACGCCGTAGGAGTGCTGGAAAAGAGTGCTCGATCCACTTTCGCAGGTGCTCGAACCATTGTCGCGGACCTTTAAATGCACATAGAGTGCTTCCCAACAGCTTTTGTCGTAACGAGGAGTCCTGTGATCGGCGCACGGCCTTACGCGGAGCTTGTGACCCCAGTACAGACGTCCGTGATCTGGGTGTAATCTATCCACCACTTATAAGCATGAGCACGAGACCATCTCTCCGCAGTCTGCGAGGGACCTGTTCGCGTAGAATAATCTATCCACGACCCCATAAACCACGCTCGAGCCAACCTGACGATAGATCCTCTTTATTTTCCGCCATCCCGACACAACAGTCAACCAGATAGCGTCACAGCGCGGTTCCGACAACAGGCATACAGCACGCGTACTCGTTCAGGGCCTGTTTCGAAGTTTTCTAGAAGAGATCCTCCCGAGGAATTGGGACAGAGTTAGAGGGTGGTTTGGGCATGGGTGTGTCTCACGCTCAGACCAGTGTCGTGGAGTTACGGCGCTACGCATGAACCCGTGCGTACTCTATTTGGCCGTTACTGCTATGTGCAAAATTCTTGACGGCGCGCGTTTTACCGCCTATCTGTGCGGGGATGGTTTACTGACCACGCCCATCTTTATAGACAAGGCTTGGGAGGGCAGTTTCAGGGGAGAAATCGATAGATCAGACGCTTAGGGATCGATTGATATCCTCGAAACAGGTATGGCACCATTTCTCATACAACTATGACATTGTGAAGAGTTTCGGCGTAGGTGCATGATGTTGCAAGAACATGCATGAAAGCATCGAAAATACTCTCTGAACCCACAAGCCTCAGAAACAGTTAGAAACAGAAAAGCCACACACAGAATATGTTCAGCCAAGCTCCTTCTATCATATGACACCTGGAGCCGCATCCTTAGTGGCTTCCAGGGTGCGTTTATCTCTTATAACTGAGAACACCTTTTCAGCATGAAGTGACTGAGCGAGGCCTTGTGGCCCAAAACCGGTGGCACGACGTGATTGCTAAGGATAGGTATGATCAGTCGGAACCCTTACTCGACCTCCGAGCCCTTTATCTATGTTGTTTTAGGGGTTTTTGTCATATGGAGTTTGCGATTTGCGCGCACATGGGAAAGTTATGTCAGGAATTTTGCACACAACAGTACAACCAGTCCCTCCACCAACCAAATGACCATAAGTCACAACCACGACTGGTTTGACAAGATCAAGATACTGAGCAGTAAACCCTCGACATTGTTCAAACCTTTCCTTCTTTGGCCAAAGAAAAAGATCATAATAAGGAACAAGATGCTGTGCCATAGCAAATTGTTGTTCCTTTCTCCAATCCCTTCCCATGCCGGCATCCTCCATAATGATTCCTGTGCAAGACGCCCAGTGCAGGAGTGGCCAGAAAAGAAAGCCCGAGATAGTCTGAATCCTTCTTCTGTCAGGTTTGTGCCCAAAAGGAGATAGAACTGCCGGATAACCAAACTTCAATGGAGGTGTAGCTTGTTCAATCATCATATCCACTACCTTCTTATTCCATGACAGTGACCCAAGGGTGGTCTGCTTGTGGGCTTTGGCAAATTCACCCATAGACCCGAAGTGTTGGTTGAGTTGAACAGTCAGACTGTCACTGGTGAGTGAAAGATCCGAACGAGGGCTGCGAGAGAAGAATTTGATGTTCTGCTTGGCATGCAGTTGAAGGTCTTCCCATCTGCCAATTGGCCACAGTAAAAGCCTCCACGTTGCCTGTTGAGGAGATATTGGTGTCCAAATAAGGCCACAAGCCCTCTCTCCCTATCATCAACATGCACGACATCAGTATCAAACTCAAGTCCTGCATTTGAGAACTCATAAAGAGTTGCTCTGATCTTTGACATTGGTGCAGTACCCCAGACTTCCTCCATTTCATATCCTCAACTTGTCTTGTCCAGGCAGTCTCGTCCTTCCCACCCTTCCCAATATAGCGTAGCCAAACATCCCTCTCAGATGTAAGATGCGGCCTCAATTCAAGGTAATTCCTCCAAATAATGGACTCTGCAAACTTCTGCCCTGCAATATCCCAAGCATCCAACATAACCCTTAGTGTACCCACAGTCATCCTGAATGATCGAACATAAAAGAAGTGATGGGTTGACTCAACAGCCAAAGTACTTGCATCAACTGTCTCAAGAGTGAACATGTTTTGCATCCCATGGTCTGTCAACCCCAAGGGACTCTTCAGCAGTTTCTCATACAGGGGTACCTTTGGGGACTGGAGCGCAAAATTGAAAGCGGTCTTTGAGAACCCAGGAGTTGCAACATCCTCAAAGTTAAATCTGTCTTGGACAATATCAAAGACGTCTTGAATTATGCCAGAGGGATCGGTGATGAAGCGGGACACTTGTATTGCTGGAGTGAATCTGAAGGCCCACTCACGCAGCGCTTGACACCGGTCGATGGCATGTTTGTACGTCGAGGGAGTAGTCGAGGGAATATGGGTACGCCGTTGGGTAGTCGAGGGAGCGCCGCATCAAAAGTTAATATTTAATCCAAGAGAAAAACGCCAAGTTAATTAGGCACATGTAACGTTGACTATCAAATTCGGAAGACGACGTACGTCGAGAGTTCAAGGTAGCAACACCAACCAGCGCTTCCTGGTCTTCATGATCATCAGAACCACAGCTTTCATTATCCGGGGTTTAAACAGAACCACTCTCGTCTCTGCAGGACTTCGCTTAGCTGCGGGGTTGCACACCGATATTCAACGAACAAACAAATACCCAGGTGCTCTCGGCTCCTCAAACGGATATCCAGGTCCCCCCATCACCGACGACTACCCAAACCGAATGGTATCCTTTTCCGGCGAACCACCCAAAATTGCCACAAGCTCAATTACGCTTACTGAAGATGAAGAACGTCTTCGGAGCTTACTTGTGCGCACCGCGGATTATCTAACCAAACGCAATCCTGAATCAGAGCCTGTCATCATCCGATTCGCCGGAGGCTGGGTCCGTGACAAGCTTTTAGGCCACGGTAGCAACGACATTGACGTCGCTGTCAATTCTCTATCCGGCTTCGATTTCGCCAGTAATGTCCAGCGGAACCTCAATAGCAGGCCCAACAGCCCAAACAGCAGGCCTCCCAGCCCAACGGGGCGGCCCATTAAATCTATTCACAAAATCAAGGCCAATCCCGCACTATCAAAACATCTCGAAACTGCCACCACGACAATCTATGGTTTGGAATTGGATTTTGTAAATCTGAGAAGTGAGGAGTATACGAATAACTCAAGGATTCCGACCGTTAAGTTCGGAACGCCGGAGGAGGATGCGTTGAGAAGAGATTGCACTATCAACACCCTCTTTTACAACCTACATACGAAACAAGTCGAGGACTACACCCACCGTGGTCTCGATGATCTCAGATCAAAGGTTATTCGCACCCCGTTGGCGCCGTTTGAGACCTTCTGTGACGACCCACTCCGCGTGCTCCGTTGTATCCGCTTCGCCTCGCGACTTGGCTTCGAAATCCACATGGACGCGAAGCAGGCCATGATGGAGCCCTTGATTAAGGAGGCCCTGAAAGTCAAGATCTCGAGGGAACGCATCGGTGTCGAAGTTGACAAGATGCTTAAGGGACCCGATCCGTACGGCGCACTCGAACTCATCCATTCTGTCGGTCTATACGACTCAGTCTTCTCTTCCCCCGTCGTTGAACGTCATCATCCCTCCGAAACGGTGTTGAGAGCAGCTCAGACATTGTCGGTGCTCACGAACCACCTTCCAAGTGTCCTTGTTCCCTCGAATACCCAGGAAAAGCGCAAGGCGTACTTGCTGTGCAGTCTCTACCCTTACGAATCCCGCTTCATCGCGGAGAAAAGTAAGAGCAAGCCAGTCCAAGCGGCGTCCATCGTCATCCGTGATGCCCTCAAATTTCCCAACTCAGACGCCGATGACGTTGGGCATGTCTTTGCTTGTCTCGAGAAAGTCGGGGTGGAGATTGAGGCGCTGGAAAACGCAGGCAGGGATCGTGTTAGGACTGGTTTATTCGTGAAGGAGCTGGGGCCGCAATGGCCGACGATCCTGAGAACTTGGTTGATTCATCAGATCATCTCCACCACCCCTGTAGTAAGCCCCTCGATGCACAGACTCCAGTCCATCATTACCAAAACCCCAGCGCTTGGGGAGGCTGTGCGCGCCTTAGTGTCGTCAACTCGCTCCCTCGTCGCAGCCATCGAAGAGGATAACCTGTCGTCTGTGCATTCGCTCAAACCCATCGTGAATGGCAAGGAGATCGCTAATGCACTTGGGATTAAGCCGGGACCGGGGATGAGGGTGTTGACAGATAACGTTTTCAAGTGGCAATTGGCGAATCCGGAGGGCAAGGGGGAGGAATGTTTGGAGTGGTTGAAGGAAAATCAGGAAGAGCATAGCGTACCAGTACGCAGATAAAATGTTGGCGTTGGATATCCAGGTTCTGCAAACATTCGTGAAACATGTTCATTCGTTTCGCTCTATATGACCGTACCACTTCGTATGGCAATCCGTATCTTGGGTATCATGCACTCACAACTCATGAGCTACGCTCATACTTCAACTTTCTCTCCATCCACAACCGCCTCCTGCACCGCCATCTTCTCCATCTTCTCCTCCAGTTCATCTCCTACACTGGTACCCTTCTGCTCTCCAGTGCTAGTCCGCTCGATTAACTTCCGAATATGAAAACTGATCTCATCCCACGCGTTCCCCTCAAACTGCCTCCCAGCCCTCTTTGCACACCGCCTCGCAACTTCTGCAACCTTCTTTCCCTCCTCAACTCCCAACCATGCCTCAGCGGCAAGCACGGCCCACATCGCTGCTTTCCGTCTTCGGCTACCGAACGGCAGGCTAGATGATGGAGACAGATTCTTGTTGAAGTAGATATTTGCCACGCGGTCGACCATGAGTGCGTGTGCGTAAGGTGGAAGGAGTGGTGGTTGTAGTGAGAGGAGTTTGATAGTCCATAATGCCGCTGCGTCTTGGCTGCTTCCCGGCCTGACCCTCAATAGCTCGATGACACTAAGTAACAATCTCAGCGCAGCATATGGACTATTCGACCGAGTCAAGTAGGAATATAGCGCGGAGTCCACAGCCGGATCCAAAATCTCCTGCCGTGTTCGTGCACTGAGAGGTTGGAGCATCATCAAATGCGTAATGGCGTACATCTCCTGTGCACCTGCTTGCTGTCCGAACGCTTTCTCACTACTGAACTCCTTCCGTAGCATTTCGTATGTCGAATTCGCCAGTTTCCAGTCACGCAGCATGAATGCCCAGTCAGCCATTTTGCGCATTTGAGCTTCCGGGGAGGTGGGTGGGTATGAGCCTGTTGACGGGTCGTATGAGGTATGAGAAGGGGAGGAGGTGCGCGTGGAGGGCGCGGAGCCGAAGTAGCGCCGAGAGAGGGAAGACAGACGACCAGTCAGGCCACGGCGTGGTCCGACAATTGTCTGATCCCATGTCTGAATCTGCCGTTCCATGAAGGGCACAAGTGCTTCCGTCGTGAGATGCCGTACGAATGCCTTAAGAGCATCGGCATCCGGGATGGAGAGGTAGCGTTCTTCGTCCTTTGGTTTGTCCAAGTGGTCCAACGAGGCCTGGGCTGGCATCCAGAGTGACTGCGGAACAGGAAGTACGTCGTCGTCAGAACCGTACATCATCCGTGAATTGATGCGAACCATCCAGCAATTGAGCCCAAACTGCCGCTTTATGCGCTCGAACACCTTAATGCTTTCCTCCAAGTCGTCCTTGTCCTCATCGTGCACCAGCAGGTAGTACCGCAGGTAACCTCTATCCACCCATACCGGCATCGGTGTTTGTGCGCATCGAGTGTACAACCCCGTAAACCCCGATATTGGATCCGGATGCCGCGATGACACAGCAAGTACACAAGCGACTGGATGTGCAAATGTTTCGTGGGTAGCGACGGGTAACGAAGAAAACACCCGACGGAGAAAATGTGGGTATATTTGGACGGCAGTCCCCCCATCGTCGCGTTCAGTCACGGAAGGTGCCGTAGAAGACGATATCGACGAGGTTTCTGAAAGTCCAAGTTGTGTCTGTGCGAGGTGATCTCCATATTCCCTCACGTGTCTCTCCAACAACCTCTCAATCGCATCCAGCTGAGCTCCAGGAGCTGCCGATCGCGGTCCACCCGCTTGCAACGGACTCCGACTCGATCCCAACGTCGTAAACCTCACCCCAAAATCCTCATATCCACTAGCCTGTCCACTCGAATCCCTAATCCCAACCTTCCCTTGCACCTGATCCCCAAACACCCTCACCAAATCTAACAGATCCTCCCATCCTTTCTCCCTCGCTATCTCATCCGCATCCGAACTAGCCAGAAACGCAACATGCGGCACAAATGCCTGAGCGATAAAAGACCGAGAATCAGATAGTGGTTGTGAGGGGTCGGTGGAGATGGAGGTATTCCCGGCGAAGAGGGAGGTGAGGGAGACTTGGCTGGATGTGGAGGGACGGGAGTGGAGAGGTGGAGAGCGGGTACCGAATGCGAAGCGGGATGTTTTCGGTGATGATACTGACATACTCAGATCTTCTTCTAGTAGTGAAGCCCGTCTGCAATTGGTGTTCGACGTTTCAGCGGCGTTGCCGAGACTCACTGCGGTCGGTGTCGTTCTTGCCGAATTGGAACTGTCTTCGTTACACTGCAGCCTACGCCCGCCGGCCGCGGAGGCCTGAGAAAAAGTGACAAACGGGCGACGTTTTCTTTCAATTCACAAATCTCAATTGACAGGAGACAAACGATGAGTTTTTATGGTAAATTCTATAAACCATCAACATGCAGGACGCCATAACTCCCAAAAGCGCAGAATGCATATGCTCTACGTACACCATATCGATATCGATCGCGAGCTCGTGCTCATCATCTATGCCGACCGAGTACCAACTAGATAGCAACACCTTAAAACCTCACGCCCTCCCCCTGCCCTTATTCCCGCGCGAGTGCGTCTCGCCGGGTAACTCCTCAAATGTAGCCTTCCTCCGCTCGCTTTCCCTATCGTATCCTCGAGCCGTAGCCGGCGCCGGCGCCGGCGCCCGAGGACCAGCCCTCCGCAAAGCCTGCACCAAATGCTCCGCCGCAGACACCTGCGGCGCAGAGACAGTCAACTTCTTTGCCCAATTTCCCCTCTTAAGGATCGGGCGCAACGGGGTGTTGCGTGGCATTCCATGACTTTCGTGCCTATCGCCAAAGAAGCCTGGGTCCTCCATGTCGTCCTTGACAGAATTCTGCCCACCTCCACCCGACCGGCCATCCCGGGCCCCGAATTGCCTACTCTGCATCGCCCTCATCTCCATAGCATACCCCCACCTCTCACTCTCCCTCAACGCCCCCTCTTTCCTTTTCAGCTTCTCATACGCCAACTCCCTCAACGCCTGATCCATCGTCTCCTCACACACCGTCTTCAACATCGTCGCTTCACTAGCCGAAGTGAGTACCTTGGGGAATTTCGCGCATAGCCAGGTATACATCCCCAACACGCGATGCAGCGATTCAATCCGTTGGAGTGATTCAGTCGTGCGTGGCATTCCATCATCGAGGGCCTCGAGGTCGATTCCGCGGATGGCGAGGATAGAGCCATCCGTCTCCGTCGCGATTTTCTGTGCCATATCGAGGAGTGCCGCAACGGAACGGGGATCAGTCAGTTTGACGGGAGCCATAGAGAGAATCCAATGTTGCTCAAACGTCAATCCCTTGACACGACTCACAACCCCCGCCGTCTCCCACAAATTCTGCCCAACAGACGGGAAATACAAAGAACTCATCTTCAACATCGAATAAAACCGTTTCATGACGACCATGTAGGGCGTCTCGACCGGGAAGAGTGCACCAAAGCGTCCCATGATTCCCGGCCCGGGCTGGAGTCCAGCTTTCGGGAGTTGTTTGACGGGGGTTTTCATGGCTGCGGCCAGGACGGGCATGTCGCGTGGGGTGAGGGTTGTGACGTATCCTGGGATCGGCTCGGTGAGTGGTTCCTCGATTACGGCGGATTCGGAGGTGCGGGTGTTGGGTTTGTAGCGGCCTGCTCTGCCTGCGATTTGCTTGATCTGCGGCGGTGTGATCTGGACTTGTTTTTGGCCGTCCCATTTCTGTAGGGTCTCGAACACGATCCTCTTGATACTCAGATTCAACCCCATTCCGATCGCGTCACTCGCCACAAGCACGTCGAACCCCGAATCAGGATCGTTGAAGAGAGATGCCTGTGCTGCTCGTGTCTCGGGGGGTAAGGAGCCGTAAATCACCGCACACCGTTTCCCCGTCATCTCCTCGATCTTCCTCTTAATCGCAAAGATATTCTTCCGGGAAAAAGTAACGACGCAATCCCCATTCTCAATCTTGCTCAAATCACCCTCCAAGCTCTTTTCCTGTACCTCCAACGCACCCAACCTCTGATATCTCTTGACCTCGACCGTATCGCCCACACTCTCCGCCAAACGTGTCACTAAATCGACGACACTCTCCTCACCACACAAATGAATTTCCTTTGCGCGTACACCGAGTAACGCATTCGTCCAACCCCCTCCTCGCTCAACATCCCCAATCATCTGAATCTCATCGAAAACGGCGACATCATAAGGATGATCCAAATCCGTCATCTCAATCGTACTACTAACGATCCCGGCACCCTCGACCTCACGTTTCTCATCCCCCGTGATAAGATTACACGGGACCCCCATCTTATTCATCCTTTCCCAAATTTCCAACGCCAACAGTCTCAGGGGACCCGCGAACAATCCGCGTTCGGCGGACGCGAGACGGTTTAGTGCGGAGTGGGTTTTACCGGAGTTTGTGGGACCTACGTGGAGGGTGATGTGACGGGACATTTCGCGGGCGGCGGGGTACCACTCCCCTGGGTATCGTGCATCGGCGACAGAATGTTGGAGAGCGAGGTCCGATTTGGGCGTTGCGTGTGCGATTGCGTATGTCTCGAACGACTCCGTCAAGAGTGTTGCAAGCGCCGCACTGCCCCTCTCAACATACGTCTTCCGTAGCTCGAACAGATCGGGAACTTCAGCCGCGCCTCGAGCGAATTTGTCGTTTTTCGGGGGGCTGTTGTATTGCTGCTCCGGGCCCGACAAGAGCGCTTCCCGGAAAGCTGACCAAGCGAGGTTGTATTCTTTTTCGCCGATGCGTTGTTTCGAGAGTTTCGAGCGCGAGCTGTAGATGGGGTTTGAGATTATCCGATCGAGTCTTCGTTCTAGGATGAGGCGGAATTGGTGGTAGGGGACGTCTTCGGCGCCGAATGGAGTGGATTTGAAGTGGGGTTGTTGGAGTTGGGAGGCGTTGTTTTGTGGGTTTCGCCGGGGAACGCCGTGGAAGAAGTTTGGGATGCGGATGTCACGACTTATCGATTGTTCTCTTCGACGAGGAGGAGGAGGAGGAGGGTCGGCGGTGCGCTTCGCTGGAGCAAGTCTGTCGCGGAGGCATATTGATGTCGAGGCGAATGTCCGTGTAGATCTTGATGGACATGAGCAAGTCGTTCGCAGGGATAACCGTTGCGAATGGATCATTATGGTTGAAGTGGCGATTCCCTGTTATTTGCCGTTTCTGGATTATTATTGTGTAGACTTTATCGAGTATGCACACATCCTGCAATCTGCTGCAAGTGCCCTTGTATACGTACGGTACCGGTACACTCCACCAAACCAGCATTCAACCATGGATAACCAACAAAAGGAAAAGATCAAACGTGCCCGCAAGGTCGGCCTCTTCAACAAAGACTGTACGTCTCTCCCTACTTTTTCCGCTCCATCATCTCGGTTGTTGATTCGGGAATAAAAACAGTAAAGAACCTCATGTACGCCTTCGGCGACGACCAAAACCCCTCCTTCGACTCCGTCAACGTACTCGAAGACATCCTCGTTGACTATATTTCCGAAATGGTACGTGCCCCTCCCTGTCCCTCGTTGGGCTCGCTAACCCTCGCTCGCCCACAGTGCCACGAAGCCTCCCGTATCGCAGGCCCCACGCGCAGTAAAGTCAAAATGGAAGATTTCAAGTATGCACTACGGAATGACTCCAAGAAATTAGGCAGGGTGGAGCAGTTGTTGGCGATGAATAAGGAGATTGCGGAGGCAAGGAAGATGTTTGATGATGAGCCTGGGGCTGCGAAGAAGTGAGGCTGGAATGAAGTGAGTGCCGAATGTTGATGGATTGGCAGGATAGGTAGAGTGGGTTTGGCGTTTCAAGGCGTTTTCTGTTTTTTTTTATCAATATATGCCATTTGAGTCTGCTACAACCACCCCGGCCCCCCTCCCTCAACCCTAACCCCCCCAACATCAAACCCCTCAATCCACAACTCATTAACAACCCTCCACCTACCGCCCGCAAACTTGCAATACTCCTCACTAACACTCGCCAAATTCCACCGCTGCAGACGCCGCAAACATCCAATCACGGTTCCGATACGGTGGCGGCCAGTTTGGTCCATGAGGAGGACACCGTGGTTTTGTGCGCAGATCTCGAGAATGAGTTCCAACACCCGCTTCACACTCTCAGCACCAGCCCAGCCTTCCTCACTGTCGCCCTCCCCCACGACCGGTAAGCACACCAAGCTCACGCCCCGATCCCTCGCCCATGTTTTTGTCACGGTCGATGGATCCTCGATGGCGAGCCAGATGATTGTGTGGAGGGGGAGGGTGTCGAGGAAGGGGAGGTTTATGCGGGAGGGCTGGGCGGAGCGGTAGAGGTTTGCTTCGACGTGAGCGAAGACTGGGGGGGGGATCAGGCGGGTGAAGGGCGCTGGGGGTTGTGATGTCATTGTTCTACGTACGAGAGGAAAGAGGCCCTTCGTGAGTCTCCTCCTATCTTTTCTTTTGAGGACGAGAGGAAAGAGGGTTGATGGAGGCACCCCTGACTACTGCTCCGCCAAATTCCTCGACACCGTGTCTACGTTACACCCCGCCTCTCCTCTCCTCTCCGCTCCCCTCCCCTCCCATGCCATGCCAAACACAACAGGCTACATCGCTATCGGCCTCGAAGGTTCCGCAAACAAACTCGGCGTCGGCATAATCTGCCACCCCTTCCCCCCAAACTCCCCCGCCCTCGTCCTCTCAAACCTCAGACACACCTACATCACACCCCCCGGCTCCGGCTTCTTACCCCGTGATACCGCAAAACACCATAAAGCCTGGGTCGTGAGGTTGGTGCGACAAGCGTTGAAGGAGAGTGGTGTCAAGGTTCGGGAGGTTGATTGTATCTGTTTTACCCGGGGTCCGGGGATGGGTGCGCCCCTACAGTCTGTCGCATTAGCTGCGCGGACTTTGAGTCTCTTGTGGGATAAACCATTGGTCGGTGTGAACCACTGCATCGGACACATCGAAATGGGCCGCGAAATAACCGGCGCACAAAACCCCGTCGTACTCTACGTCTCTGGCGGAAACACCCAAGTGATCGCATACTCTGCACAACGGTATCGCATTTTCGGGGAGACGCTCGATATTGCTGTTGGGAATTGTTTGGATCGGTTTGCGAGGTGTATTGGGGTTAGCAATGATCCGAGTCCGGGGTGGAATATTGAGCAGATGGCGAAGAAAGTCGAGGGTGGGGGGAGGTTGGTGGAGTTGCCGTATACGGTGAAGGGGATGGATTTGAGTATGAGTGGGGTGTTGAGCACGATCGAAGTCTTGGCCCAATCCATCGGCAAACCACTCAAACCCTCCAAATCTACCCCCCTCACCCCCGACGACAACAACGACCCCCTCACCCCCGAAGACCTCTGCTTCTCCCTCCAAGAAACCCTCTTCGCAATGCTCACAGAAATAACCGAACGCGCACTCTCTCACACATCGTCAACCTCAATCCTCATCGTCGGCGGTGTCGGCTGTAACTTGCGGCTACAAGAGATGATGAGCGATATGGCAAGAGCGAGGGGTGCGGAGGTGTTTGCGACGGATGAGAGGTTTTGTATCGATAATGGGATCATGATTGCGCAGGCTGGGTTGTTGGAGTGGAGGGGGTGGGGTGCGGGTGGGGAGGGAGGAAGAGGGGGGGTTGAGGGGAGTGGGGTTACGCAGAGGTTTAGGACGGATGAGGTGTTGGTCAAGTGGAGGGATTGAAAAGTCTTGTCGATGAGAAGATGTTGGAGTGTGCATTTGTGAGCCACACCGGCACCGCATACCCCGGGACCGTGAAGAATAGAAGCATCGATAATTGAATACAAGTTATATTGGTGTTCGTTCAGCAGCTGATGCGCGCGCCGCTCCAATGCACCCCAGCTCTCCTCCGATCTCCTCGTCTCGAGCTCCAGGTGCAGGATGCGCCGCTATCCAAACCCTTCACCACACAGTCCCATTTTCACGGCCCCTCCTATTCTCTGTCGTACTCTTTATCATATCGTTTATCCTTCATCATGTTGTTCTCCACCCTCGCTCCTCTTGCTCTGAGCTTCGTTGCTTTCTACGGGGTACTACGCTTGATCTTGTTGATTGACTGTTACCGCATATACTCACTTGTGAGTGGTACAGGTCGTCGTCTCAGGTGCTCCTCCGCCTACCACAGTCGTTGCTATGGGTTCCGCCGGTGTCACGCAAGTCATGGTACGCTGATTCGAAAGGATTGCACGGCTTGCATAATGCTTATCCTTTTCCTGCCGTACAGCCCACGGAGACCCCAACTTCAGCTCAGGGCTCGAACAAGAACTTTGGTTCCTTCATTGAGGGCGTCGTTAATGGTGTCGTCAGTCTTGCCGAAGGCAAAGCTGTTGCTGTATACCGCCCCTTCCCCTATCTACCCCGGATGTATGCTGACAATTGAGATTAGCAGGGGTCTACAATTGCGGCGTCCGCTATTCCGGTTGTTACTGAGAGGAAGGATTTGTGTTCGACATGTCACTCGCTCAATCGTCCGAATAGGGTTGCTACGGGGCACGTCTCGACTGTTGAGGCTGCTTCTCCTACTGCGTAGACCGTGACTGTGGATGTCTGCGAACGTGGAGGTTGGAAAGGTGTCCTTTTTTGTATGAATGCTATGTGAATAGAATGCAATGATTTTCACCTTCGTTTAGTCCCTCGCTGCCATTCGCCAAACACAAACATAAATACCCGAAAAACACCAACAGCGCCGGCTTGTAAATGCTTGACCTAAAACAAACCCCATCTGACTCAAGCCCTATCCAACAGCAGATGTCCATCATACTTGATCATCATTCGGTCCCCTGAATTCTTGGATCTCCATGGCTTCGCGCGAGTCGACATTATCTTCACCTTCGGAATTATCGTCAATGTCGTCGTCGGAGCTGTCATCGACGACGCTGTTCACGATACTCTCGACGATACTCTCCACGTCATCATCCACATCTGGATCCTCCTTAACATCCTCAGCATCGGCAATCTTCACAACCTTCTCACCCCCACCCTCCTCCGCCTTAGTCTCTGCATCCTCCTCCTCCCTCTTCCGCTTCTTCCCCGCCCCCCTCGCCTTCGCAATGAGATCCTTGAAATCATCCTCATGCCTCCTCCCCCACCCCTCCAAATCCACCTCCCTCCCCTTCCCCTTCCCCTTCCCGACAATGCCGTCCAACCCCCTCACCTCTCCAGCAGCCATGGTGCGTTCCCACTCCCCCAACTCTCGTAGTAGTTCGCGTTTTGGTTTAGGGTGTAACGCGTCCAAATTCGCGTTCCATAACGAGACCCATTCTGCATGTCGACGTTGGAGAAGGGGTTTTGGGCCGTGGGTTGGGATGGATAGGGTTGAGAGGTGAGTGCGGAGTTTGGATTCGGTGTGCAGGGCGTAGTTTAGTTTCGGGAGGCGTTTCATGTCTGTGGGTGCCATACTTGTGCCGTTCGTGCGATTTCGAGTCATCCGGCCTTCGTCGACGCGTGGTGAGGGCTGGGGTTGAGGTGGAGGTGGTGCGGGTGATGACCGACGACGAGGCGGAGGAGGAGGCGATGTGCGGCCACTTAGACATCGATCGAGATGTGCGTTCATTTCTGCTTCTTTTTTTGGTCGGGAGCAGACTGGACAGGGGACTAAACTGGGGTCCGACGTTGGTGGTTCTGGTTGTGGTTGTGGGGCTGCGGCGCGACGGGGTTGGCGGCGGGAGGGAGGGGGTGGGGAGGATGAGAGGTCGTAGATGTCGTTTGGGGTTGGTGGGGGGATGGTGGTGGAGTGTGGTGGTGTCCGATCTTTCCGTGCGAGATCCAGCAATTCTTGCCTACGCGCCCCAACATTCAGCACCATAAGCACCTACAGACCTCATTACACTCACCTCTCTTTTCCCCAAACCTCCACAATCTCGGCAACAACCACATTCCTCCTCAACCGCATCTCCTGCTCCGGACTCCTACACGTCGGGCATATCTGTTCGCTCGCGAGACATCTTCGGATACACAAAGAACAAAAGGTGTGCGAGCATGTTGTTATTAGGGGGGCTGTGAAGAAGTCTTTGCAGATTTGGCAGCGGAGGGAGGAGTCGAGGGAGGAGAGGGCGGGGAGGAGGGTTGGGGTCCAGTCTGAAGGGTCGGTGATGTCGACCATGGTGGTGGGATAGCAGTGGAGGATGGTAGGGGGATGGGTTGATGGTGGTGAGGGAGCTGAACGGGGTTGGACTCGGTGGTGGAGTGCTCGTAATTACTTTGCAGCTCGACGACGCGTTTGGGCGCGCTCGCAACCGCCATGGAGTTATTAGTTAACTCCGGTTCAGTTAAATGGAATGCGCAAAAAGCAGGTAGGTCACTCCATAGAACCTTATCAAGCATTTAAAGGCTTACCCATGGTGTTCAGTACGGCCTTCAGGCAACCATTGTTTGTGATGATCAGCGTTTTGTAAGACACTGTAATTGCTCTCTACCTGGTTCCCAGCATGATTCAACTGTCCACAAGGATTTACCGCTGCACCTAGACCCAGACGCGTACTTGGGTCCCACCCAATACCTGCCTGAATTCAGCATACAGCAATACTATGTCGGTTGTCACTCCCTTCAAGCAGGATCAGCGAGATTCCCGTTCCTCCCACGGCTTCCCCCAGCAATGCAATCTTACGCACCCCCATGCAGGGGCTCACATGCCGTATACACCGCGGCCGTGCGCTCCTCGCAACACCCAAACTCACCACCAATTCGACAACCCATATACCCCTTTCAACGTTCATTACCAACGCCTATCTGACAAGAAGGCCACAATGGACGTGGACGATACCCCGGGCTCCCCGGACCCGTCCATCGCCGCGGCAGCTGGTGATGGAACTACGAACGAGACGAGCCTCATTGACCTCGTCGATACCTCCGTCTTCATCGACTACCTGAAACAGTTGTGTCTGGTCACGTTGGGTGCGACCGAGTTCGATTTAGAGACCACTTTGCTGAGGAATACGGATACGGAGACGCGGTGTGCGAGGTTTATCGGGGATACGAGTGGTGGGAATGTAGCGTTGTATGTCGCTAAGGAGGCAGTCGAGGGAGATGGTAAGATGTTCGCGGCTTTCTCCTTTGAGATGCTGGCTTATGAATCCTACAGATACCAAGTTTACGTATGCGCTCTCCACCGACTTGTCAAGCACACCCGCGACAGTTGCCTCACTCGCCCTAATCAAACGCGCAGCCGCCGTGCTTGACGCTTCCCAGCCCTTACAGTCACAGCTCCAAATCGTCAACCTCCCCGGTCTCCGCTCCCCCTCCTCCTCCACCTCCGGCACCGGACCCACAACCGCCACCTCACCCTACGAAACCCTCCACAGCCTCATCCACCTCGCCATTGCCCCCTACTTTGACGCCTACGCCAAGGAAGGAGGAACCGAGAAACCTTCTGTTGAAGCTACAGCTGCGCCGGGGACGTCAGGAATCCCACAAACCAAAAAGAAGATTGCGGAGTTGGAACTCTCGCTCCTCCACTTGCAGCAAAACGTCCAAATCCCGGAAATCCAACTCGCGATTCACCCTACCATCGTTGCCGCCACCGCCGCTGCAAAGAATAAAGGTGTTGGGAGTGGCACGAAAGCTTCGGTGGGGGATTTGGATCCGGTGTTGGTGCAGGATCCGACGTTTTTGAATGGATTGCAGGGGAGTGTGGGGGGTTGGATCAAATCCATCCAAACAATCACCAAACTCGCACACAACCCCACACCCCTCACATCCCCCACCACAACCCGTCCTGCCTCCTCCGAAGTATCGTTTTGGTTATCCCTCGAAACCGCACTCACCAACATCGACGCCCAACTCCGCTCGGAGGGGGTGAGCCTCACGTTGGAGGTTCTTAGGGCTGCGAAACGGTTTCATACGACTGTAAGTTTCATTGCGGATACGGGGCTTAAGGAGGCTGGGGAGGTTGTTGCGAGGTACAATTTACTCATGCGCGAGTTTCCGCTCGACGAGTTATTGTCCGCTACATCTCTCGAGCGGGTCGGGGAGGCAGTTATCGCGGTCTTCGGGCATTTGTGTAGGAAGCTACGTGTTAGCCCCTACCCCATTCGCCGGGCGCTTCCGCTGGTGCAGGCTATTTCGGCGGATTTCGATGAGCGGATCGTGGGGTTGTTGAGAGCGAAACGGGTGATGCACTTATCGCACCCCGTATTCGAGACCCTAGCCACGCAATGGTCGAGTGTGTTTAGGATCTGGGATGAGCAGTATAAAGAATTCACCAACGTCGCGCGCGAGGTCTCGCGGAAACGCAGTGAGAAGTTTATTCCGATTAAGATTGGGGCGAGGCATGTCAAGACGCAGGAAAGACTCGAGTATGTACGCGCGTTTCGGAAGGGGCATGAACAGTTAAGGGAGACGATCGGGAGGGTTATTGCGGGTGCTGCTGGTGTTGGTGTTGGGGAGGAGGGGGATGTGGAGAGTGAGGTCGTGCATGCGTATGAGGCGCTTAGGGATGTTGACGTGCTTGACGTGAGTCCGGAGGGAACGGAAGTGTGGTTCGCGGCTGAGACGACATACACCTCCCGGATTTCGCATGTCGAGAATAGCATTATCCTCCGTCTTCGGGATCGACTCGGAACCGCACGGACCGCGAGCGAGATGTTTCGCGTGTTTTCGACGTTTAACGCGCTTTTTGTGAGGCCGAAGATTCGGGGCGCGATTGGGGAGTATCAGGCGCAGTTGATTGAGAACGTGAAGCGTGATATCCAGAAATTGCATGATAAATTCAGGATGGGGTATGGAGGCTCAGATGAACGCGCAATGGCTCAGCTTAGGGATTTACCACCTATTTCGGGAGCGATCGTGTGGGCGAGACAGATTGAGAGGCAGTTGATGGCGTACATGGGGAGAGTTGAGGATGTACTTGGAAAAGGGTGGGAATTGTATGCGGAGGGACAAAAGCTCAAAGAGGAGAGTGATACCTTTCGCAAGAAGTTGGAGACGAGGGGGGTTTATGAACAATGGCTCGCGGAGGTACAAGGCAAGAACCTCGCGCTCCGTGGACGACTTTTCGAGATCGTACGGAATCGCGCGGCGGGGGGGACGTTGGAGCTCGTTGTTCATTTCGATCCGCAGGTGATTGCGTTGTTTAAGGAGGTACGGAATCTGGTGTGGTTGGGCTTTGCGGTACCGCATGCGATTAGCCATGTTTCGAAGGATGCGAAGAGGGTTTACCCGTTTGCTGTGAGTCTTATGGAGGGGGTTAGGACGTATGGGCAGTCCACGCAAATTATTGGGGAGATGGGGGAGGTGAGGATGTTGTTGAATGGATACCAGGCTGATGTGCAAAAGTTGATTAAGGCTGGGTTGTGGATGAGGTGGGAGAGCTTTGTGCAGGCTTTCGATGCGCATTTGAGGCCGATATTGGGGGGTGGGGTCGAGGGGGGTGTGACTAGTACGAGGGAGAATAAGCATATCCAGTTCGTGCAGGATTTTGGTTCTGCCGTGTTGTTGCTGCAAACCAAGACGGATATGCTGGTTCGTGCGCATGTTGTTGTGGTGAAGGCGGTGAACGAGTTGCGAACATGCAAGTACGATGCCGAAACCTTCCAGGGTTGCTTTAAGCGCGTTCAGGGAGCGATTGATCAGCTTAATTTGGAGAATTATGTTAATCTTGAGCAGTGGGTTGAGAAGCTCAATGAGGAGATTGAGACGGTCTTGGCGGAGAGGTTGAGGGATGCGTTGGCCGTTTGGACAAAGACTTTTGTTGATGGTGTGGCCGAGGAGGATGGGACGGCGCCGGTTATGCAAAAGTTGGTCCATGAGGTTACAATCCGCAATCAGGTCATTTACCTTGATCCGCCGGTCGAGTACGCTCGCGCCAGCTGGTTCGCTCAGTTGCATAACTGGCTAGGCGTCGTGTGTAAGGTTGAGAAGATCCAGGCGTCGAGGTACGAGATGACTGCTGCCGTCAGCCAGCATAAGATCCCCGTGGTGTACGCCAATCTTCCGCTCAAGGTTGCCGAGACGCATCTCTCTGAGGCCTACAAAGCGATCGAGAAGAAACTCGGTGAGGTTTCGGCTTATGTTGACAAGTGGCTCCAGTTCCAGTCTTTGTGGGATCTGCAATCTGAGCACGTTTACGCCGTTCTCGGCGATGATCTCGGGAAGTGGCTTCAAATTCTTGGGGAAATCCGTAAATCGCGGGCTACCTTCGATACTTCTGATGTTTACCGTAGCTTTGGGCACATTACTGTTGATTACGAGCAGGTTCAGGGTAAAGTGAACGCGAAGTATGATGCTTGGCAGCGTGACATTATCCAGAAATTCGCTGCCAAATTGGGTAACCGTATGCGTGATTTCTTGGTTGAGATCTCTCAGTCTCGCAATGATCTTGAGCAGCAGTCACTTGATTCTTCGTCTACTGCTCAAGCTGTGTCCTTCATCACTGTGGTGCAGAAATGCACGAGGAAGGTCATTGTTTGGGCACCTGAAGTCGAGATGTTCCAGAAGGGTCAAACGACTTTGTCGCGTCAGCGCTTCCAGTTCCCTAATGATTGGTTGTACGTTGATCAGATTGAGGGTGAATGGTCTGCTTTGAATGAAATTTTGCGTCGCAAGACCAAGTTGGTGACTGACCAGTTGGGAGCTCTTCAGGCCAAAGTCGTAGCTGAACACAAGGTCGTTGCTCAGAAGATCTCGGAGACCGTTGCCGACTGGGAGGCTCGTAAGCCTGTCTCTGGTAGTATTAATCCTGTGGAGGCTACCCAGATCCTGGCTTTCTTCAGCATGAAGCTGGGACAGTTGAAGCAGGACTACGACATGGTCGCCCGTGCCAAGGAGGCATTGAACCTTGACCTTTCTGGAAGCAACCCCGTCGATTCGATCTTGGAGGAAGTGCAAGACTTCAAGTCTGTCTGGGCGGCATTGTCTACTATCTGGAGTTCTCTCCAGGACCTCAAGGATACCCAGTGGTCCGCAGTTGTTCCTCGGAAGGTGCGCCAGACTTTGGACAACCTCCTCAACATGACGAAGGAGATGCCCAGTCGCATGCGTCAGTACGCCGCATTTGAGTATGTGCAGGATGTCTTGCGTAAGCTTATCAAAATCAACCCGCTCCTCACTGATCTGAGTTCGGAAGCCATGCGTGAGCGTCACTGGCAATCATTGTTAAAGGGGCTTCGTGCATCTGGTCGTATTCATCTGCAGAGTATGACTTTGGGCACTGTCTGGGATTTGGATTTGACTACAAATGAGAAGGTTGTCCGGGACGTTCTTTTGCAGGCTCAAGGCGAGATGGCTCTCGAAGAGTTCCTCAACCAGGTCCGTGAAACCTGGTCTGGCTACCCACTTGAGCTTGTCAACTATCAGAACAAGTGCCGTCTTATCAAGGGCTGGGATGACCTCTTCGCAAAGTGCAGCGAGAACTTGAACTCGCTGACAGCGATGAGGCACTCGTCTTACTACCGCGTCTTCGAAGAGGAGGCGGCCGCCTGGGAAGATAAGCTCAACCGTGTTCATGTCTTGTTTGATGTCTGGATCGACGTCCAGCGTCAGTGGGTCTATCTGGAAGGTATCTTCACTGGCAATGCCGACATCAAGAACCTCTTACCTATGGAATCATCGCGTTTCCAGAACATTAACGCTGAGTTCATGTCGCTTATGAAGAAGGTCTACAAATCCCCCTTCGTCATGGATGTTCTGAATATTCCCGGTGTTCAAAAGTCCTTGGAACGCCTTGCCGATCTTCTCAGTAAGATCCAGAAGGCCCTCGGAGAGTATCTGGAGCGTGAGCGTTCCGCTTTCCCTCGGTTCTACTTCCTTGGAGATGAGGATCTGTTGGAAATCATCGGTAACAGCAGAGACGCTACTCGCATCCAGAAACACTTCAAGAAGATGTTTGCAGGAATCAACGGACTTATTTTCAATGATGACACCACTCTCATTCAGGGGTTCACCTCCAGTGAAGGTGAAGAAGTTAGACTTGCAGAAGAGATCTCTCTCGTCAAGCTCGCCAAGATCAACGAATGGCTGAGTGCGCTGGAAAGAAACATGAAACTCACCCTGGCTGGCTTGCTTGGGAGCGCTGTCAACGGATACCAAGAGAGGTTCATGTCGAATGATTTATCGGAAGAGAACATGCTGAGCTGGCTCGCCCAATACCCTGCGCAGCTCTCAACCCTCGCTGCTCAGGTAACTTGGACTTCTGCAGTCGAAGAAACACTTGCACGCACTGAACGCGGCGATGATTCATCGCCACTTGAGGATGTCGTTGGTCAAGTTGAACGTGTTCTTGGTCTATTGGCGTCGGCAGTGCTGAAAGACCTTGACCTTATCACCAGGAAGAAGTGCGAGCACTTGATCACGGAACTTGTGCACCAGCGCGATGTGGTTGCAAAACTGGATGCGAATTCGGTCACAACACCCACCGACTTCCGCTGGCTCTATCAGATGAGGTTCCACTACAAAACCGAAGGTGATATCCTTCAGCGCCTCAAGGTCAAAATGGCTAATGCTGTTTTTGAATACGGATACGAGTATCTGGGCGTCGGCGATCGCCTCGTGCAAACCCCTTTGACTGATCGTTGTTACCTCACCCTCACGCAGGCCCTCAGCCAGAGGCTTGGTGGATCGCCTTATGGCCCTGCTGGTACTGGAAAGACAGAATCGGTCAAGGCACTCGGTACGCAACTCGGTAGGTTCGTTCTTGTGTTCAACTGTGATGATACCTTTGACTTCCAGGCTATGGGAAGAATCTTCCTCGGTCTTTGTCAGGTTGGTGCATGGGGATGTTTTGACGAGTTCAACCGACTTGAAGAGCGCATTCTCAGTGCTGTTTCTCAGCAGATTCAGAGCATTCAGCTTGGCCTCAAAGCTTTGGAAGAGACGAGCCAGACGACCATCGAGTTAATCGGCAAGACGTGCAAGATTCACGAAGACACTGGTATCTTCATCACGATGAATCCTGGTTATGCAGGTCGATCAAACCTGCCCGACAATTTGAAGAAGCTGTTCCGAAGTATTGCTATGACGAAGCCAGATAAAGAGCTTATCGCTCAGGTTATGCTCTACTCGCAAGGCTTTGCCGAAGCGAAACAGCTGGCAACGCAAATTGTGCCTTTCTTCGAGCTTTGTGACGCGAAACTTTCCGCACAGTCGCACTACGACTTTGGTCTCCGTGCTCTGAAGAGTGTCCTTGTCACGTCCGGAAACCTGAAGCGGACACGTATTCAGAGCGGACAGGATATCGGCTCAAATGCATGGGAAGCCGAAGTTGTCTTGCAGAGTTTGCGGGAAACAATTGCACCCAAACTTGTGGGCCGCGACAATGCCATCCTGACCGATATCGAAGCCGATGCTTTCCCTGGCGTTCGATATGTCCCGGCGGACCTTGGCAAGCTCGAGGCTGAAATCAGGGCGGTCGCAGCTGAAAAACATCTGATTACGGATGAACTTTGGTTGCAAAAGACCTTGCAGCTTTACCAGATCCAATCTATTCACCATGGTCTCATGCTGGTCGGCCAATCTGGGAGCGGCAAGAGTCGTTCCTGGAGGGTCCTTCTGGAAGCTCTTCAGCGTCTGGAAGGTGTAGAAGGCGTCAGCCATGTCATTGATGCCAAAGTCATGTCCAAGGAGGCGCTTTATGGTAATCTTGATTCGACAACACGCGAATGGACGGATGGTCTCTTTACAGGCGTCCTCCGCAAGATTGTCGACAACCTCCGCGGTGAGGATACCAAGCGTCACTGGATCGTTTTCGACGGCGACGTCGACCCTGAGTGGGTGGAAAACCTCAACAGTGTACTCGACGACAATAGGCTTTTGACGCTTCCCAATGGAGAGCGACTGAACCTGCCAGGGAATGTCAGGATCATTTTTGAAGTGGAAACACTGAAATATGCTACCTTGGCGACGGTGAGTCGTTGTGGTATGGTCTGGTTCAGCGAAGATGTGGTGAGACCAGACATGATGATTCAAAACTACCTTCAGTCACTGCAGACGACGGTCTTTGACGACTTGGACGAGGACTCGCCTATGGCTTCTGGTGCATCCGATTCTTTTGCGGTTCAGAAGTTTGCTTCCATCACGTTCACCCCACTCATGGAAGGAATTGCTCTTAAAGCTCTTGAACATGCGAGAAGCCTCGCCCATATCATGGACTTCACCACCGCACGAGCTTTGAGCACGCTATTTTCCCTCATGAACAAAGCATGTCGAGACGTTCTTGTTTATAATGCTCAACATCCGGATTTTCCCCTTGAAGAAGAACCAATGGAGCGCTTCCTGTCCAAGAAGCTAATGCTGAACTTAGTCTGGAGTTTCTCAGGTGATTGCAAACTTGATGTTCGACAAGAGTTTGGTGCCAAGCTCGCTGAATGGACGACCGTCGAGTTTCCGCCACTGGAACCAGGCGGTAGTCTCATCGACTGGGACGTGAGCTTGCCGACTGCTGAGTGGGTCGCGTGGCAACAGCGCGTACCAACCACTGAAATCGCTACTCATTCCGTCACTCAAGCAGATGTTGTCGTACCCACCGTGGACACAGTTCGACATGAAGATATCTTATACTCGTGGCTTGCCGAGCATAAGCCTCTTATGCTATGCGGGCCGCCTGGCTCGGGTAAGACGATGACTCTGTTTGGGGCATTGCGCAAACTTCCCAATTTGGAGGTTGCTGGCCTGAACTTTTCAAGTGCGACAACGCCCGACCTTGTCGTCAAGGTGCTCGAGCAGTACTGCGAGTATCGGAAGACCCTCAACGGTACCATTATGGCGCCGACGCAAGTAGGTCGCTGGTTGGTCATTTTCTGCGATGAAATCAATTTGCCTGCGCCCGACAAATATGGTACTCAACGTGTGATCTCTTTCTTGCGTCAACTGGTGGAGCACAATGGATTCTGGCGAACTTCCGATAAAACATGGGTTACACTGGAACGCGTACAATTCGTCGGTGCCTGTAACCCTCCTACCGACGTCGGTCGCACACCTTTGACAGCCCGTTTCTTGAGGCATGCTCCGCTCATCATGGTCGACTACCCTGGCAGAGCATCTATGATGCAGATCTATGGAACTTTCAACAGAGCAGTTCTGAAATGCGTACCTAGCCTCCGTGGCTACGCTGATGCGTTGACTTCGGCCATGGTTGATCTGTATGTTCAGTCTCAAGATAAGTTCACCGCTGATGTTCAAGCCCATTACATCTACAGTCCACGTGAGCTTACGCGCTGGGTGCGTGCAATCTTTGAAGCTCTGAGACCCCTGGAGTCACTCGATGTTGAAGGCCTTGTGCGCATCTGGGCTCACGAAGCCTTGCGTCTTTTCTCTGACAGGTTGGTGCTTGAGAAAGAGCGAACATGGACTGAGATTACTGTCCGTGAAATTGCTCTACAGAACTTCCCTGGCATCAACGAGGTAGCGGCCTTGAAAGGTCCAATCCTCTACTCTAACTGGTTGTCACGGAATTACGTTCCTGTTGCTAGAGAGGAGTTGCGTGAATTTACCAAGGCTCGCTTGCGTACCTTCTGCGAAGAGGAGGTGGATGTTCCGCTCGTTTTGTTCAATGACGTGCTGGACCACGTCTTAAGGATTGATCGAGTATTCCGCCAACCTCAAGGTCATATGATCTTGATTGGTGTGAGTGGTAGTGGAAAGACCACGTTGGCTCGCTTTGTTGCATGGATGAATGGTCTCAAGGTTTTCCAGATCAAGGTACACGGCAGGTACTCTTCGGAGGATTTCGATGAGGATCTTCGTGATGTGCTGCGTCGCGCCGGTTGCAAGGGCGAAAAGGTCTGCTTCATCATGGATGAGTCCAACGTTCTCGATTCGGGTTTCTTGGAACGCATGAATACCCTTCTTGCCAATGCGGAAGTTCCAGGTTTGTTTGAAGGCGATGACTATGCTGCGCTTATGACAAATTGTAGGGAGGGCGCCCAGCGTGAGGGGTTGCTCCTTGATTCACCCGAGGAGCTCTACAAATGGTTCACCCAGCAAATCGTGAAGAATCTCCACGTAGTCTTTACGATGAATCCTCCCGAAGGAGGTCTTTCCTCGAAAGCCGCCACTTCACCGGCGCTCTTTAACCGCTGTGTGCTCAACTGGATGGGCGATTGGTCCGACCAGGCATTCTATCAGGTTGCGCTCGAGTCCACCCAAGGCTTGGACCTGGACGATACGAGCTATGTGTCCCCACAAGAGATGCAGATTGCGTATCGCGGACTGTCTGTGACACCGACTCATCGCGAAGCAATTATCAATGCTATGGTCTACATCCATATGTCTGTGCATGAGGTTAACAGAAAGCTCGCGGCATCTCAGTCCAAGACAATTCATCTGACACCGAGGCACTACCTGGACTTTGTCAACCAATTCGTCAGGTTATTCAACGAGAAGAGAGCTGAGCTTGAGGAAGAACAGCGTCATTTGAATGTTGGTCTGGACAAGTTACAAGACACCTTCACTAAAGTTGAGGAGCTTCGCGGAAGTCTGGCGGAAAAGAGGGTGCGTCTGGAGCAGATGAATGCCCAGGCCAACGAGAAGCTTCAAAGCATGGTTGCTGATCAGCAGGAAGCGGAGCAGAAACGAGCCGCTTCTTTGGTGATCCAACAGGCTTTGGCCGTGCAGGAGAAGGAGATTGACGAACGTCGTGAGATTGTCATTAGGGATCTCGAGCGTGCCGAACCCGCTGTGTTGGAAGCGCAAAGGAGTGTTCAGAACATCAAGAAGCAACACTTGACCGAAGTCCGTTCGATGGCAAACCCACCAGAAGCTGTCAAGACCGCCATGGAGTCTGTATGCGTTTTGTTGAGCAATAAGGTGGATACGTGGAGGTCTGTTCAGAGCGTTATTAGACGTGATGACTTCATCCCAAGTATCGTCAACTTCGATAACGCGGAATCGATGACGCCGCAGTTGCGGGCTAAGATGGAGAGGGAATTTCTTTCTCGACCCGGTTACGATTTCGAGTCTGTCAACCGTGCTTCAAAGGCATGTGGACCCTTGGTTCAGTGGGTGATCGCTCAGTGCGATTACTCGATTATCCTGGAGAAGGTCGGTCCCTTGCGTGAAGAAGTCGATCAGCTTGAATATGAGGCAGAATCTACGAAGGCTAAGGCGGAGACCATCATCGAAATGATCGACGAGTTGGAAGCCAGTATCGCTCAGTATAAGGAGGAGTATGCTGCATTGATCAGTGAAACCCAGCTGATCAAGCAGGAGATGCAAACGGTCGAGTCTAAGGTTAACCGCAGTGCCACTCTCTTGGAGAGCCTTTCGTCAGAGAAGGAACGTTGGGAGTCCGGAAGCCATGGTTTCAAGGACCAGATGTCTACGTTGATCGGTGACGTCTTGCTTGCCGCAGCCTTCCTCGCCTACGGTGGGTTCTATGACGAGCAATACCGAAGGAATCTCTATGACAACTGGGGGGATCATCTCCTCCAGGCGAATATCAAGTTCAAGGAGCACAACCCCATCACCAACTACCTCTGCACTGCAGACGAGCGTCTTGAGTGGCAGGGTCAAGGCTTGTCCAATGACGACCTCAGCGTGGAGAATGCCATCATCCTCAAGAGGTTCAACAGATATCCTCTAATCATCGACCCCACCGGTCGCGTGACAGACTTCCTCAACAATCAGTTCATCACTCGCAAGCTCACGGTCACGAGTTTCCTCGATGCTGCGTTTGTCAAACATTTGGAGTCCGCCCTTCGTTTCGGGAACCCCATCCTTATTCAAGATGCCGAGCACGTGGATCCTATCCTCAACCACGTTTTGAACAAGGAGTACCAGAAGGCTGGTGGTCGTGTCTTGATCCAACTCGGGAAGCAAGACATCGACTTTTCACCTTCATTCAAGGTGTTCCTGTCTACGCGTGACCCGTCTGCTCATTTTGCTCCTGATGTCTGCAGTCGCGTTACCTTCGTCAACTTTACCGTCACGCGAAGCAGTCTGCAGACGCAGTGTCTTAACAAAGTCCTTCAAGTCGAGCGGCCCGATATCGAGAAGCGTCGTACTGACCTTCTTAAGCTGAAGGGCGAGTTTGCTGTTAACTTGCGCTCGCTCGAGAAGCGTCTTCTTCAAGCTCTGAACGACTCGCGTGGTAATATCTTGGATGACGACAAGGTCATTGAGACGCTCCAAACTTTGAAGTCCGAAGCTGCAGTCATCGCTGCCAAGGTCGCGGAAACAGACGGTGTGATGGCGGAAGTTGAAGAGATTGCCGCGGTGTACGAACCTCTTGCTCGTACGTGCAGTATGATCTTTGCCGTCTTGGAACAACTTGGTCATGTGAATCGCTTCTACCAGTTCTCTTTGAAATTCTTCCAGGAGGTGTTTGGGTATGTGTTGAGCAACACTGACCGAATTAAGGGTATTACGGACCCACGTCAACGGGTTGAGCATTTGCAGCGTGAAGTGTACTTGAGCACGTTTGCGAGAACTTCTCAGGGTTTACTTCATCAGGATCATGCCGCATTAGCACTACTCCTTGCACAGCTCAGCTCTTCAGGCTTCAGAGCTGACGCTATTGATTGGGTTCTGAATCCTGCCCTGTCTGGTGCCGGAGCCGACAACGCGGTCGAGGATAGTTTGGGCAAGGCGGCTTCTCTCCCTCTTTTCCGTCAGATCAAGGAGCTTATTGCCGAGCACAAGGATGAATGGCAAGCATTTCTGACCCACGAACAAGGCGAGAAGGAAGTTCCTAAAGTCTGGTCTGAATCCCAAGGAGAGTCCGACGACCTCCTCCACAAACTCCTCCTCGTCAGAATCTTCCGCCCGGACCGTGTCGTTCCTGCAACCGAGCAATTCGTCAACGCAGTCTTCAATACCGAACTTGCCAATTACACCCAATACGACCTTAAAAACATCGTCTCAAAGGAGGTGGATGCGAGTATCCCCATCGCATTATGTTCCATCCCCGGCTACGATGCTTCTTCCAAAGTCGAAGCCGTGATCTCCCAAGTTAACGCCCGATGCACATCCGTCGCTCTCGGTTCCGCTGAGGGTCTCACTTCTGCTGATACGGCAATCACTTCAGCTGCGCAGACTGGAACATGGGTACTCCTCAAGAATGTCCACATGGCGCCTCAATGGCTCGGGCAATTGGAGAAACGGTTGTTGGGTTTGAAGGCACATCCAAACTTCAGGCTGTTTATGACGATGGAGACGAGTCCCAAGGTCCCGACAAGCATATTGCGTTTGGCACGGGTTCTGATGTTCGAACCCCCACCTGGGATGAAAGCCAACATCCGAGAATCACTCGCCACCATCACCCCCGACTCTAGCCTCCCCGCCGAACGCGCACGTTTAGCCTTCGTCCTCTCCTGGCTCCACGCAACGATCACCGAACGCCTCCGCTACACACCCCTTGGCTGGACCAAAGCCTATGAGTTCAATGATGCGGATTTGAAGTGCGCGGTACATGTCGTGGATACGTGGATCCGATTGGCGGCGGGTGGGAGGAGCAATATCGCGCCAGATAGGATTCCGTGGAGGGCGATTGTGACGTTGGTTGTTGAAACGATTTATGGTGGAAAGATCGACGAAGTTGTTGACGAGGTGCGGTTGCAGGAACTCGTTGGGCGGTTGTTCACACCTAAGGTCTACGACCTTGACTTCCCGCTTGTAGGCGGGGACGTGTCGGTGACCATCCCGGATGCGAACAGACTTGAACAGTTCCAGGCCTGGGTTGAGAAATTACCGGAACGCGAACCACCAACGTGGTTTGGATTGCCGGAGGATGCGGAAAAGGTGCTGTTGAGGGAGCAGGGGGTCCGGATGGTTGAGAGTGTTAGGAACGTTGGGAGGTTGATGGATGAGAATATGGGATAACCATGATCTTATCGATCTTGCATACATATGTTTGAGGTAAATAGATACTTATATGATGGAGGAAGAAGCTTTGGCTAGACATTAACCTTAATACCATTGAATATCAACAGTTTGCATACGAGCGGCGCGCGGTATAGAAGTCTGGGTCCCTCTGTCCCAATGAGCATCCATATGGGGCAGAACATACTCGTGTCCGTAACCCGTTTGATTAAAACCAGCATGTACAGTCGCGAGCCATGAGCACCTTCGATCCACACACCTTCTCTCCATGCCTAGATCATGTTGTGCGTGTGAAGGCGCAGGGTATATCCGTTCCATCTTCACTTCGTTGAAAATTTCATCCAAACTCCACACCCATTCCAACTTCATGACCAAATGCACCGGATATCCCTCCAGTCCTTCCTCGTCCATGTCGTCGCACCAGCATGCCTCACCTCCCATCACCGCCATTCCACCTCATTTCGCCGCTGCTGCTTTCTCTTCTTCATCTTCGATCGTTTTCAACTCCTCCTCACTCAACCGCCCCCCATGCACCACCCCCGCAACCCCGATCCACTCTTCCACGCCCTTGACCCAAACATCTTTCTCCGCTCTTGGTTGCTCGCCCCAGCCCCAAATCATAACATCCTTAAACTGAGCTGTTGATTGCCACGCTACCTCTTCCTCTGTCTGCTCTTCTGCTTCTTCGTCTTCGTCTTCGTAGAGTCGGTCGGAGGGTGGTGGAGGGACGAATGTGGTGGAGGGAGCGTAAGCGTGTCCGACCCACCCCGCGGGCAGGTTTAGTTCCGTACCATGGAGTTCGCGGCCCCGAAAAGTGCTGATTGGGACGGCATCCGCGTTTGTTGATACGGAGAAGTATGTGGAGATATTCGCTGGGCCGGTATGAGAGATTTGGCAGGGGAGGAGGTGCGCGTCCACTTGTTCGCCTGCCGGAGCATTCTCGAACGAATCAACGGGGTTCCGTGATCTCTGGAGGTTGATAATAGTCATTTCGTAGTCTCGTCGCAGTAGATGGATGTTTGCTTTCTTGGTCGACGCGTCTCTGCTGAAGCTCGCGTTTCCCCGCCAAAAGTAATTAAGTCTACGCGTTTGGACCGGTCCGTGCACGAAGCGCCAAACCCAACCACGCGGATTTAAGTACAAAAAAAAGTCGAATTGGTATATCAGATGACTCTCTACTCCAAAGCCTGCTTCTGCATCTCAGCCCTACTTCCCCCTCGCCGTAACAGGAACCTGCCCCCCAACCCACCTCCCACTCATTCCTCTCCTCTCCTCCCCTCTCCCCCCAAGACTCCCAACATCCTCTCTCTCAACCGCCGCCCTCCTAAGAACCTTCAACCACTCTCCAGTCCTCGCACGCATCCGACTATGCATAAACGCCTTCGAGCACTTGATGTGGTAGTGCAAATAATCCCTAAACAACTGGATCTGGGAGATCGTTTCCCACTGTGCTGAGCGCGTTAGGTCGGCGATGGGAGAGGGAGAAGGGTTGGTCGAGGGGTTGGCGGAGGTGTGTCGTGGGAAGAGGATAAACGTGACATACCCCATCCCCTCATCCTCCCCCAACCCAATACTCTCTAAATCCCTCGGCGGTTTACCGGTCGTGTACAACACCTGCGGACTCGTCTGCAATGCTGGCCGCCTCCTCGCATCCACGAATTCCTGTAAGAAAACCTTCCCGAAGACGCGGTCGGTTTCTTCGCGGAAGTGGGTAGAGAAGATGATTGTTGTGCGGTCGTGGGAGGGGAGGAGGTAGATTGCTTCGGTGTCGCGGTAGTGGAGGGGGAGGACTTGGGGTTTGGGGGCGGGGGTATCGGGGGAGTCGGCGGGGTTTGGGAGGGAGGATGAGATGGAGAAGGCGTGGACGAAAGGGGCGGAGAGGGCATGGCGTTTTAGGAGGGAGATTTCGTGGATGAGGAGGGGGGTGTTTTCTGGTGATCTTATTAGTCATTTTGTCTTCCTCCGAGGTCACTCTGCACTCTGAGTAGAGGGAGGAAATTATCGTGGACATACCATACTCCTTCTCAACATCAACCTCCAAACTCCAATCCCATCCTTCCTCGACTTGTCCCTTAACAACCCCCCATCGTCCATAAACTTCCTCCAGCACCTTATCAACACCATACCCCACCAATTCCTCCCAACACTTGATCCGGATCGAGACGATGATCTTTGATTTGGATTCGGGGGTGGAGAGGTGGAAGAGGACGCCGTCGAAGTCGGTGATGATTTGGTCGAGGGAGGCCGTACGGGGGGTGGAGTTGTTGGGGTTGGAGGTGGAGGGAGGGAGGAGGCGGTCGGTTAGGAGGGCGGAGAGGAGGATGTTGTGGTAATCGAGGAGGATCATTGCAATTGCTTGTTGCTGGGGGTCGGTCGTCGCTCCGTCGCGCTCAGGACGATGACGGTCCCATCCCCGGCGCAGTTGCACCCGCCACACCAGCATGCCGCACCGACGCGATACCGGTACGAGGAGTACTCCAGGCAAAGAACGAAGAGCAAGAGCAATTGCACCGGCTATACCACCAACCAGATCACCATGTCTTCATCACCATCACCAACACTGTACATCAAGAACCTGGACAACCACGTCAAAAAGGTATGCATCTCGAAGCCGGTTCTCGATCTGTGATTCATTGCGCCGTTTGATGGGTTGTTTTTCATACACTAACCCAGATTGCAGGATGATCTCCGATTATGTCTCTACTGCCTGTTCTCGACATACGGGCCCATATTAGATGTCGTAGCACTGAAGACCAAAAAGATGCACGGACAAGCACATATCGTCTTCCGGGACGTTCTTTCCGCAACAACGGCTATGCGCGCATTGCAAGGACAGGAATTCCTCGGGAAGGAGCTGAGGATTGATTACGCACGGTCGAAGAGTGACGCAACTGCCAAGCTGGACGGGACGTATAAGATGCCGCAAGTGATTGCAGTGCAGGCTCAGGAAGGAGATGTATCGGCGCCGCATGGTGTCAAGAGACCAAGAGATGATGACGAAGAAGGGGAAGCGGATATGGAGGAGTAGGGGAGCAAGGTGATGGAAAAGGACAGGAAAATAGGTGGGTCCAGAAACGCCAGAAGGGAGATGTTCTCTGAGACGTATTGCAAAACGCAGAACAAATGCCGGCAGCTGCACAAGATTACGGACTGTCACATCGACGGATTTCACACGGGAAACATGATATCAGGATTGAAAAGCTAAGATATACCAACGCCATGCAAGCATGTCACAGAGAGATACACAATAAACGACCAATTGAGCATTCCATCACTTCTTAAGCCCCTTCATCAGCCATTTAGGGATCTTCTTCTCTTTCTTTTCCTCCTTTGACTCCTCGACATTCTTCTCCTCGACTGCGGCCTTGGATGCTTCTTTCATCTCGACATCTTCTAGAACCTTTCCCTTAAGCTCCTGCCCTTGCGATGCCAATTCCTCCTTCAAAACGCTTTCCCGGCCGCTTGTAAGCTCATCCCAGATCAACGTAACCAAACACTTCGTAATCCCAACGCCAGCGCCAAGTTCCTCCCCAATCGTGATTTCATTGCTCTCCAAAACCTTCCTGGGCGGCATTCCAGTACTCAGATGAAACTTCTTCTCCACAACTCCGCTCTTCAAACTCGACCTCACAAGCTCGAACAACGCACTCGTTCCTTCCCTGACGCCAAACACCGCACCCAGTCTCGCCCCATCAGGCAGCCTGACGCTAACCTCCATTTCCGTTACATGCTTCGGAATCCGTCCTTCTTTCTCTTTGAGCTCACGCGCGCGCTTCTCCCTTTCTGCAGCAGAGAGGAATAGTCCGCCGTTATCGAGTGCTCGGGCACGGGCAGTGAGAGAAGCTTGGATGGCTCGCGCGTCTGCTGCGGTTGGGTGGAGCTCTGGCTCGGCGGGTAAGGTGGCGGCGTGGGGTGTGGAGGACGTGGGTGCGTTATATACTTTGAGAGAGCGGTGATTCGGGCCCGCCGGGTGTACAGCAGGCTCTGGGGCTGGTAGAGCTGCCTCCGCCGTAGCTCGCCCTGTTGGTGAAGGTATCGGTGTCGTTCTGCTAGCCGGGATCGAGGTCGAGGTGACAACCCCCATGACAGGAGAATCGTCGATGGGCGGCAAAGGTTCTGTAGACAGACTGAACGAGACCTTCAAGATATGCTGCCCGGAGAACAGGCCGCGACTGCTCAACGTCGTACTCTTCAACAAATCCGGCTCTCTGATGTCATCATTCCCTATTCTGATCACCGGCTCCATCCATTGTCCACCCTCACCCTCCCGTCTTACAATTCTAATGTCCTCTGTCTCGTTCGCTCTCAGTACGTCCCAAAGTGATGTCGAAGCTGGAAACTTCTTGATCAATCGCTTTCCGTCGGCCAATTGGACGGCGATTGTGACAAGTGCATTGGCAGATCTGGCTGGTCTCAGGATCATGTCGAGCTTTGCGCCTTGTGGCAGATTGGCATGGCGGATTGGCAGCGAGAGATCAAGTGTGGTTTTGCCGTGTCTGGATTTGCATGTTAGCAGGCTACGAAAGGCTTCGGGAATCAGCATACTTCAGCAGGTATGATTCGGGCGAGTCGGGAAGACTGAGGTGTTGACATGCTTGAATGAGAAGGGAATTGAGAGAAGTTGTTGGCGTCGGTTTGGCCGTATACTTCTGTGTTGGCGATAGAATGATTGTGATGTTTGTCGACATGGATAACTGCTGATGGGATGATTTCGGTTTACAACGACGTATACTGTACGTACATACGTATTGCGGGGATGTACGTAGGCGATCGCACCCGCCACCCTCAGCCACACTCGCTGGGGAGGAGTGGTAACCGCCCAGAAGGAGAAGGTAGACTGGAAAGGAGGACAGGGAACCGGTGGGGAAGGGAAACGGGATGAGGAAAATCATGAGGCATCGCAATATTGGAGCATATGAGGCATTGGATGTACGATATGGTGGGACAGACAGAGCAGAAACAGATTTGATACCCCGCGCAACATTTTCTACGTGCAATCACTGATGGAAGGTTTCACAGTAACGGAGAAAGCACGCATGCTTTTCTTTTCAACATGCTATTTTAGTTCATGGAAACACCACCATTGGAAGTGCTGTGTCAGTACCGGTTCATCGACCGATTTCCATACTATAACGAAATGCCAGAAAAACTTAATGCTCTCACCTCTTCTCTCCCTCAACTTCCCACACCCTGCCCACACCCTCCAATATCTCCTTGCACCGCCCCACTATGTAATCTAGCCAAGTTAGTCGGATGAACGCAGTATGACTCCACATCCACAAACCGAAATCAGCCCTCGCCCCTGGGTCATCACCAGATCAGTCCCTGCTCCTACCAAGCTTCCTCTGTGCTCCATCTGCAATTTGTGCATCATGTACCTCGAGTCATCGCCGGACGACTTCAGTTGCTTCTTGTATGTATACGCCTGGGCTTTCTCCAGAAGGCAATCGTTGCACTACGAGAAATGAATATCATTTCAACGGTTACTCGTATGGTTACAGACAGCTTCCTGAGTCGGGACAGTCATCTGAGCTGCTGAAGCCGCCTAGCGCGATTTTCCCTCGCCGAAGCGGCGCGCGTGAGTTTCGGTCAGGTCGGCCAGGACTCGAGGATTGCCCGATGCGGCGGAATAAGTCAACCATGATGAGGGAAGTCAGATGACATCTTCTCGTTGAAGTTCTGATGTTTCGTCCTGGATCAGGTCTCCACGACTATAAAGTGAGGCCGTGATCCTTGCGCGAGTGAGTTCTGCATTCGATTTTCTCTTGTACCGACACGCAACTGCAACAACACTTCTCCAACCAAGGTCAAGTTCTCGACGAAGCAACATGAAGCTCTTGAGCATCACTGGTGTTGTGGCGGCCACCCTGTTCGTTACGACTGGACTGGCGGCACCCGTCCAGGAAACCTCCACACGCGCCGCGAGCGTCGACTTCATGGCCACAGGTATGAGCATAACCGTCCCGACGAACGTCAGCCGCCTTCAGCTCGACGTCATTTTCGCTCACAACTATCATCGTGGTATCATGGCCCTTCCGCCTGTCTCTTACTCTGACAAGCTTGGGAGGAAATGTGCCCACTGAATTGAGGAGCTCCCGGAAGTCAACGCCACCCAGGACGGGTATGAACGTAAAGGGGGACACGATCACCAGTGGCCTACACACGAGCATGAGGGTCACGAGCCGTGGCATGACCAGAACAAGACGCTCGGTGAGAAAAGAATGTTGTGGCACGACGCGGTAAATGAGGCCGGTGTGTTTTCCCTATTCTTGCAATGATCCCAAAACGAAGCCCAGAACAATGGCGACATCGCATTTGGCTTTCTGGATATCTACACGGCTGTGAACACTGAGGAAGAATACGGACATCAGGACTTTGAAGGGGAGCATGTCACGATGTCGAATGCAGTTGAGCTTCTGACACAGATCTTGGACGCGTCGACGACCGAGGTAGGGTGTGCGACGTATCTGATCAAGGAGCCAACAGAGCAAAGAACCCAGCGGAAACGTCACGGCGCGCCTGCTCCTGTGCACGTATTCGAGCTCGAGTTCCCACGATGCAATCTCTAACGAGCCTGGGGTATTAGTCAAGAGGGACTCGTGGTGGCGGCTGCTGCTTGTACATATTTAGATCTCTCCGGACAGAGGATGGCTTCGAATCCCATCGTGTTTGCGTTGCATGAGAGAGTAATCAAAAGGTCGTTGCGGCAACTTTATGGTAGCTTGAAGGGGTCTCATCGCGGAGTTAACACCTTCCTGAGCACTGCTCCGGAGTTGGCGGCTGAGCTCAAAGCGGATAATCGTTGGTATGCTAAGTGTGAGACTGTTCCACCGCCAGCCATGGAGCACAGAGAAGAGCAAACACACAAGTTTACTGGTGAACACCAGCACGCGGAAATTGTCATGGACTATTCCACGGACTTACCAAGCTAGAGTTCGACGTCCTCTTTACGCACAAACTGGTTGCGAGCCCTTCACTGTGAAGAACCCTTGACCTGGTCAGAGACTTTGGCATCGAAGGCTTCCGACTGGATTGACCAGATGGGCATTCAAGCTACCGAGTATCCCAATGGAACCGAAGTTGGAACAAATTTCACTGAGTTAGCGACAACGATGCGACAAGAAGGCGTCCTGTATTACTACAGCGCTACAGGTAACACGACGGATCCGAGTTACTGGTACAGTCGAGTGGAAGGAATACGAAGAACTTACGACTACACGCAAATCTCCCGGCGTGTCTCGTACACAAACACCAGAACGATGGAAAACAACACCGCCGTCAAGGTCGTCGGGCATCAACTGCTCAAGGCGACCTTTGCGCAGGTTATTTGCAAGGGGACCACGCAAGTGGGGTGTGCAGTGCCCAACGAAGGCTTCTTTGCGTGTGCCCATGATCCCGTCGGACTTCTAGTCGGGGAGGATCCAGTGACGGGGGTTGAGCCTGCGCATGAGTCTGCTCCGAACAACACGGGGTACAGTTCGCACGGCATCGAGTGGCATGTGTAGTGAGGAAGGCTCGTTAGATTCGGGTGAGATGAGCATTGTATTGACGTGGGAAGGGAGCAAGAGGTTCTGAAGTAATAATAAACACGGCGTAGATTATGATCACCGGCAACGAGACTGAGGTCTAGATCACCATGGCCAAACACGACTCCGGTTGATGCCCGTGTCGTTGACTGCGTGGGAACGAAGGCTCCATAATATTTCTCACGCGTTCTTGGATTGGATACAGCAAAAAAGGAGATTTAGGGTTAACCTTTGCTATCGCCATTCCGATCGTCAGCTCAGAGGATAACCGCGGGTGCAGCCCTGGCGTAGGGCACGTCGAACCATACCTAAGGATGTGATCTTCCTGATTTTGTATTCGTCCGAAGTAGATATAGGCATGCACATGTACTTTTGCTACGCTGTAAATAAGAAACGCCATAGATATAACACCCAGACTATGCCTTCCTTTCTTCTTCTGCCTCCTCCGTGACCTGATCTTGCTCTGGTCCCTTCTTCTCCTCATCATTCTTAGTGTCCTCATTTTTTGGTACCTCAAGCTCCAACTCCTCCTTCAGCCCAGGTAAAAACTTCGCCAACCTTTCCCAAGTCCTCTTCCACACACCCGCCTGTCTTTCAACGGGCATACCTTCCGTTTGTGACTTCATCACCAACAAGACATTCTTGAGACTTTCAACAACTGCTTCGTCATCACCACCCTTCTTCACCAAGCTCTCCAGAGCATCAACGATTCTCATCCACAATTCGACAAGATCCTCCTTCGTTACCAAGGTACTGAGGTGACGAAGGAACACCTTGCAAAGCATACTGCCGGCCAGCACACGAGACTCTGCCATTCCGCGCTTATCGGACGCAACAACCTCGGGTCGAAGAAGGGACTTGATGAGCTCGATCAAGACTGTATCGAACACACCCTCGATCCATGGTCCTTCAGCTGCCGGGATAGGTTGGAGTAGAAGGCGTTGGAGATGCGAGAATGCCGAAGCACGAATTTGTCGACATGGGTTAGTACACTCAAGTCCGAGTGCTTCCAACAAGGGTGTGTAAAACCTTGTCCATGCTTCTTGATCATCCTGCGACAACTTCGAAATATTGGAGTGAATTCCATAAAGCAACTCAACGCTCGCAACACTCCTCGATACCACAGATGAATGGGGCTTCTTCTCCTTCGATGCGTTTTGTGAGGTACCCTTCTTCGATGCCACATCCTGCATCTGCTCTGCCTGCGCACCGATCTCGCCAAGGGTAGCGAAAGCTGCGAGAAGCTCGACAACATGAGGGAAGTTCTCCGGAGTAAGCTTGGCACCGTGCGTTTCCGTCGCTAACACCTCCGCAATCTCAAAAATCTGAGGATGGCAAGTGTGATTTCCAAAGATGCTTCGAATGATGGCGAAGAGCTCCTCGGGTGAATTCGAGATAGTCTCAGCAGAAGCGGAAGATGGTGCAGGAGATTTCAACAGATCAACGATGCCCGTAGCTATTGAAGGCGCGATCTTCTGCAGAATAGTAGACTCAACAGTCGCAATGTCCTGCATCACGAGTTGAAGGCGCAAAGCGTCAATTGTCTCTGGAGTCTTGCACAGGCGGAGAAGGTACGCAAAAGAGCGCTCGACCATCAGCTCATGCATCCTCGAACTCTGGCGCACGACATCACGAAGAGCCTCGAAGACATCGGCAAGAAGCTCCGAAGAACCCTCACGGAGTGCCAGACCAGAGGCAACCTCAAGCATAAGCAACTTCGAAGGGTCGTAGATAGACTTCTTCTCTTCTGCGCCCGGCGCTTGTGATGCGCTTAACCTGGTCCTGCCAGCTGCCTGTTCGGCAGGAATTGGGACAGGCTGCGCGACCTCCTCTTCAATCGACGCATACACCAGTCCTGACTCCAATAATTGCTTTGCAGCAGCAATGTCCAACGCCATGATATTGGCACCTATGTCCTCCAAATGACACGCATCGATACAGTCCGCCGCGATAATTGTAGCCTCAATTTCCTCTCTCGAAGGTGGCGCAGGCTCGTCGGCCCCGCTCGACAGATACGAAGCAAACGTCGCAAAGAGACCAACCTGTTGGTTCTGGTTTGTCTTCTTCTCAACGGGTGCCTTGAGTGGTATAGGCTGAATCACCAAAAACTGTCTGATCGGTGAGAAAGTCTCGGGAAGGAGGCCGTTACTGAACAACGTCAGACAAATCCGGAGAATTTGTTTCCATCCCTTGCGGATCGTCTGTTCGTGTCCCTTGCAAACTGCAAACAGGACGAACGCGGCCTGCATCGCCCGGTCATTGCGACCAAAGTCGACAGCGAGCTTGCTGACGGTGATCTTCTGTCCCTCAGTCTCCACCTCCACGTTCGCATCCGTGCCGGGCGGCTCATCAGTAGCCAACGTGCTAATCTTCGCCAAGCAGAGGATAATATGGTCAAGTACGTCGTACAGCTCGTATTGCGCCGCAATATGCGCACACTGCTTGAAACCGGTGATGACACCCGAAAACACAGCATCATCCGTTGTCGTCGCAAACACACACGCCAAAGTCGAGATCAACGGCTTCCATGTAGCAGCAAACATGTGCTTGTCGTAGATATTCGTATCGCAAATCGTCAGCGAGCCCGTTGACTCGGTCTTCATCATCAACTCTTTCCACGCAGCCTCGAAACCAGCCTTCGTGTCTCCGTGTTCCTCAGCAATGATGATCTCGTTGTTCGCGATGGCGTCATAGACCGCTTGCAAATACACCTTCTCGAAATCCTTGCCATCATTGACAGCCCGCAAATTCCGCATGTAATCCTCGATCGCCATCCGCTTCTTGACTTGCGGGTTGTGAAGATCAGTGTTAAGCATAATCACCGAATAGGACAACACGAACGCCGCATCGGCCGTCGCAACAGGACCCTCCGGATTACACTCGTGGAACCGACTAGCGAACTTCTCGACAACACGCTCAATCTGCTGCGACTCTCCAGGCAACCTGAACTTCTGGAGCATCACCCTCAATGCCTCGTCAATTCGCATATCATGGAAGTCAAACAAGTCGATAAAGGCATACAAAGTATTCTTGTTCGCCGGCTTCGCCAGGTACTCTCCCAACAACGCCTTATTGATCCTCGTCGTAGCCTTAAAGAACGCCGCGATAGCTTTCGGGTCACTCGCATCCTCGATGATTCCCTGTTCCGCCAAGTACTTGATCCCATCCTTTGGCTTCTCGTTAAATATCGATGCACCCTTGATGATGGTTTGCTTCCTCTCCCTCTGCCTCAACAATACATCTGGACTTGGGTATCCCTCATGCTGTCCATCCACAGGCAACTCCAACCTCTCAAACATGAACCTGACATACGCCAACAATGCATCCAAACACAGCGGACTAATACTCGCTCCACCCGCCGACACCGACGCCGCAATCGACTGCGCATCCGGTACCGCATTCCGACTCAACAACCCGACAACATCCTCACACAAATCCATCCGATCGACATCACAATCATAATTCACAAACAAATCAACCATGTAAGACGGAATCCGCATCAACCCACTCACGCACTCCACCATCATCTCCAATACATCCATCCCCCTCATCGCCGGTCCCATGCCCAATTTCTTATTCTCCTTTACCGGGACGGGGGTACTCCGCCCACTCGACATCATCCGAATCTTCGGCGCAACAGGAATTCCCTCATAGAATACCGCATCGACACCCGGAACCTTCGGGAGTTCGTTGTTGAGACGGGGATGCAGACATCCCACGACATACTCCAAAAACACTTCCTGCTGTAACTTCAATCCAGTCCGACACGTATGCAACAACGTACTAACGACCTTTAGCGTCATGCCCAAGATGAGTGGATGGTCCATTTTGACCTGCTGGAAGAGGTAGCGGCAGAGGTCGTCGCTGATCAGAGCGTGGAGGGAGGGGAAGGTCGTGATGTGGGAGCCGGCGGTTTCGAAGGCGACGTCGAGGATACGGAGGGCGGAGAGGCGCATTGGGTTTGTGTGGCGGAGGTTGTGGGGGTCGAGGAGGTAGTTGAGGGTGCGCAGAACTTCGCGGACGGAGTGGAGGGAATAAGGGCGGATGTAGACGTCTTCCGTGGTCGCGGCGGCGGCGGCGGCGGTGGTATCATTGCTTGTTCTGGCGGTGTCGATGGATGCTTTCTGGCCGTTTTCCTGTGCGGATCCTCCTTGTTTCTCTGGTAGCTCCGGCAAGAGCGGTTTCTGCTCCTTCTCGTTCTCATGTACAGACATTTCACTCCCCGAAACACTCGGCGTCCCCAACCCCTCCACCTCCATCACACTCCCTCTCTCCTCATCCTCCCCAACCGGAATCTCCTTCAACCTCTCAAATATCTTCTGACAGATCCCCATAAGCGTCATCTCCGCCGCCCGTCTCAAGACTTCATTCAGCCTCATCTGGTAACACATGATCAACGCCACCTCGACCATTTTGCAAACACTGTCGTCGTCCAACACGGTGTGTCCGACGCCGTTGAAGGTGAGTTCCATCACGCGGAGGAGACGGAGGAGGACGACTTCGTCTTGTGCGGTATCTGTTGCTTCGAATTTGCATTTGGTGATTGTGTGTGCGAGATCTCGGAACGCTAACGGTAGACGGGGAGATGTTGGCGTGAGGAGATCGTAGGAGAGGATTTTTGTGATGGAGGAGAGTGCGAGGGAGGTTATTGCGCCCGAAACGTTGGGTTCGCGGATCACGGCGAGGAATGGAGAAAGTAACCTCGGTGCGTCAAAGAGCGTGATATCCGCACACGTCCCAAGATCCTTTCTCAGTTTCGTAAAACCGACACTCAAGGGGTCTCCAGTCCTCTCCGTCATCCCCGCACTCCGTCGTCGACTACCCCCCAATCCACCCCAGAGTCCTCCACCTCCATCTTCGCTCCCGCTCGCACCACCGAGGATAAAACTCCCCGAACTCCCATTATCTCGGGCGGCTTTCCGCATTGCGGAGGTGACTGTGACGATTTCATTTATGACGAGGGCGATTGGGTTCATGGAGCAGGTTGGGCGGGGGAGGGTAAGAGAGGGTGCGCTCTGCGAGAGAGGGGTGCTGGGGAGGGACATTTGCTGAGATAGGCAGGAGACAGACAGGGTATATGCGGGTGATCTGTGGTCCTGTCTCGCGTGAGCCTTGGAGTTGGGGGTGTTGGGTGGGTATTTGATGTTTTGTCTGCTTTTGTTGACCTCGGTGTCGTGCAGTCGCTGATCAGCGGCGGAGTGTAACGTGTACATTCTTGGCGATGTTTGTTCATATTGTCAAGATTAATGTCAATACACATCCATGTCTCTTTAGCTCAGCTGGGAGAGCGTCAGACTGAAGTGATTCAGTCATCATATATCTGAAGGTCTCGTGTTCAAGCCACGAAAGGGACATCTTTTTGTCTTTTAAGGGCAGACCGTGGGAAGATGCCGTGGTCGTCTCCAGCAGCCATCCGCTATCATCTATCCATCTATCTATTTGCCTTACGTGTCGCCTCGCCAGACGGTGATTATTCTCATTCTCGTGACGCAAGGCCCCAGGCACACACCCGGGTACGACGAGCGCGCCAAACACAACGGCAACCCTCACGTTACGGCCTTTAAGCTTATTCTGCCTCGGACACAACACCAACACCATCACCATCACCCTTGCAATAGCGACGACGACGACGACGACGACGACGACGGCGGCAATTGCAATCGATCAACAGGATCATCCAAGCAAGCGTTCACTGATCAACAGCGCTGGGCCTGTGCGCGACGTGACGCGGTAGCGACGACGACTCAACACCTCCCCGCTGTGCGGCCGAGCCACGAAACACGACTCTTGATTCCACCCTCACGAATAACGCGATGTACAAACCACGCAAGAAGCCCTCCTTCTCCCTCCCCACAAACGGCCGACCAAACCTCTCCTCCTCGAGTCGGTACAGCATATCCCCCTCCCGCTTCGCACCCCGCACATCCCGCCCTCCCCTCCTCCAACGACCATACATCCGAGTCCTTCTCTTACTATGTCTACCAATCATCTTCTTCCTCGGCCTATTCCGCCACGCAATCTTCGAATCAAGTCCAGCATTCGGCTTCGAATACCCCGATACCGACTCCATCTTCCACTACGATTTGAATTCGGTGGGAGGAACCGCACGAGGTTGGGAACGCGAGGAAAGGATCCTGTTTTGTGTGCCGTTGAGGGATGCATCACAACACATGCCCATGTTCTTCTCGCACCTAAATAACTTGACATACCCCCACCATCTCATCGATCTCGCATTCCTCGTCTCGGAATCAAAAGACAACACACTCGAGAACCTCATCTCGAATCTCGAAGCCGTACAAGCCGGCCCACAACCTTTTGGGCGCATCCAAGTCCTCGAGAAAGATTTCGGGCAAGTTGTGGGACAATCATTCTCCGACCGACATGGCTTCGCGGCACAAGGACCTCGTCGTAAAGCGATGGCGCGTGCGCGGAATTGGTTACTCTCCGCCACGCTGCGTCCCGAACACTCCTGGGTCTACTGGCGCGACGCAGATGTCGAGACATGCCCACCCACGATTCTGGAAGACTTGATGCGGCACAACCGTGATATCATCGTACCGAACGTGTGGAGACCCTTACCGGACTGGCTGGGTGGTGAACAACCATACGATCTCAACTCCTGGGCCGAGAGCGAGACTGCGCTTCAGCTGGCTGCAACGTTGGACGAGGATGCCGTTATCGTCGAAGGCTACGCCGAATACGCAACATGGCGCCCCCACCTCGCATACCTCCGCGACCCCTACGGCGACCCCGAAATGGAAATGGAAATGGACGGCGTAGGCGGCGTCTCAATCCTCGCCCGCGCCCACGTCTTCCGGTCCGGCTGCCACTTCCCCGCCTTCTCCTTCCAAAAACACGCCGAAACAGAGGGATTCGGCAAGATGGCAAAGAGAATGGGGTACGATGTCATCGGACTCCCGCATTATACGATTTGGCACTTGTATGAGCCTAGTGTGGAGGATTTACAGCATATGGCTGAGATGGAGGCTGAACGGCTCCGAAGAGAAAAGGAGGAGGCGGAGGCGGTACAGGCTGCGGAGGAGGAGAGGGAGGAGTGGAATAAAGACAAGGTTGCTATGCAGGGGTTGAGGACGGATGGGGAGGTTAGGTTTGAAGTTGAGGATGGGGTGGGGAAGAAAGAGGTTGGGGGTGGGGAGGAGGGACCGGCGGGGAAGGGGGCGGGGAGTGGGACGCATCAGGAGGTTCAGCATGATCTTGTTGAAGGATTAGGGCTAGGGGGGGTGCGCGTTGTTGATGAGGGGTTGGGGGATAAGGGGATTGGAGGGGTTGAGGTTGAGAAGAAAAAGGTGTAGATTTATGACTGAAGGGAGGATGGAAAATTGAGATCATAGCAGAGGATGGAGACTCGGGGAGCAAGATGATCAGGGTGATGTAGATTTGTATTTCGCATTTTTTTGCTTCTTTTTTGTTTTTGCTTTTTCGTATTACCTTTTCTAGATGGGGCGCTTTCCTACTGTGTGGGTTAATACAAGATACTGTATCCTCAATCCATGGCCAACGTCACGCGTATCATGCTTGGTCTGTACACGTAGGGAACTGGATATATTCTCTGTACATACATGTAGGTATGAATTGATACTGTGCGGTCTTTTCCAAATCGTATTTGTTCGTATCTTCCTTATAGGAGGAAAATTTCGTCTCTTCGCCGATTATCGAGTGGTGTGACATCGGAATCTGACAAGAACGTATGGTTTGATGGACCCTTCAACTCGTTATGCCATTCATCGCTGCTAGCGCTGCCAACCTCTCCTTTTGGTACCCGGTATCCGGATCTTGTACGCCATAGTCCTCGAGACATGTTTTACCCATCGCTCCTGATCATCTCCCTCGAGAATGCGGACGCGATATACCGGCTGGCAGCACGAATATGACGAACAGGTCATGATCAGGGCTCCTTGATGTCTTGTAGATCCAACACAGCACATGGCATCGTTTCGGGTCGGCGACGATGGTGTGCGTCTGCGTACGCGTGTCTGATGACGAGCAGCAATTCTCACTGCCCTATCTCGCACGCGGATCGTCCTGTCATACCCCTCTCACTCCCCCTTCCTCCCCTCCCAAAACCCCTTCCCATAACTCACACACAACTCCTCCCCCTTCTTCACCTCCATAATCGCCCAAATAGCCATCCTCTCCTCCCCACCCACCACCCTCGTCTCAAACTGACAATTCGGACGATCCCGTACCCCGCGGTAGTCATTCACCATTCGCGCCTCATTTCCCATCTTACTCGCGTCCACGCTTTTGTTGGGGGCGAGACGGATGTCGTAGTCGGAGGTTGGGTCGGTTTCGGCGTCGGAGTGGACGTGGCCGAGGTAGTCTACGACCCAATCGCCTTTCTTGAGCTTCTTTGCGGCGAAGAGGCCGCGTTGGCCATTTGCTGGGTGTTTTGGGTCTGTGATCATTTTAATTCGGACATTTGGGGAGAGGCCTTTCGTTGGTGGTGGAGGTGGTGTTGGGCGGATTGGGAGCGTCCGAGGGGAGTAGTGGAGATTGCAGAGGTAGAGGACGTTTGTGGGCCAATTTGCGGGGGGCGGAAAGGTTGGTTGGCGATTGGACATATCGAATTTCGAAAGAGGTGGCCGAGAAACTCTGAAGCGGAATTGTTTTGGTGGGAGGTAACGTTGAACGTTGAAAGACGCTAGTGTTGCTATTTTTAGAAACGGTAAGGGTAAGGTTTATATCAGGAGCGTGAGACTTCCGGTCCGGGTCGGACGTAGGTGATGAAACTGAGCAGCTGACCAAGAAGATAGCGGATGAGTACAGCCTTCCGACCATGATCACGTCAAAACACCTAGACTCGCCTCAGCCTATAAAGAGCAGGCCTAGGCGAAGTACGCTCTTGAACTTCAGTCCACCATCGAACGAGTTTCGAAATCACCTTTTTAGAAACACGACAGGTATGGTTCCCCGGTATTATCAAACAATCACCGTCCCGGAAGGCATTCCTTCCTCGGACGGTCGCTGGAGTTGCCTTCATTGCGTCAAAACCTTCAACTCGGTTGAGGGTGCGACACAGCACATGAGAAGCAATAGTTGTCAGCATCTTTATTACTGGTGCAAATGTGGCGGTAAACATAAGTTCTTCAAGACGGAGGGTCATATACTTTGTCACGCCTTCGATGGTTGTCCGTTAACTTTTTCAGGCGTCAATGTCTTTACGCAGAGCATAATCAGCAAGGCAGTGTGCGGATACTGTGGGCAGCAGACGAAGAGCCGAACCTACAACGGTGTCCAGGATCACATTCAAGCTGTGCACAGTCGTATAAGCTGGTCGTGCACCACTGACGAAGGCGTGACCGTCTACTTCCGCTACCAGCAGGACTACCTCGCCTACAAACACCTGACTTCCGCCTGCAAGAAGAACGCGTTCAAAGATGTTGAGCTCTTCGGGCACTTTTTGGATGATTAACAGCTTTCGCTAGTCTGTCGTTCCTGCGGCAAGGCAATTGGAGTGAGCGAGGTTACAGATCATGTTTGCGAGAATGTCGACGAGGAGAAAGAGGAAGTGGGGTCAGACGAGGAGGTCCACGACGAGCATCGGTAACTTCATGATCACTTCCTTGCCAAGATATGGTCCGAAGTACCGGAGGTGAAGAGATCCTTGCGGTTCAAACCTTTTTCGGGGTCTGCCGCAGTGGATCTCTCCGTCTCTGGCATGATGCTCTTGTCGTTCGCACGTATGTCAGGGTGTGACGGAACCTTTCTGTTTTTTCCCAATCGAGTATCAATACATTCCAATACTTCCTTGACTGTGCTACCTTGATGATACAACTTTACCTTGTCTTCATGATTTCTATGTGAGCTCGATCTCTTGTCTTGACAGTGCTCGATGCCAGCTTGCTAGGTGCCTCTAGAACGACTCTTTCCCACAACGTTTGTTTTTTTGAATGTATGATTTTCAGTGTTGGCCCTCTCATAAAATGTCTCTTTAGCTCAGCTGGGAGAGCGTCAGACTGAAGTGATTCAGTCATCATATATCTGAAGGTCTCGTGTTCAAGCCACGAAAGGGACATCTTTTTGGCCTTTTGAGCACTTCGACTGGGTGTCGTTCCGGCAGTAACGGACGGCGACACATCTACAGCTCTCTTTGATTGCTCTGTACCTCCCTTTTCTGTCGATATCCGCGGTCGCCGAATCCGACAATTGCAACACATTTCACTCGTCCCTGCCGGCGGTGCCTGACGGCAGCGACCAAAAGTTACCACCAAGTAAAGACATCCTCGGTCATTCCAAACAATTTCCAATGGGCGACTCTGCTGCTCTTTCGATCTCCCCATCCGACAAGGCCCTCGCCTTGGTTGCGGCGTATTACGCTACCTCTCTCCCTGTCAAGACCGATGACTCCCTCGCCCAGGCCATGTCATCCTTGACCCTCTCCACCGGCTCTACCATCGTCGGTTCGAACACCATTGCGACCTACCTCGCTTCCACCAGCGCACAGGGTGAGAAGGAGGCTGGATCGACTGATATTGAAAAGGCTGAGGTTGCGCAGTGGTTGACTTTGTCCGCCAAGTTCGCCGAGGACAAGTCTTCCCTTGAGGTGAGATCTTCGCTCTACTGCCTGGATTGATGGCTCATATACGATGTCGTAGACTCTTAACTCTCACCTCGAGACTCGCACTTACATCACTTCCCCCATCTCCCCCGCTCTCGCCGACTTGATCGTCTACGCTCGCCTCCAGCCCATCTACGCCGCCGACAAGTCTCTCCACCACACCCTTATCAACCTTACCCGCTGGTTCGATTTCGTGCAGAACAACGAGTCCGTCCGCGCGGCCATCGAGAAAGCCTCCATCGACCTCCCCGTCGTCGAGATCGACCTTAGCGCACCAAAGCAGGAGAGGAAGAAGGTCGAGAAGAAGGACAAGAAGAAGGAGAAGGACGCCGCCAAGGCCGACCCCAAGAAGGAGAAGACTAAGGACATCGCAGCCGCCGCAACCGAGTCCGCTGTCGCGGCCCCCACCACAACGCCCCCCCTCAAGGACAAGAAGAAGGACAAAAAGGACAAGCCCAAGAAGGAGAAGGCTCCTCCTCCGCCCCCAACCCCCCTCTTCCCCGACCTCCGCGTCGGCTATATTGAGAAGGCTGTCAAGCACCCCGACGCAGACGCCCTCTACGTCTCCACAATCCACTGCGGCGACGAAGCACCCCGCACAGTCGTCTCCGGTCTCGTCCGCTACGTCCCCCTCGAAGCCATGCAAGGCCGCAAAGTAATCGTCATCACCTCCCTCAAACCCGCCAAAATGCGCGGAATCCTCTCCGAAGCAATGGTCCTCTGTGCCGTCCGCGAAGAAGGCGAGAACAGGAATGTCGAACCCATCGCACCGCCTGCGGATGCGGAGACTGGAGCGAAATTGTGGGTTCCGGATTTCGAGGGGTTCGTGGAGAAGAATGGGAATAAGGTTTGGGAGAGGTTCGCGCCGGATTTGAAGACAGATGCGGAGGGGAAGATGGTTTGGCAGGGGAAGACGATTAGGATTGGGGGAGCTGAGGGTGGTGAGTGTGGTGTTACTGTTGACTGGGGTAAGGACTGCACTGTTGGTTAGATTTGCATGTCGGGGACGTAGGATAGATAAGGCAATACAGAGCGTGTTATGCTGTTGTCAATCTTACGAGTGTTTTTAACGCCGTGTACATCCATGTTAGAGAGATACAGGCCGGGATCATCAATGAGGAAGCTGATTGCCTTCTATTTCCATACATTGGCGCACGGACAATCATTGCCTTTCAAAGAGTAATTGTACTCTCGATTACTTACATGTGGGCGACATGGCTTCAACGGCAAAACACCGTTCTGCAATGCCCCGACATCCGACTCCCGGTGTCCTCAACAATTCTGAACGTCAGACCGTGGGGAGAGATTCGTGACAGAACAGACGCGGCCTCATCACACAAACATTCTTCAGTGATATAGTGAAGAATCGTGAGATTTAAGGTGAAGCGATGGACGCGGACTGGAATATATCGAAAATCTGAACCGCAGGGACCTACCTACCTTACCAGTCATGAGCCGTGATCACCCGTGGGAAAGTAAGATGTCGGTTGATTCAAGGTTTGTAATGAGGTGTACGGACATCATAGTCGCACAACTCCGGGCAATGAAGACGCTTGAAAAAAAAGCGAAGTATGCAATAGAGGATGGCAATGTACATGGACAGGCTTGGGTCGCAAGGAAAGGACATTTGCAATGGATATATGTAATATGAATCAAGCAGTACGTATCGTCACATCATCTCAAACTCTCCAGAACAGCAACGTTCATACAAAGTTCTCTGTCAAAAGCAGTTAGTTACCATCGATGGTATCCGATTTCCCGCACTCACCTCGTGTACAGCCAATCTAAGGCTTGGGCGTGCTGCCATCCGCCTCCTCCTTCTTCTCCTCTCTCTTGCCTCCATTCTTGGCGCTGACGGGGCCCTCAGGCAAGTCCTTCACACCCGCCTTCTCAATCAAACTCCCCTGCTTAACAGTCCCGTCCATTCCGGGCTGGGGCTCACCCAGGCCCTCCTCCTCCGCCTTCCTCTCAGCTTCAGGCACCTCCTCCTCACCCTTCTTGTCGGAAGCATGAGAAGTGGATTCCTCGCTCTGCTTCTTCTCAAACTCCTCTTCGGCGCGGGTGATCTCCTTTTTGCGCTCTTCGTTGAAGACGATGCGGGTGTCTTCTCCTGCTGAGGTACCGACGGCCATTGTGATATCGCGATTGATGTGGTTCTTGTATGTCTTTCTGGTTGGGATCAAGAGGATTGGAAGATGGATCAGTTTATATAGGGTTTGTTTAAGGGTACTTACTCCGCAGTCTGGGCAACCGGCGGGGGTGACGTACGTGGAGGTGATGATAGCCGATCACTGCAAGGGAACGGTCGGTTCCGACGGTTGACGTGCAGGTCAAAAAGTGACGGGAATTCACTTGGGAAACGTAGTTTCCTGGAGATCAGTCCACAGAGATGTATCAAAGAGGCTTGGGACAAAACAACGAAAAAGATGTCCCTTTCGTGGCTTGAACACGAGACCTTCAGATATATGATGACAGAATCACTTCAGTCTGACGCTCTCCCAGCTGAGCTAAAGAGACATGGATATCCTTTGACTTTAATCTTGACAATATTACACACGAACAGGTGAATGTGGGAAATGGCCATTTCTATCGATGTTCCTCTTTAAATGCCCTCTGGATGGACTTCAAAGAGCATAGACACTCGCCAATAATCTTGTACACGTCCTAAAGAGTTTAGAGCTATAGCTGGGCATGCACATCACTCTTTGCCGATGTGAAAGGTCGCTCATGCCGTGACAATACTGTCGACCTGTCGGCCGACGAGACATGTCTTGGTATAGTCGAAGGAGAAGCGAGACGGTCAAGACTTGTATCGTGCAATGATAACGATCACCAACACAAACAGCTGACATTGGTTTGGACGGCCAGCTTGATAGGGCAATAGGTTAGTCGACGGTTGCGGTTTTACGATTGAGCGGGGCAGTGCTGGGTCGTGCTTGATGTACACACATAGAAGTTATGAAGACTGTATTATGAATAAACGAACCACAGGCTCAAAGCAAAGCATCCTCCCACTCAATGGTACCACCCACAAAAACAAAGGAAAACAAAGTCCCTATACTCCTTCGCAAAGAAAAAGCAGAAAACGCACGCGTTCTCATCGGTATTATCATCCTCCACCCTTCTCCTATCCTATCATCCTCCTACTCCTACTCCTTCAAACCACTCATAAAGTTATGAACGCAGTTGTTCGGTGTTGAGTGTGGTGCATCTAAGGCAAAGTCTCGTAGTCGGCACCAGAAGAGCGGTGTCCCTCACGGTTAGAGAACAAAGCGTAAAGGATGAGACCGAGAACGGGGAAGAAGAACACAACGGCGATCCAGAGGAGCTTGTGAGAGGTGGGGCGCGTGGACTTGACGACCTCGACTATTGTCATCTCGTTAGCATACATCCCGTCAAACCCCTCCAAAAACGGGAGCAAGGGGAAGCAAAGAGGGAGAGACATACTGAAGACCATAACATCCAAGACAAACACAATCAACCCAATCAACCCACCACCAGTTCCGTACTTCCACGCATTACCGTGACCAGCGGCGATAGTAGCATCGACGAAGTCCTCGGCGCGGACGGAGGAGAGGAGGGTGAAGAGGAAGGTGAAGAGGGCGAGGAGGTTGGTAAGCATTTGTGCGATTGGTAGAGCTTGTCGTAGAAAGGGTATGGGTATTGGTTGAAGGGAGCTGGTTGTGTTGATGGGAGAGCCAGGGATTTTAGGGTGGCTAAGCGAGTCGGGGATTGCGTAGGTGGTCTGGATAAGGTGTGACGTCGGGGTAGGAAGTAGGCATTACGGAAAACGAAAGTATGTATAATAAGTGAAAAAAATGATTGCAAAGTCTCTATTTTCAATTACCACTGTTGCCGAGTTTGGATAACGGAGATGTCTACGTTACAACCGACGTCGAGAAACTAAACAAACTTTATCTTCGACGGGGACAAACCCTGATGAGCGCTCAACGCTCTCAGCTCCTACCTCTCCCGAATTCGTTTGACGGAGGGTCACGAAACATTGTCAAACCCGGAATATTGCTTTGTTACCTACAGTAGTGCGGTGGAGGTGGGTCCCGTAGCGGTCATGTGTGCTGGAAGGGATTTACGGAGTGACAGGACGGATAGTAATTGAATATGGTATACTGTGAATTGACTCTGTCTACGGTCATGACGTGCCTTCCTATTCGATGCTTAATTACTACGTATCGCATCACATCCTACTTGATCGTGAGACTGTCTGTCCTCTCTTCACAGGCGAATGTCCTTTGAGAAGAACATCCAGTCACGAAAAGATGAAAGAAAGAATACTCTTTAACAGATACAGAGTCTGTCAAAGAGTATGGTCGATTTGTGTCGTCAGTTGGTGTAGTCGAATGCTGTTGCGAGCATACAATGATACTCTTCTCCCAACCTCCAGTTATCAAACAATGGGTTCCAGTATGAGATAGAAGCTTTGCAGCCTTCCCATAGCGCCTCCCATCGGGATCTAGGAAAAACGTATATCCAGCTAAAACTTGAAATCCAAGAACAGGTAGATCATGAAGGAAATCTTCTCCGCCCACGTATGAACCCCACGAACAGGGTCGGAACGGAACTCCCCTTTCCATCCCAAAGGTTCCGCTAGCGCTCATGCGAGCATCTGCGAAAGATGCGACCGCTAAAGCCGGATAAACAAGGATAGGCCAGAAAGGTCTTGGCACATTCGCCCTGAAAGCGTGGCATGAAGCCGGTCCCCACCACGACGTGCATCTGAATCCTGATCCAAGGTCGGTCGAAGAGTATTGTTGAGCAGTATGGTCGGTGTGGTTGTGGGAGTGGGAGGAGAAGTCGGATAGCGCGAAAGGTAAGTCAAAAAAATCGACCTCCAAGCACAGAACAATAACTTGATCTCTGGAGCGCTAATGGGATCAAAAGCCAATGAAAAGACGAGGACTTGTGTAGTCTGCGCTAGTTTGCCACCGGCCGCCGTGGGAATCCATCCTAATCCGGTCAGCGCTGGGGGCTCTAGGGTGAGTAACTGTGGAAGAGGAGGAACATCCACATTACAAATACACGAGTAGCCCAAAAGAAAAAGAGTGAACAAACGTGCGGCACTGCTTCTTTGACTCCTTGACGGTGAACTCCAACGTTGCCTGGGTCATACCCAGGACGCCTTCAAGCTGTTCTGTCTTATATTGAACTTTATTGACGAACCCGCCAACGAACCCTGACTTTGCTGTGGATGCTGATGAGGTATTTTGAGGGACTGCGGGGGTGCCGTCGTTTTCGGACGTGACGGATGCATGAGAAAGCCAAGTGGTCTGCGGCACAACGTCAGAATTTGAGTCGAGGGAGTCATTCGGGGACGTCGACATCGGTAGCTCAACGTGAGGAAGGGTGGGAGAAGTAGGGGGGTAGGGAAGCGCTGCTGAAGTCCTTCGAAAAGACTGGATCCGCAATTAGGTGGTCCCATCTATTGTGCTTAGACTTAGAAGTCGAGGTGAATGGGGTTAGATTGTACGTGTCAGCTACCTTAAGTATGTAGACTAAGAGGCTAACCCAAAGTACCCTCCTCTGCAGACAGAACAGTCTCAAAACGATGTGAGAGAGAAGAAATATGTATGTAAATGTATCCACCTCCGTGGTTCCGGGTATGTTTGGTCCCCGTAAGCAAGAAATTATTCAAATGTGGAACAAAGAACAAGGATCTCAGAGATCCGATCACAAAATCCTGGGGTCAGACTGTTACGAAGGCCAACCAGCGGCGCAAACGAGAGACGTTGACAGGGTTTGTTAAGACTCCGATTTTCTTTTCAGAAGTCTGAATGGAACGAAGTTTGTAGACACCTTTGGTCTAGACTTGATGGATCAAGTAAGGTCTAGTCCAGCGAGGTGCAAATATATTGGCGTGACCTGACTGATCGAGACGAGAATCACGAACCCACACCTTATCTCCAATGTTGTAGGTCTTAGGGTGTATCATGTCTTTCTTTCCGTTTTTTGTCCTTCACATATAGGATTTGCTCAACGCGGAACTTAGGAATGCCTTCTTTGATCCACGCTAGACGTTCAGCGATTGCGGCACGATGACACTTTTGAGTGGGAACATCTTTGATTGCGTCGTGGGAGTCAACAGTGAAGGGAATCCTTAGCTCGATACCATGAACGAGGCAGGCCGGAGTGGCCTTAGTGGTATGGTAAGGAACGGTGCGGTATGCCCATACAGCGGTGTATAGGGTAGGGACCCAAGACGTAGTCTTGTCCAAGGGATTCTTGTCCCACTCTTCGATGGACTTTCGAACAGTGGTTTCAATGTACCAATTAGCCGTTCGGCGCGTCCATTTGACTGAGGGTAGTAGGGCGTAGACAGATAGTGTCTTATTTTGAGGACGTTGGTGAGATGGTCGATTACTTCATTTACGAAGTGGCTGCCGTTATCTGAATGAATACAGAACGGCACTCCATAACGGCATGCAATATCCTCGTAGAGGAAGCTGGCAATGGTGGCAGCGTCTGCGACCTTTGTGGGGCCCACTTCACACCACCTAGTGAGACTGTCAATAGCGATCCGGACGCATAGATAACCTTCCGGGGTAACCGGAAAAGAACCGGCGTAATCGACGTTCCAATGAGCAAAAACGCCATGCTCCATGGTGTGATACCCAGGTGAATGAATAGGATTCATTCGGGCATATAGTTGGCACGATTGGCGAAGTCCAATGTGTCTGACAACAAGTTTCTCCACGACCGGGGTCCAAGCTTGCTTCCGTTCGAAGTTGCGGAGGGTTTTGTTTGCAGAGGATACCGTCCTCGATATACATACGCTTGGCCAAAACTTCTAACCCGTTTGGCAAGGGAATGTTTTGAAGGGAGTGTTTTGGATCCGACGCACGCGTGAACGTATCCCATACCTTGGAGGTCTTCGTACTCGCGGGCCGTCAGGGGAGGTAGATCAATCATGTTTGGACCTAACTCAGTAGCTTTGTCTCGGTCAGGTTCATCTTCTTGCAAGATGACCTTAGGGAAGTTCACCAGCCTGAGAATCTCATCTTCGTCTACTTCCTCGGACTCTTTATCCTCAGTAGAAACCTTTGTAGAGGTCCCGGATTCAGTAGACTTTTTTTTCGATTTCATCGGCATTGAGAGCGTTGACTCTTGAGGGAGATCCGGAAGAAGGTGTAATCGATTCAAGGGCGGGAGGTCCAGAGTCAGTCTTCGATTCTGTTTTTGGCAATGATATTTCCGATGATGTTTCTTCCCTCGCTTGACGCCTATTTTGTACGGCGTAGAGAGCCTTCACTGCCTCTTGTTTTGTCGGCGAAGTGGCGAAAGCCGTGGGAATACGTTTCTCGTTTTCAGCGTACCCACGTACGAAATCAGCAATTGCATTGATAGAGATACTCGAGAGCTGCTTCATGATGTTATTAAGAACCCACGTATACATACCCTTTGTCGTACTTATGCGTCTTGGGATGTTAGTAGTGTCATGAATGCCGGTGGTCAGCACGACAGTAGAGAACCAAGTGGCTCGAGAGTTTTACATATTGGGCATATTGATTTCAGCATTTATAACTATTCTTTGCGTAACGGCATAATAGTCAACCCTTCTGCCCCGCAATCTTCTCGGGTTCATCACTACACCCCCTAAAACTCCATCCCATCACCCTCCTCCCGTCTCCTCTCCACATCCCGTCTCAAAACAGCATTAACGACCCCTCTAACCTCCGCCGCCTTCCTCAAACACTCTTCAACACGTTTATCCCAATCACCGATATCGATCTTTCCTTTCGACGACAACTCGGTTATTTCACCAGTGGCGAGGAGTGTAGCGAGTGATAAACCATCACACGAGGCAGCGGAAGGGATATCCCGCATCTCAATCCCTGCATCCACAAGAGCCGCTCCAACGGCGTTTACGGCCGCGGACCAGACACCCTCTGCATCTGCTTCATCACCGGAGAGCGGCGCTTCGAGTACACACACAAAAATCTCGATTTGTGTTTTTGGGTAGAGTTCCGCACGGATCGCGGACCGGATTGAATCCTCGATGCGTTTTGCGCAGGTGCGTTCGAGGGGGGAACGGAGGTGGGGAAGAGATCTTGTGCGGGTGCTGAAGGGGGAGAAGGAGAGGTCGAGGGTGAGGGTTGCGGTTGGGGAGTAGGGTGTTGAGCGGGGGGTTGGTCTGGGGCCGTAGATTGCGCAGAGGAGTTTTGTTGGGGTTGAAGTTGAGGGGACGTGGAGTTCGAGGTAGGAGGAGCCGTTTGGTTTTGTTAGGAGGGAGGTTTTGAGGACTGGGGAGGAGGGTTAGTTAGGATGGTTGGATGGGGGAGGAGGGAAGGAGGGGGACGAACAGATTTTTTGAGGTTCTGAGGATTGGGAATCTTTTTGCTCCAGAGCCTTTAGCTGTGATTCGAGAGTGTGGATGTCCTTCTGGTAGATTGGTGGTGCAGAGGAGGATGGACCGAGGTTGCGACGGCGGTCGTTGGACATTGTGATTGATCTGGTCTGACGAAGGCTGGTCGAGCGAATAGATACTGAAAAATAAACTGGGTTCTAATTTGATGCTGCCTCTTCTGGCTTTCTGGAGCAGACTGAATTGACTTGAACTTTTCTGCTGGTACGGTTGTCTGGCGTCGAGGTCGAAATGTCGTATCTGAGGGCACGTGAGGATAACGTCGTTCTCAAGATACATCCAGGGCATCTAGTCAGTTGGCTTTACAATAAAGATCGAGAAAATATGAGTGCACGATCATGTATGGGGAGGGTATCTTGTCATCGACTACGTAATGAGCCAGAGTCGAGGATCGGTATGGTTGGTCGTAGGGTATAGCAATTAGTGATATCAGTCCTTTTCCTCGGTAGTCATTAAGCCATGGTATAAACCCCCATCTCTCGCTCTCTCAATCTCTTTATCCCGTCCTCTCAATCAAGTGCAACCCACTCGCCGTCTCCACAACCCGACTCATCTCCCCAACCTGCAACCCAAACGCCGCCTCCTCAAACTCCTTCTGCATCTCTCCCCTCCCAAAGTATCCCAAATCCCCTCCCTTCCTCGCACTCGAGCAATCACTCTCACTAACCGCCAACTCGCCCAAACTGATCTCTCCAGCCCTGATCCGCGCTTCGTGTTGGAGGATGATTTGCATTGCTTCCGTCTTTGAGCGGGAGATTGTGGCGGAGCGCCAGGATGAGGGACGTCGGGATTCGGCGTGTTTTACGAGGAGGTGCGAGGTGCGGATTTTGTCTTGGTCTGGGGGAGGTGCGGGTTGGACGAGGGGGATGGAGTGGTTTAGGGCCATGTATGCGGAGAGTTTGGCGCTGTCGGCATCTGTGGGGGGTTCCCAGCGTGATTCCTGTTGTGAATGTTAGCGAAGAACGTGAACGTGAATGGAGGGGAGAGGTGGGTGACACGTACGCTTGTCTTGTTGTTGTAATAGTAAGGGATTCCCTTGGTCTTGGAGTGCCTGATCTCCCAGTTGGGCGGTAATCCGGTATCAGCGGCCTAGATGATCCAATTAGCCATACATTCATACCATTCTTGAGTTACGCCCACCATGAGGAATTGGACGTTTGCGTTGTTGTTTGCGTTGCGATGTGACGTTCGGCCGCATTCCCCGGACTCGTATACGGGGGGGCACGTGAGGGGCTCACCTTGGGCGTGTCCTCAGGGCATCAAGTCGATTGGTTACCAATTCTGATGAACGTAAACTTGGGTGTATCACTGTGTATCACTGACCAGATTGTGCCGTCGCCTACGTAAGCACCGACCACGACGCTCCGCACCAGCGACCGACGCTCGAGCGCTACGTATTGACTGAGGACCCTCGTTATTCTCGTTGTTGTCATCGAAATACCATAGAACACCCTACGATCATGACGGTGAGTTCGGAATCCTCTTCGCCGCCGCGTCTGGAGACAACATCATTGGTACGACGGCGACTAATTGGCCTTACAGTCGAAAATGCAGATTGACTCTGGCAACACCACGGATGGCCAGAACTCCACCATCGACGAATCTCTCTACTCCCGCCAGCTCTACGTCCTCGGCCACGAAGCTATGAAGCGGATGTCAGCCTCCAACGTCCTCATCATCGGCCTGCGCGGCCTCGGTATTGAAATCGCCAAGAACATCTGTCTCGCAGGTGTTAAATCCCTCACAATCTGGGACCCAAACCCGGTCAAGATCGAGGACTTGAGTTCACAGTTCTTCTTGAGAGGAGAGGACGTCGGAAAGGGACGCGCGGAGGTCTGTCAAAGTCGTTTGGCGGAGTTGAATCAGTACACGCCTGTTACGGTGTTGGAGGGTGCGTTGAACCCGGAGACACTTGCGGCGTTCCAGGTTGTTGTTTGTACGGAGAGTACGCTTTCGCTGCAGTTGGAGTTGAATGATTATACGCATGCGAACGGGATTGCGTTCATCTCGGCCGCGACCTATGGTTTGTTTGGAAACCTGTTTTGTGATTTTGGAGCAGAGTGGGTTTGTAGGGACTCGACGGGTGAGAACCCGGTTAGTGGGATTGTCGCCTCGATTGATGAGAGTGGGTTGGTGACCGCGTTGGATGAGACGAGACATGGACTTGAGGATGGTGATTGGGTTTTGTTCTCCGAGGTTGAGGGTATGGAGGGTCTTAACTCTACCGACGAGACACAGGCACGAGAGATCAAGGTTACCGGCCCTTACACTTTCGAGATCGGCGACGTCTCCGGTCTCGGCGAGTACAAGCGTGGTGGTCTCTTCACCCAGGTCAAGAAGCCCAAGACCTACACCTTCAAGTCTCTCCGCGAATCCCTCGCCGACCCCGAATACCTCATCTCTGATTTCGCCAAGTGGGACCGTCCCCCGCAGTTACACATCGGTTTCCAGGCTTTGCACAAGTTTGTCGAGAACCACAACGGTTCCTTCCCTCGGTCGCGTAACGAGGAGGATGCGCTTAAGATTGTCGAGTACGCTAAGGATATCAATGCATCTACTTCCGAGGCTACCAAGGTCGAGGAGCTCGATGAGAAGTTGATCAAGGAGTTGTCGTACCAGGCTAGGGGTGACTTGAGTCCCATGTGTGCCTTCCTCGGTGGTATGACCGCTCAGGAAGTCCTGAAGGCTATTTCTGGCAAGTTCGGACCCGTTAAGCAGTACTTGTACTTTGACTCCCTCGAGTCTTTGCCTACGACTGTTGAGTTGACCGAGGAGAGCTGTCAGCCTCTGGGTTCCAGGTACGATGGCCAGATAGCCGTTTTCGGACGCGAATTCCAGGAGAAGATTGGCAACCAGAAGCAGTTCTTGGTCGGTGCTGGTGCCATTGGATGTGAGATGTTGAAGAACTGGGCCATGCTTGGTCTCGGAACGGGCGCGAACGGTGGTATCCAGGTCACAGACATGGATTCGATTGAGAAGTCGAACTTGAACAGACAGTTCTTGTTCAGGTCTAGGGATGTCGGAAAGTTGAAGAGTGAGTGTGCTTCTGCTGCCGTTACGGCAATGAACCCGGAGTTGTTGGGGAAGGTCACTACGCACAGGGATCGTGTTGGTGCCGATACGGAGCAGATCTTTGATGATAACTTCTGGAGTGCGTTGGATGGTGTTACGAACGCGCTTGACAATGTTGATGCGCGTACGTATGTTGACCGTCGCTGTGTCTTCTACCGCAAGCCCCTTCTGGAGAGTGGAACCCTTGGAACGAAGGGTAACACCCAGGTCGTGATTCCTCACCTGACTGAATCCTACTCCAGCTCTCAGGATCCTCCGGAGAAGTCTTTCCCTATCTGTACTCTTCGCAACTTCCCTAACCAGATTGAGCACACCATCGCCTGGGGTCGTGATTTGTTTGAGGGATACTTTAGGCAGCCTGCTGAGAACGTCAACTTGTATTTGGGTTCGCCTAACTTTGTTGAGAGTACCTTGAAGCAGAGCGGAAACCAGAAAGAGATCTTGACTAGCATCAAGGACTTCTTGGTTGATGCTAAGCCTTTGACGTTCGAGGAGTGTATCGTTTGGGCTAGGTTGGAGTTCGAGAAGAAGTTCTCGAACGACATTCAGCAGCTTCTTTACAACTTCCCCAAGGACTCCGTGACCTCTTCTGGAACTCCTTTCTGGTCTGGTCCTAAGCGTGCTCCAACCCCCGCTGTCTTCGACCCGGAGAACCCTGATCACTTGGAGTACATCATCGCTGCTGCCAACTTGCACGCTTTCAACTACGGTTTGAAGGGTGATGAGTTCACCCCCGAGCAGTACAAGAAGGTCTTGGCTGATGTCATGGTCCCCGAGTTCTCTCCCGCTTCCGGCGTTAAGATCCAGGCGGATGAGAAGGAGGCTGCGCCTACCCAGACTACTCCTGATGAGGATGAGTTGAAGACGCTCTTGGAGTCTTTGCCTATGCCTTCCAACTTTGCCGGTTACCGCCTGTCTCCGGTTGAGTTTGAGAAGGATGATGATACCAACCACCACATTGACTTCATCACTGCTGCGTCGAACCTCCGTGCGGCATGTTATGGCATCAAGACCGCTGACCGTCACAAGACCAAGTTCATCGCTGGTAAGATCATCCCTGCTATTGCGACTACGACGTCTTTGGTTACTGGTTTGGTCTGCTTGGAGTTGTACAAGGTTGTTGATGGAAGACAGAAGATCGAGGACTACAAGAATGCTTTCGTTAATTTGGCCTTGCCGTTCGTTGCTTTCTCTGAGCCGATCGCGAGTTCGAAGATGAAGTACAACAACAAGGAGTGCGACAAGATCTGGGACCGATTTGATATTCCTTCCAACATCACGCTGAGGGAGCTCGTTGATTACTTCAAGGAGAAGGAAGGACTCGACATCACCATGTTGTCGTCTGGCGTGTCTCTTTTGTACGCTTCGTTCTTCCCGGCGAAGAAGTTGGCGGAGAGGTTCCCGTTGAAGATTACGGAGTTGGTGGAGACTATTTCGAAGAAGCCCATTCCTGAGACGCAGAAGAGTTTGATTTTAGAGATTTGTGCGGATGATGAGACTGGAGAGGATGTTGAGGTGCCGTACGTTAGGGTGCAAATTCGTTCCGCTTAATTCGTGGTACGATGTATGGAAAGGTGGTCATAGATGCACGTGATGGTTTGATAAGGTTATTTCGTTGTCGCTTCTCGTTGCATACCGTAGTTGGGAGTTAGAATACGAGTTTGTTCTCCCTTAAGTTATGCTTCATCTTCCAGTACCACTCTGGATTCGCTGGCTCTTTTTCCGCGTGTGAGGGTGGCCTCTGCAATTGAGCACGGAGTAAGTAGGAATCACGCATTGGATTGGAAATCATTACACCGAGAACCATATCGCCCCGTAACATGGAAACAAACCTCAGGCCAAACTTGGCGTGGGAAGATATCCGCGGACACGTCCAACGAGGAGTGTGACGGATAAGATGACATTGAAGCCCAACGAAGGATATTGTCTTGGCCAAATCTCTCAACTTACAAGCCACTTTTGACAGGAATGAACACAAAACTTCTCATAATTTACAGCGGATAAACCAGCACGGACCAGCGTACCTCACTGTTTGGCGGGGCACATCTCCCGAGGCGCGGATCGCGCTGGCATCTCCAGTCGGTGCTCAAATGCTTGATTTGTTTGTACTTACGCCGATCGACCTCGACAACTCGACCAGCCAACAACGAAAGCTTCAACAGCTGACGATCAACAAATGGAGGCTTCAGATCTCGACGGCCTTCGTAATCGGCAATCTGCGGCTCAACCGGCGCCTGTCGAGAGCGATGCCGTTGTGAAGGATAGGGAGGAGGAAGTGAAGCCGGAGCAGTCGGGTAAGACGTTTGGACGGGCTCCGGATGGAACGGGTATGTATTTTCGAGAGAGAATTTGGGAGATCGGGTGCTGATCTGTGTATGGTTCGTAGTGTTTACCGTTCCGAAGACTACGGATATGGTCTCGTCCATCCTCGATCCGCGCGCTCCGAAGAGTGAGTTGGATATCGTCGTTCTCGCCTCCCTCGCTTTCTCGATCTTCGTCTACATCACCTTCCCCGACCGTGCGAGAAGGTACTCGCTTCTCCTCCTCTTTCTGTTCTGGCGCGCTTCGTATAATGTCGGACTCGGGTATCTCCTGAACGTGCAGTCGAAGAATCGGACGCTCGTCGCGTGGGCACAGAAGTACTGCTTGTTCGATAAGGAGAATAAGGCCGTGTACAGCTTCGTTAGGAGGAATTTGCAGGGTAAGATGGAGAAGGACTATGATTTTGATCAAGTGCCGAAGGAGTACAATACTTGGCTCCTGTACCGCCGCTTGGTGGATTTGATCTTGATGAATGATTTCGTGGCATACGTACTCATGGCGCTGGCTTGGTTGCATTTCCCGTCCGGACATGGGTTTTTGACGCATACCCTCCGCTGGACCCTCGGTTTTGTGTTGATTTTGTTTAACTTGTGGGTCAAGTTGGACGCCCACCGCGTCGTCAAAGATTTCGCCTGGTACTGGGGCGACTTCTTCTTCCTCGTTGATTCGGATCTCACGTTCGACGGTGTCTACGACCTTGCGCCGCATCCGATGTATAGTGTGGGGTATGCCGGGTACTATGGTATTTGTATCATTTCTGCGAGCTATACGGTGTTGTTTGCGAGTTTGTTGGCGCATGCGGCGCAATTTGCGTTTTTGACTTGGGTTGAGAATCCGCATATTGAGAAAACGTATAACCCGCCCAAGCTTGTGAGGACGAAGAGTGGAGCAGCTGCCACGGCGGAGGAGAAGGTCAAGAAGCCCGCGAGAGATTTGGTCGTGTTCAGGAATTTCGATCCGTACCGTTCCGCGGACTTGGCGCTTGCGTGTTTGGTTTCCACGACGGTCGTGTTGGCGGTGTTCTTGCCGACCACGAGGACCACGAAGACTTTTTTCGTGTTGCAGGCGTTTTTCTGGAGGCTTGTGCATTCGTTTGGGTTGGGCCTCGTCTTGAGCGCGCAGAGTCGTGGAAAGCGGTGGACGCGGCATTTCATCAAGCACGGCGAGACGGCGGAGGATGCATGGTGTCAGTGGAAGGGTGTGTATAACCTCTCGCTTTGTATGGTTTACGCGTCGTTCGGTGCTGTTGTTTGGAAGTTGTGGAGCTTTCCGCAGGATTGGACGGTTGGAACGGTTTTGTTGAGACATACTGTTGGTGTGTTGTTGGTTGTTTTGCACGTTTGGACAAGTTCTTCGATTTATGAGGCACTTGGTGACTTTGGATGGTTCTTTGGCGATTTCTTCGTTGATGAGTCTCCGAGTCAGCTCACGTACACCGGTATCTACCGCTACCTCAACAACCCCGAGCGCTTGTTGGGATCCGCTGCGTTCTGGGGGTTGGCTATGGTTTCGTCGTCAAGGGCTGCGACACTCTTGGCGCTCCTGAGTCAGATTTGTAACATCTTGTTTATCGAGTTGGTCGAGAGACCGCATATGGAGATGCTGTACGGTAACCAGATTCGTAAAGAAGCGGGTGTGAGCAGGACGCTGAAGAGCGTGATTGAGCCTACGACGCGTTCGCCTTCGTTCCAGGAATTGGATCGTAAGGTGCAGGAAGTCAAGGGTCAGGTCGACGCGTTATTCCTGAAGGCGATGAATGAGGTGGAGGAGTTCATCGAGAACGGCTTGGCGCGGTACGGTATCGGCAACGGAAAAGTTATGCTGGATGAATTCCCGAGTCGGATGCATGTCGCCCGCGTTGCGAACACGCCTGTTGATCCCAAGCTTTACGAGTTACAGATCGTGAGTGCGAGTAGTGATGAGAGCCCGAGTTCGCAGTTGAGGTTTGAGTTGGGGAAGGAGATTAGGGTGAAGTGGTCTGCGCCTGCGACGCACAGTAAGAAGGATTGGATCGGGTTGTATCGCGTTACGGCGAATACCTCGAAGGAGATTACGAGGGTTGCGTCGATGGGGAGGTGGTCTGCTGTCGATGCTGAGGGGTATGATAATCATACGGATTCGATTCTTGCTGGTGGGGAGACGGAGGGTGAGGTTGAGTTTAGGGGTGATGCGCTCTTCTGGAAGACGGGGGTTTATGAGTTTAGGTATCACTATGACGGGAAGCATAACGTGATGGCTATCTCGGCGCCGTTCGAGATTACGCTTCCGCGTCCTTCGTCGCCTTCTTCACTCCCGCTTTCGTCGATCGAGGAGTCGTTGCTCAAGCTCTGCCAGGTCTGTTTCGCTGATCCGTCTCTTTCGCTTGAAGACGGGTTTGTTTTTGGTGATCCTGTGCAGGATGAGAAGGTGAGCAAGAGGGTTGTGTATGGCGTTAAGGAGATGTTTGGGGTTGAGTTTAGCAGGGAAGTCGTTAAGGCGGATGGTGATGTGAGGGGTTTGGCGAGGAGGGTGTTGGAGGCGATGAAGGTTTTGAGGCCGTTCACGCAGACTGGTGCCACGACCCCCGCCGAGTCCGGTGTCGTTGCCGAATCTGCCTAAATGGGAGAAGCTGTGGAGGTGGTGTTGTCACGAATTTTGGAGTGAAAACTGTTTGCTGGGCAATCTTGATAGAAGTTTGACGAGACGGAGCATTTTTGGGATGTTTGAGAGGAAGTGTCTATGGATTCAACATTTAGACGGCTTTGTAAGATAGAGCTGTCATCAACTGGCGGCGTTTTTTGCTATAGATACCAAGGACATAATATACTGTTACTCCACTCTTTTGACTTATTTAGCACGAGATCGCTATTGGAGAGGTAGTGTTATGTGACCGTTTTGCATTTGTCGCGTACGACCCTACAGCTATGCACCTGCTTGATCTATTGCGACAGTCCAATCAAAGTAAAACCCCAAAAACGCCAAAAAGCAAACCCCAATCTCTTTCTATCTTGCACCGCGTACCTCACCATCCCGGACGTTTCCTCTCTTCATCTTCACGACTCTAAGCCTTACTCGCCGCCGCAGCCGGAAACTCCTCGAAGGCGTTCTCGGCCTTCCATCTGTCCAAGTAGTACTGACCACGGAATCCATCCTTGTATCCCTGAAACCTCGACTTGATTGGAGGAATGTGGGTTCCCACAAAGGGAGTCAAACGGGTGTCGGCCAGGCCAGCAGGGACAACATAAGTGCGGACCTTGCGGTATTCGATGATGTAGTTTCCGTGCTTGGTGTGTCTACCCATGGCACCAGTGCGGGTTCCCTTGTAGTAGTTGCGACCTGTACGCGGATCAGTATGGCATGTCGAGAACCACAGAAAGGATAGGACATACCCTGCTTGGTGGTCATGGCGAGACGGCGAGTGCCCTCACAGACCTGTGTCGGCTTAAACATTGCTGCTCGTGTATATTCTTACCAGTATTGGTGATTTCTTGGTGGTGTATTGCTCGCTCGCCCGTACACGACCCCTGCTGCGCCCGGACTGCGCCCGTCTTCGAGCCCGGGACACCGCACAAACCATCCAGTCTGGATCTACTACTAGTCCGTCTAACCCCAAGTCAGACAAAGCGAAAACGGCCAGTAAACCGAGGTGAAGTTCATGCACCGGTTCCAAGTAGTTGACCTCAGTTGACTTAGAAGCATGCACAGTAGGTGATATTCATGCATCAAGGAGTGACCAAACAGTGTTATGAGCTTCAATAACAAGTTAGGGTTAGGGTTAGGGTTAGGGTTAGGGTTAGGGTTAGGGTTAGGGTTAGGGTTAGGGTTAGGGTTAGGGTTAGGGTTAGGGTTAGGGTTAGGGTTAGGGTTAGGGTTAGGGTTAGGGTTAGGG